ATTGCTCGCAAATCTACTGTACTCCCTGAGCCGATTGAATCGGTTCTCCATTGTCAGTATGTTTATGGATTCCGGGGATAAGAAAGGTAATGTAGAAACACAACTTAGTTATAGTAGCATTTACACCCCATTGTCATTTTTTATCAAATCAAACTCGAGACAATTTATTCTCACAAATCCAGCTGACTAGATTCCTACGACTTGGACAAACATCCAATTAATTTAACCGTCAGAATTACTAACTTAAAGCAAAATTTCTGATTATGTAATTGTTACTCCTAATTTTTTTTTCCAGTTATTAAATAATAAAAATTAATAATTTTAAATAAAATTAATTACTCTACAACAAAAGTTAATTCTATCCATTAAAAATAATAGATATTACTTGAGAAGTTAATTGTCGATTAAATTAATCACAATTTGACTAAAACTGGATTGTTCTATCTTTCGATAAACTTCAGCTCTCATTCGGAACTTTTTTTTATTTTAATATAGAACTGTAGAATTATGAAAAGTGCTACTGGAACTGTACTTATTTTTTTTAAATATAAATAGAGTGTCGTGCCAGCTTTACAGATCCCCAAGATTTTTACTGTTCTAGGTTTTAAAAAAATGTAGAAAAATTCAAAATTACTTTTCAACACCTCTATTAAATTACTAAATTTTTTTTTTTAATTAAATGTTAAAACCTTTACTTAATCCGCCCTTCTTTATTTCGCGAACATGAAATTTTGCCTAAAAATTGTAGATGGAAGATTAAATACGACACATCTTATTTAAATAATCACATAAATGTCAGTTTCTAAATAGACATTCAGATATATTTATGTAAATACTGCGATATAAGTATCTAAATAAATATGCGTTCGTTTTTTACAGCCCTGGGAAATATATTACGTTTCCTGGAAAAGGAGAATTCACCCAAGATGTCGCAATTACGTCAGATCTATGTTACTTGAAGACCGCGTTAGCATCATCGAATACCTATATATACGCATTAATCTCGAATAATTTGATAATTTAACAAAAAGGTCGGAATGCAAATTTGATACATATAGCAAACAGGAGTGAGTTCCCTTTCACGCATGATGCACATTATATATACAATATCATTTTATCTTTATTGTTCGTCGAATAAGAATAAAATAATACATCATGTGTATGAAACGGAGCGCACTCCAGAAATGTAAACGCTGAACATACACAAGAGTAAAAGCGACAAGCGACGATTTTCCGCGCAATTATGTTAAATCTACGTTATTTGAAAATCCGTATCACGTCATCGAATATCTATATGACACATACATTAACTCTAACAATTTAATTTAGCAAGAAAAAACCAAATGTTTAATATATTGTGAATGTGTTCTATTTGGCACTCACAATAGTCGCAATGCTAGCGAGCGCTATTTATCCTTATTTGACATTTCATAAACAACAAAGACAAAATGATTCCATGAGCGTTTGGTAAGAAAAAAGTATAGAGCACTTACCGTGAATAATGGTAGGCGACAAGCGACGATCTTCATTTTCCATCATGGCGACTCTTCTTCAACGGAATCGCGCATTCGCGATTTCGAACGACAATTCGCGTCGAAACGCAAAAATTTCGTGCGGATTAATTAATTAACGCCGAAACGGTCGGCCGTTCCGTCAATCCGGCACTCCCGGTTTCACACGCTGCGATACGTCGTCATACGAACATAGAAAATTAAAAAGTAGGTATCATAACGGCAGACGCGAACATTGCGATACCGGATTAGAGGCATGCCACGCCAAGAAATATAATCGTCGATCGACATATCCGTTCTCGCTGTTGCCTTCAGTGCTCCCGATATTCATCCGCGTGAGAAATCTATCTCGGAATAGATTGAAATAGATGAACGAGACGCGAAAACGCAGATCAATCACGAAATTCAACCGCGACATCCCGGTCGCTCGACGCGAACTGATCGGCATTCACGGGGATCTCGTCTCCGTGACGTATTGCGCGAATTCCCTCGCGCGCGAAAAAGAAATCTTCCTCGCAGTTAAAATAACAATACTGATCGTTAGAATAATTATATTAACGTGTGCTGACAGAAGTGACTTTATGACGTACAGTATGTACCTCGCTCGACAGTTTAGCGATTTACAATCATTTACAATGCGAGCAAAACAACGCCAAAGTATAAATAACGTAGAATTTCATGTTTCGACCAACTTCACGGTTCTCTGGCGGCGAGGGAGCGGGAAATTCATTTTAATTAGAGACCTATAATATAGAGCCTCTGAGGTCAATTGTGTAACTTGAAACGAGTTAAAAATTACAAAAGTCAGTAAATTCGCTAAATAACCAATGAAATTATAAATATTCTAATAAATTTCCTCACTTCTGTAACTTTTACATATACATATATATAATAATACTATTTAGCTACGAACAATTTTGTCAAAATAAGAGTGAAAAAAGGGTGTATATTGGTTTCATATACTATGTTACTTATCTCATTCTTATTGATACTTACTCATTCTAACTTAATGAAGTTGACGAAAAAACAACGGGCCAATCAAAAGTTTATTCTTTCATGGCCAAACTTTATTATAGGATTTCCAGTTTTAACAGAATTCGCGTGCATATATATGTAACTTATAGTTTCTTATTTATACCTAATTGATGTTATTCTGATTCTTAAACTATAATTATTATTAGATGTAATTAATATTATATGTTAGTATTATTTATATATAACAACGTAATTTGCAATTTTCATAATAATAAAAAATGCAATTATGTTAATGATGACTTTCATAATCATCAACCATAATATATAAATCTCGGCTAACAAAAAATATTTATAAATATTAATTAGACTAGAAACGTTTTGTAATAAAACAGACGAGTTTACAATTATTACGCTGTGTATATATAAACATCAAATATATTTAAAAAATAAAAAAAAAATATGTATTGGAGGAGCTGGGATTTGAACCCAGGACTTTCAGCATGCGAAGCAGACACTCTACCACTGAGTTACACCCCCACTTGATAAACTATTCCTTAAACTGAAAGACATGAAACACATAATACTTTTAGATCGTTTTTTTATAATTATATAAGACTAAATAACAAATTATATAATAGTATAATATTAAATATCCTAAAAAATTGTTTCATTAATTGCTATTTTTTATATAGGAACAATAATAAAATATTGTTCTCATTTTACATGTCGTGTACGTAAAGTGAAATATATATTCTATACAAATTAGAATATTTAGGATTTTATATCATTATACACTTCTCATTTCGACATTTTTCAGTAATGTTATATTATATATTTCTTATATATATTAGAAACGTGCTATTTTTCAAATCAAAGTCTAAACAAAATTGAAAAAAGTAACCAATATAATTAACTCGTCTGATGATCCTTGAAATTCTACAACGTTGATTTTTCTGATACTACAAAATCCTTTTAATGTAAATCTTCAGCAGCATTCACTCATCTTAATTACACTTTTTACACTTAATTATTTCTTTCTGCTTCCTTTCGCAAGCAAGAATTTACACCTGTTTTGTTTTAAGTGTCGAAAGTGCAACTAGCATACGAATCATAAAAAAAGAGCAACGGAATTCTCCTCTCGCTGATTTCTTCTTTCCATTGAGATCCAATCCGCAGCCTCCTACGAGATCAGTGAAGGAGCGTGCGAGCAGAGCTACCAATCGCGGCGTTTGCGCAATCGTAGTATAAATCCGCCTTGAGAATCACGGCATTATCCGCTGGTTTTGGCCGCACTGTTCACGGCGACATCATCCGTGCCTCGCGCAGGCAGACATGTATTATTGATGCGCTAACCTATGCGACGGAGCAACGCTCGGCGATCCGTCGCGAGTAAGATTCCACACACAATACCGGTGTAACAGTGCGCTTTGCAGTCTTTTGCACTCGGCGATCAATCCGTGAATAAAGAGTGCCGTCGTACTGCGTGAAATTGCACCTCGTTGTGCTGCAAGTTCGTTCGACCACGACGACGCCGACGACGACGACGACGCTCAGCCACCGACGTCGCAACGAACATCTTCTCTGTCATCGTTCGTCGTCGCCGCCGCCGTAGACGTTCGTTTCGGAGGATAAGCGCGGAAAATTATCCCGTGGGTGATCGTCTTTCGTGCATGTTGCCCACGCGCGTCGTCATCCCGACCTCTCGTCGACCGCTGCTTGCTCGACCCGGTCTCATCCCGCTACTCGAACGTAAGTTGCATTGCTTCCAGCCGTTTCGCTAGAACGATTTACGTGAGCGATCTCAATAATTCTTATCGTTATACATATATTCGATATATTAATAAATTGTTGACAAATATTGAAATGTCATTGATGCTAGATAAACAAAGGCAGGTTTTCTATTGGTACGTTATCGTCAACAATTGTTAACGATTATTGTAGACACATTGAGAATAGATAATTTATTGAATCGCGATATGGTCTAATTTGTTAATATTAGCTTAAACAAATTTGTTTTTTTCATATCTACTATTTCAGAATGGAGTAATTATTGTCTTTATCTATAGTCTTTCTGTAAGAGTACTATTTTATTTGTTATACAATTTATTTTTTAAGTGCATTAATTGGCTACAACATTTTTAAAGATTAAAAACTCTTTTGTAACTAATTTACTTGATATATATAATGTAGATTTAATCTCGATCCAACTTATTTTTTCTAGTTTTAAGAATTAGAAAGAGATAAAGAGTAAATTGGACTAAGATTAAAATTAATTTACATTGCTAGAAATAGGTATAAGACTAATTGATGTATAAAGCACAGATAGAGTATATATTTATAAAAAATATGACTGATACTATTTACAGGAAAACAACTGTTATGATACATGGTATATGGATAAAACACGTGTCAATAGATGGTAGAATGTGAAAGATTGGACTGTACTAAGTCCAAAGGAAAATCCAGTGATTTGTGGGAAGAAAGGCGACATTGTCCACCACGGCTTTCACCGAGATGGTTGGATTGGCGGGCGGGGGAAGTCATTTGTATCCCTCGCCCCCCATGCAACCAAATCCAGAATGTAAATATTGCAGCAATAATTGTTATAGTATTTGAATGATACTTGTATCATTTTATTCATATTTCAAGGCATTTATATTTAATAACTAATAAATCAGCTATTGAATAAAATTAATTGATTAAAGATTAAGTAGTTAAATTTTAATATCTTTGATTTTAATTATTTAATAATTTTATTTCATATACATACTATTTGGAAAAAAATATGTTTAAAATGAAATTATTATAATAATAATTAATAATAAGGCTCTATAAGAATAAATCTAAATAATCAATGAAAGGACTAAGAGCCAATTATGTATAAATAAAGAATATTTAATAAACAAACAAAAATAAAAAGAATTTTATGCATATATGATTTCACTAATTTTTATAACTTATTTTTTATGAATTTTATAAATTTAGTGAGAGAAATGACTGGGATAGCTCCTAGCGCTCCAACCAGCGCAGATGCCTGCTTAAGCATTGTACACTCGTTGATGTGTCATCGTCAAGGTGGTGAAAGTGAAGGCTTCAGCAAACGAGCAATTGAATCTCTTGTGAAGAAACTCAAAGTAAATCCCATATACATATCTCTATGTCATTAATATTCCAAATTATACAGTAATATATTTATTTTTGCTAATTTTTGAATTATTTTCTTTTGTTTTATATTATATAGAATGCGTTCCATTTAGCGCTCACAACGCTCCCGTTTTTATTTATCTTTGTTTAACTTTTGGTAAACAACAAGGATGAAATGATTCCATGAGCGTTGCAAGCATCAAGTGAAACACATCCATGTTTGATAATTGACTACAGCTTTCGTGAAACAAAAGTTGCTGTTTGACAAAGTCATTTATCTCTAAAATTAAAAGAGCTGATTCTCATGTTTACCGTATGAGAATCGTTTGACAATTTGTAATTGCTTTTCCGTTACATTTTGAAACTGTGGCTATATTATTATTCACTAGGAAGACTGAAAATCTATAGTTACATATACTATAGATTTTCAGTACTATCAGTGAATAATAGAATGCAGTTAATAAAGATTAATTTATGATACGTATAATTTGCTCAACAGGAGAAACGTGACGAATTAGATAGTTTGATCACTGCGATAACTACCAATGGCGCACATCCAAGCAAATGTGTCACTATCCAAAGAACTTTGGATGGTAGGTTGCAAGTAGCAGGGCGAAAAGGTTTTCCTCATGTAATTTACGCTCGCATTTGGAGATGGCCGGATTTGCACAAAAATGAACTGAAACATGTGAAATACTGTCAATTTGCTTTTGACTTGAAATGCGATTCCGTATGCGTGAATCCCTATCACTATGAGCGAGTGGTATCTCCGGGCATAGGTATGTCACGACATGTAATCTTGCTTTAAACTTTATTTTTAACACTTAGTATTGGTATTTTAATGTACGCATATCATACTTCTTTCTTTTTTTTTATCTTTATTGTTGTCATGGAAAACGCTCGGTTAAATTTGATTCTAACATATTTTATCGTAATTATCCATCGAAAATATATAAATAAAAATGTATAAATTGTGCATTCTGGGGTTAACGAATATAGAGTATTAAAGTGAAAAAAATCATTGATTTTTGTGGTGTCTTGATGGAATGGGTTGGTTTCCCCCACACAGACCCGTTCTTTACAGACCTATCTGGCTTGTCATTGCAATCCGGTGTGGGTGTGGGACCCGGTGGAAGACTGGTCAAGGACGAGTATACGGTTGGTGGCGGCGGCACGGCTGCTGCAGCGGCCGCTGCCGCGGTTGGGTCCGCGATGGACGTGGACGGCGAGATGAATCAGACGATTCAACATCATCCACCGGCTCAGTCAACCGCCTCGAACAATGCACAACAGACTCAGCAGGGCTTTATACCTGGTTTACCACCGCCCAATTCAAGTAAGTTGAATGTTGCGCTATTGTATCTTTCCATTTTGTGAAGCTTTTACTTTATCAAAATTTTCATCAATTGGCTTTACACGGTGTAAATATGTTTGTAATTAATGTCTGGTGATTAGATGGTAGTATATCTCGATGAACCGGTGCAACATGTTAACACATGGACGCATCTTTTTATCTAAATATAAGAATGTCAATAAGTTATTAATGTGACGAATCGCAAATTTGGCATGTGATGGTTACGTTTCAGGAAAATTTATGCAGATACCATCTAAGTATGCTAAAAATATACATGCTATTGAATTTGACGCGCTCGATATGATTGTTAATTATTAAAATGATTGCGCTAACGAGCCAACCGCTTTCGTTTATTGCTATCGAATGTAGATTTAGCAGGCAAGAATACGCTTTGCAAATTTCTCTTTTGTTGCGTAATATAATTTTTGTTTTGGCTTCATTGTTTTCTTTTCCTTCTGATTGTTCGGCACAGCCAGTACTGAGGGTATGTTTAGCGCCGGTGGGGGCGGCAATAATGGTAATCCCCATGCTAAACTGGACGACAATAATTGCCCCAGACAAACCTGGATACCTACGCCTCATCACTCGGCAAGCCGTAATATGCATCATCGTACGTATTTCATTGTACACTGCTATTTATTTAAGGAGCTTCAATTATATGTCGCTGATTAGCCATCGCTCAATGTTGCCAGTGTGCATTTTTCATAATTTTTAAAATCGAATCAGAATTTCCCAAATTAAATGTAGTGCTTTATAAAATACGGAGTAATTACAAAGCAATTGTATGAATGAGAAAGACAATCTTCGAATTTATTTCATAGAAAACGCAAGATAGATTTTAAATGACATCCAATCATGAATAAATCATGAGTACAAAGATGATTGAGCACATTCGTTACGATATTAGACTAATGTTTAAATCAATGTAACACACCTACCTACACAGCCAGTTTTATCCGAGAGATATCCTGAGAACGTCCTTTGGATGTTTTTAAAATGTCTTTTGAAGATTTGTGCTATATGAGAAGATTTTAAATTAAAATAAAATTCTAATTTTAGAAGAATCTAAGATTCCTGAAATTTGAAAGCTCGTTAGTTTTGCAATAGCGAAAAGACCAAAAATCAATTATTAAATAATTTGGAAAATAAAAGGGCTCAGAGCCAGTTAAGAAAAAGAAACATTTTAATCACAAATATAAAATGATGATTACTTACATATATACAAATATTAGGTGCTTGAATTAATTCTCGCTGTTTTTTGCTTAAAAAAGACTTGTGTTTATTTTGTCAAAAAAGTACCTGATATTTCATTTACAATATTGTCCATCGAAAGCTATAACCTTTTCCCATTTTTCGGGTAGAAATAGATTTCGCGGTAGAAAAATTCAGATTTTTTCGAGGCGATCCAGTCATCGAGCCATTTTTTGATATCTTCGAAATAACTGAAGTGCTGCTCAAAAAGACCATGCTGCATCGACCAAAACAAATGGTAATCTGATGGAGCAACGTCTGGTAGACAGACACACAGAAGGCCTTCATAAATCTTATATACCAATTATAAACAAGGTTTGACTTTGCATTATCATGATCTTTTCATTATACTTTCTGTGTGACAGACGGTTTATTTTATCGTTATATACATATCATTGTATGTTAAATATTTTATTACTTGTAACATTTTTTACAAACTTATTCGGATTTTGTGTTACAATTGATGGTCCCAGAGATGAATTCATTTTCTGAGAGATAGAGATGCTAGTTTTTAATACATATGGTAAGTATTTATTTTCTTGGAATCATGAGGTATCTATGTACCGGTTATCCAATCGCTTGACAAGTATCCAGGTTTCTCAGAACAGTCACTCAATTTTTCTGTTAGTTTTATATTTTTTGTATATTTTTTATTAATTCTTAACTAAAACCGTCTCTAGTCTGCTATAATGCTTTACTTCGTATTTAAATTTTGTATATCTGATGATGGCCAAAACCGGTGGTCGAAACATGTAATGCGCTTTTTACTATTATATACTATAATAATAATAATAATAATAATAATAATATAATTGTTTATTATTTAACACATTACATATTTTATTAATGTTTAATTTTTATGTTAATTTTTTTATATAGAGTTAAGTCAATATATTTGTGTCGATACAATTTTTAATTTTATATGTTTGACTCTTATTAGCCTTTTACCTATTTATTATATTTTTTCAATATTAAGAGTCCTTTATTTATATATTAATTCTTCTAAACCAATCTCTGCAAGTTGTTTCGGGTTTCGACATTTTTAATGCGATAAAAAATTGTGTTCTTTGCATCCAATAAAATGTTATATACTGATTATTAAAGTCTATTAAAGTACTTTCATATATATGAGCAGTCATTTTCGGCCATGTTGAAACAGCACAAATACTGATCTCTCCCGGCCAACAGCGAGAATTAATTCAAGCACCTAATAATATTTCTTACAAATTTAATTTTAATAAATTATTAAAATCTATAAGAATATATAATAATTCTTAGATAACGAAAACTCCTGTACAATTCAAAAACAAACTTGGAAAGAAAAGGGCACTAGGAGTCAAACGGAGACAACTTTACGCAAACGCCGATATACACTGGGTAACAAAATTAACGCAACACCTGTTTCACTGTGTGCAAAAATAGGCAAACTTCAAGATAAGAATAACTTCGTCAAAAATTATCGTATCGAGATATTTAAAAAAGCATTTTACAGCTTGTGAAACCTCTACTTTTCAGATCGCTGCTTGAAAAATTGGTTTCACGGAGATTTTATGAAGTTACACAAACATAAATGAAGATATATCAGATCTCAAAATTTTTTACGAAATTTGTGGAGTTCCACGGGGCGGACTAAAAATTATACGCAAATGCGATTTACATCAATCGAAAGAGCGAGTCTTTACCTTTAATTTGCTTTTTTACGAAGCTGCGTACGATTTTTTTTCACCGAGTTATTCAATGTTGAAGTAAAAATGACCCTTTTGCTACAACGTTGAATAACTCAATATATTGCAAATAATGCAAATAATATTGCAAATATTGCAAATAAGATAAAGAAATTAGTGTTCCCGACGATATGTGATAGCGTTTTTCTATTAATAAAAATGTTCATAACATGAAATATGTTTAGAAAGAATATTTTGGGAAACGCCGATTCGCGCAACAGTTTCAGAGCAACGATAGCGAGGGCCATGTTTGTTACGTTTTGATATTTTATGTTGCCTGCATTGTGTATAAATTTTGATTTTACAGCAGTTGTACATCCAATGAGTCACACCGTAGGTAGCCAGCAACAGTCGCTGAATGCAGCGTCGAGTGGAACATCCGGTGCGCAGATTCTGAGTCCCGCGCAAGGACAATCGACCACCGACACATTCTACAACACCACCACACCTCCGCAGGATATCAACCAACCCCCGACAGTCGATGCGTTAGCGGCTTCTCTGGGTAACAAATTTTTAGCGTTTTACTTAGACTAGCAAAAGTGCTATATTCCTAAATCTTACAAGAATCTTTAACATTTTTTAATATATGAATTTGTTTTCCTTTTTTTTAGTAGGTGAAGGACAGAGTTCTCCTGTGTCGCCTGTTCATCTTCATCATCCAAACGGTTTTCCCGTGGGTACAGCCCCGTACAATTCCGGTGCGCCACAATGGACTGGTGCCAATACTCTCACGTATACTCAAAGCATGCAACCGCCAGATCCTCGACATCTTCATACAACATCGTATTGTGAGTTAATCACATTAAAGTAAAAAAAATTTCTTTTTAAACAAATTATTTTTTTGTAATGATAAGGATAAAGTAAAGGGTAAATCCGAGAATCGTCGGTAAATAGAATTAAGAAAGAATTTTTACATTTGAAAAAAATTAAAATATAATTAAAACAAAATTATACTGTATATATAACATGTTTCGGCATCATGTACATCGTCTACATATCGTGCTTACTGCTATCTCCTCTTCCAAATTAGAAGATTTAAAAATAATATTTCAATACAAGGACTCTTAATATAAAAATGACAATTGTGTAATACAAAAGGACTGATAAAGAGTCAAATTAATAGAAATAATTTATTAAAAAATTCAAATAAAATACAATGATTTAATTATAAATTCTACTTTAACATTTGATGAATTAACAGAATTGCTTTCTACAGTTTAAACAAATTACAAAAATGTGTAATGTGATGAAATATAAAATGATTTGCCCTTTATCCTTATTTTTACTTTATCCTTATTTTTTTTTTAATTGAATATTAAGACTGATTTAAGAGATTTATTTAATATTGTTACGCCTCACCGACACGTACGACGTATCACTCGCGCGCGAAATAAAGAGAACTCGCAGTTAAAGAGGAACAAGAACGTTTATTGTAACAACAAGGAACACAACGAGAAACGTTTATAATCAGAGATGAGAGAGATCACGTCCGCGCGCGAAGACAACTCTCATCCAAATCTGTCAAACAACGACGTTTAAATAATTTAGTCTTATATCTATTTTGTGTGCTCGTTTATATGACTCTTTGTATAATTGATTTTTATTTATAATTACAATAACGAGTTGTTCTTTCTATTCTTCTTCTCTAAATTTTTTAACTCAATATAACTTCACATTGAATCTAATAATTCAATGAAACAGGGGGAGGCCATGGAAATGACGTCAGTGGAAACATTGGAGGATTGCTCTCTACGCAACCAGCACCAGAATATTGGTGTTCCGTTGGTTACTTCGAATTGGACATTCAAGTCGGAGAAACGTTCAAAGTCAGTAGTGGTTGTCCCACAGTCACCGTGGACGGTTACGTAGATCCTAGTGGCGGAAACAGATTCTGCTTAGGTGCCTTGAGCAATGTGCATAGAACAGAACAGAGCGAACGGGCACGTCTTCATATAGGTAATTATAATTCAATTTTTTATTTAATTTTATTGAGAGTTTTTGAAAGAAAAATATTACAAAGGTCTTTGATTACAACAAAACATTTTAGGGAAGGGCGTTGTATTGGATTTGAGGGGTGAAGGTGATGTTTGGTTAAGATGCCAGAGCGAACATAGCGTCTTTGTACAGTCTTACTATTTGGATAGAGAGGCAGGTCGGGCACCTGGTGACGCAGTACACAAAATCTATCCCTCGGCTTACATTAAAGTCTTCGATTTAAGACAATGCCACAAACAAATGCGAGGTCAAGCCGCCACCGCACAAGCCGCCGCAGCAGCGCAAGCTGCAGCTGTCGCAGGCCATCTTACACACGGAGCGCCTATCACCAAAAGTAAGAACTGAGCATCTATCAATGACATATTTTTAATAACATAACTAAATTATAAATATAATTTAACATATAAATAAAGTACATTTTAATACACTCACAATAATGTTCACATAAAATGCAATTATTACTCAGGTCTCAGCGCAGCTGCAGGGATTGGAGTCGACGATTTACGAAGACTTTGTATCCTGCGTTTAAGTTTTGTTAAGGGATGGGGTCCAGATTACCCGCGACAAAGTATAAAAGAAACACCATGCTGGATTGAGGTACACTTCGTGGTTTTACCTTGCGAATCTCTTTAATCAGAAATGTTTTAGAAAAAAACGCAAAAACTAGTACTATTTAATAAATAAATAAATCATTTTTTAATTTATATAAGAATAAACATATGAATGATTATAAATTTAAATTAGAATCAAATTACCATATATTTTACATTAATTTACCATTTGTTATAACTTTTTACATATCTTCTAGTATTCTATTTTTAATATTATGTTATTTCATTTATTTTCCAGGTGCATTTACACAGAGCGCTTCAATTGCTGGATGAAGTGTTGCATACAATGCCTATCGATGGACCACGAGCAATCGAATAATTTCATCGATTTAAGTTATGAGAGACGCAAAAAGACCATCACTACGTTGTTGCTGAAGTCAAGTGCGCAAGTGTAACATATATCGTTTGAACAATCATACAAGTAATTTCAGCTTGGAAACGCGAGGTGTGTGGACACACTGGATGGACTAAATTCAGACGGATATGATCAAACGATTGAAAGATGAAATTCGGCTGGGAAACTTGGGGAAAAGATCTTACGGAAGCTATTTATATATTTAACGACTCGTGATATAATAACCTGTGTAGGACAGGGGTTCTCAAACTCTCCGACGTCCATGTTGCATGGTCCGTAGATAAAATTTTTGTATATTCTAAAATTCTATACATTTTGCATGTAAATTTTTTTTATTATAGAGTACATAATGTAACTTGTCCCTATTTTTTTATTTGCAAATAATTTTTGTTAGACAGTCGAAAAGAAGAAGGAAAAGATTAATACGTACGTGTGCGCGCGGTAGTTATCACATATAATACATAAATGATTTAGTATTATGTCGAAATTGACATGTCAAGTTCTAATTGGAGGTCTCTCTTTCATTATTTTTATATTATTATGTCCTAGATTTTTTTGTAGATAAGTGAGAAAAATATCGAGATAGAAATTATTAAATAATATATATTATATATTATATATGTATAATGTATATTATATTATGATTATATCATATATATGTATATTAATATATATATATTATATACTATGTATATTATATTGTATTATTATTTAATAATTGTTTATATAATATTGCGAGCAAAATATAATTTGGTATTTTAATCTTTTTATCATTATTGTTTCTTGGCTGTAATGACCGTAGAGGGATCGAAAAGCACTTCTCATGTATGTTATGTATTTCTTCATTTCGTGTATATGTTATGTTTATTATAATATTGTTACCATAGTCCTTCCATACTGAAAAAATTCAAGTTTTATTTTAATATTGTTCTTTGTAATAACATGATATTTATATTCTATGTCTCAAATCATAGTCATTCTGATTTTTTAAATACAAAACTGCATTTTTTATTACATACATCTTGAATATAAACATAATTGTTATGGACATTTAATCCGTTTTATTAAATATGTAATCTAGTAAAAATATATTAGAAAAATTAATTACATAGGTCAAATTATATATGTATTGAGAAAAGATTTTAATTAAAATTCAATTTTAGAGATCCGATAATGTTGCTGAGATTCCATGAGAAAAAAAAGCATTGTTGTTTCTCTTACTTTTATTTTCTTCTTCGTTTTGATAATTTTTTACTGGTTTGAGAACCCCTGCTATAGGATAAAATATGTGCCACGGCCTTGCACTACTACCAACGTACAAAAGTGAAAGAAACGTTATTTTTATTTACAAGATGTAATTTTTTACGGAAAGAGACGACGTGACGCGTCTCACCAACAGAGGAGCAGAAGAAAATAGAACTAAGTTTTCTATTTTGCTAGGCGTACGATGGAGATATTTCCTCGCTAATGCGCAGTCCGCTAAGCTCACAGTGATACCAGTTTCAGAACCATTACATAGTCACGATCTTGTTCTTTGAGATTAGCTTTGTAAGATAACTGAACTCTACTATTTACATTTCTTACTTACTGCAAGTGTTAAGCTCAACATTTATATTAGACAAGAGAAGTCTTGCGTTTTTGGATTCCTGGATTTGTAAACATAAGATAAAAGAATATATCAAAACTTTTTTATATTTTCAAAAAGAGAATAATAAATTTATAACAACAAATTTTAAAGTTTATTAATTGCAGAACTGGAAAGAGAAAATATCGATGTTGATTTTCAGCTTTCCAATGAAATTTAGTAATTAGATGTATGGATTCTGATATAAACGTTCATGAATCTAGAAATCTAGAGATCTGGGACCTCAGGGATCTCAGAACCCAGGAATTTTGAAGTTTGAGAATCTAAGAATCCGAAAACGCAAGAGTCATAGGATATAAGAATTATCTTTATGCACGTGTATACAGTAGGGAAATTTTCTCTAAAGACACAGTAATACATTTCTGGCAAGTAGCAAGCATAGATAGTTCGTAAGGATCACTTACGCATACACACAGTTATAATCTTTCATAAGGATAAACTTTTTTTATTTAAATTCGCATTGAAGAAATATGATATCACACATTTTTTTGAGTTGTGAAAAGATCATACTTATAATTAGAGAATATCTTTATCACAATTTATATAATATTATACATATAGGCAGAGAGAGAGAGAGAGAGAGAGAGAGAGAGAGAGAGAGAGAGAGAGAGTTTTTAGAGAGAGAGAGAGAGAGAGAGAGAGAGAGAGAGAGAGAGAGAGAGAGAGAGAGAGAAAGTATGTAGCGATTATATTAACAGAAAGGCGTTAGAATTATTTGTTTATTATCAATAGTAACTTGTTTATTGTCTGTTTTACAGTTTATAACCAAAAACTATTTTATATATAGAAACTTTGAAATTCTATAATGAGTATACTTGTTCATCTTTTTTATTTCTTCGTTTCGTGAAATAAAATCTTTTAATTTCTTAGTTATTATATTGATTATCATACTAGAAGATTAGTAGCGGGTTGTCGCCATGTCTTTCTTCATTATTGATGCCAATGTCTCGTAAATCATGCCGTTCACTTCATCAGGGCGAAGGATACGCTGATACAGTATTAGCGCACCCCTTGCCCTGATGAAGTGAACGGCATGGTTTACGAGACGTTGGCATCAATAATGAAGAAAGACACGGCAACAACCCACAAACCTTCTAGTATATTGATTATCATTATTATCATTATTGCGGTTATTGGAGGAGATAATAAATTATATAAAAAATAGCAATGTATAATTTGTACAATTGTGTGTACAATTTGGAGTATTAATACATGCTTTAAACAATTTTAGAATTCAAGAAGGTCTAAGAACACGATTTATAAATTCAAAGATTTTAAAGTGGAGAGATGTGAGAAAATTTAAGAATTTTTTTTAAATATATATATTACATGTAATGTATTATTTATTTGTTATATCCTGAGAAAAACATTAAAGCAGTAAATTAAATTAAATTGAATTTATGTGTATGGATTTCTTTCTCTGGTTGTACGTCTCCACCAATTAACCGCCGAATGTTATTACTATTATTACAACGTAATACTTGTTGAATAATTATACTTACTGTTTACCAACTATTTTATTAAAATATAGTCGTACAAAATATTCTTACATATATAATATTTGATAATATAACACATAGAGAGTGATTATACATATTTGTATAAGAATGAGAGAGAGAGAGAGAGAGAGAGAGAGAGAGAGGGAGGGAAAATGACGAGGATTGAACGTTACCGTTTAAATTAAGTTCGAGAAGAAATTTGCATTCTGAATATATACATAGAAGTTGCTACATGGATGTCTAACGATTACCGTATTATGTTTCTTAATGATAGATCTCTTGACGGAGATCTGCGTGTACGTCAAGGAATCTACAAATGGAAAAATAATTCAGTAAACGCGGAGCACGTCGATGTACACAATGCCTTCCTTTGATCGACCAATGAAATGTACACACAGCTCAAGTATATTGACAAGAGATTCTTGCTTACAAAGCCAAGCTAGAAACACATGTGCCATCGTTTTCGTGCATATATAAGGAGAGATATAAAACTTAGAACTTCTTACAAGACTGTATTTTTAACTCCAGACTAAGCATCTTTCGAGAATCTAATAAGAATCTAAACTATACCGCTAATCTAAAAATTTAGATTCAATCGCGAAGCATAATATTTCGAAGTATCCGTAGGTCTAAGAAGCCGAAGAAAAGAGATTCAGACTTTGACAATTGTAAGAATTATTAAGAATCCAGAAATGGCTCCGAGGCTCTAAGGATTTTAAGTAGGAATCTAATAAGTTGCTAAGGTTCCGCAAACCTACAAATTCCGTGGTTCTACTTGATAAACCGAATTCTGCTCCCATCGTTTTAGTGCTTAGAAATTTCCTGATAGCATAGGAAAAAAAAAACAGAAAAAGAATGCAGTTCTTGAAACAAGCTATGAATTTTTTAACCCATTTTACATTAAAGCGAAAATCACGCGAGGCGCGAATAAATAGATGAGAATCTCGAAAATTAACAATTGGAGGGCTCATCGACATGCTAAATGCAAGATTAATAGATTGTTTCTCGACTAAGAGGCTTAAGTATATACTAAAAGTTGATCTCACAGCATATTTCATTATAGCCACTTATACATAATGGAATACTGCCACTGTCGAGTTCACGAATTTTGCAAATGTTGCCTTCAGACGGATGCAATTTTGAAATACAAGCGGATTTTGCAAAGTCTAGCCGTCAGAAAATGATTAAATTATTCTCGCGTTGAATTTTCCTCGCTTACTTTATCGTATGGAATATGGTATTGTCCAGATTTAACTTTGAAGCCTAAAACTTCCGAAAGACGAAAAATTATGAGGCGTTATAAATTATTCCTTCGTCCAAAAGCTCAGTGCGAGACAGGTAGATCTATTTTCTCCTTACTTGCGTTTCTTCAAAGCAAATGGCACAAACTATTCTGCGTCTAAGCCAAAGATCCCCCTGTCCCTTCCCTCGAAATACTACAATTGTTACAAACTGTTAAAAAATATACGACGAGATTCTTCGATTTCTTTTGCGCTGGGCGTTCCGAAAGATAAATCGAACAGAAAATTAAAAAGCTGCTTAGATAGTGCAAAATTCAAAGTCAAGAGATATTACGATGTTTTAAAAGACATCTTATATATGATCCGATTTTACACTGTGTTGTTTGAATGATTAAACGGAAATTCGAATTAAAAGTCAACAAAGATTGTTTTCTAGATACTTACTTGATAAACGATCGAAAAGAATAGTAACAAACGTGCGAGCGTCTTTTCGGAGCGTCCCGTATGCACGAGTGTAATTATTCGTGTGTTAATTATTTCCAGTAACATAGGATTCGTTAATTTTGCGACACGCAAATGGAATTTTATCGCAATTCCATGCGATCTTTGAATGGCGTAAGGAGTGAGAAGGAAAAAAAGAGAAAAGAACCGACATTATTATACTATATAATATAGATACAAATTAATATCTGTGATTATCGTCGATGCAGATATATTTTAAGTAATTTCTACAGCGTTCGGGCACATTTGTAAAAAAGAAACGGAGGACAAGAAAAAGGAAGAAAAAAATTAAAAAATGAAACTATAATTAATAATAACCATATATATGGCGATAATAATTTTAGGGCGATTGTTGAGATAAGATTTATTCGTGTTTGTGTTGGATGATATTTTGTCGTATCGCGTGATGACAAAGGTTAATTAATTACGCATTAATTGTAACTAGGATAATTAATATATAGTGTGAGCATGCTATAATTGTTGTTTCGAGGAAGAAGGGAAAAAAGAAGGAAAAATACAAGGAAAACACGAGGGAGCTCGAATGAATGTATTTCGCGGAATTTGATTTTGTTGTTGTACATTATATAGATACATCGCATTATACACGATCATTTTCAATAAACATATTCTATAAATGATCTTTTGCTTTTGAACATTTAATAAAAAAATTATATACTTTCGTTTCTCTTATGAAGATTATATTAGGGAAAAGTGGTCTAAATCGGACCTATTTGCAGTTTTTGTTCTCTATGAGGCGTAAATAAAGTCTGAGTTCTGAACCGGACCTCTACTATTTTTATGAACTTTTAGATAGAATTTTAAAATATTTTAATTAATTTTTGTTAGTATTGAGTAAAAACAGCAATTTAAGATTTAAAGATAAAAATACAGTTTATGTTATTAGAATTAAAATCAATAAAAAATTCCATCAATCTGAATTTATTGATTTAGTGTTCCTTAGACCAGATTTGGTCGGTCGATCACTAGTACTACAACCAGATTGTGGCGAACCTTTTTTCTTCGATAAATTAGTTGGCTTACTCGTCTTTTAGTGTTTTTGTATAGGTCCGATTTGGACACGGGTTCTTTCGAACGATTGAAATAAATTTTACAGTAAACCGCAAAAGTATAATCACAAAACTCTTGAAAATTTTTGAATTCTACACTCTTTTAATTATCTTAAATCAATTACTGTTCAAATTACGCTTTTGAGGCTTTCACGGGTATTTTCATCAATTATATCAGAAGGTTTGCGGGTTGTCACCGTGTCTTTCTTCATTTAACGTTTCGTGAACCCCATGCCGTTCATTTCATCGAGGGCGAGGGGTGCGCTGATACTGTTCAAAATTTTTAACATCTTTTAAATAATGATTTACAAGGATTTTCTTTTTAAAAAAAATTTTGCATGAGAGCCAAAAATATATATTTGCGTCTATTCTATGAACTTTATGATAGAGTATTGCCAAACTGCTGTCACATATATGTTCAGTGTCTTATAAGGACTTTACATTATAAATAGCATGCAAATCTGCTTAACTGTATTTATTTAAATTAAAAAGGTCTGATTTGGAACATGGTCTGATTTAGGACATTCTCCCCTATATATACAATACAATGAGAGAGATTAGAGAACATGATTTGAGTAAAAGCGCAATTTCAAATGCGCATGCGCAACAAACCGCAGTGCCATGTGTCTGAGGTGGGCAGGAGCGGAAAAAGAAATATATCATAACCATAACCTCTTTTTTGAAAAATTGGAGTAACATAACCAAAGTTTGCCAAAACGGTGAAGTGACGAAAGATTTGTGTTGTTATTTCGAAACGTATGTTTGTATTTATTATTTAATTGTTATCAATGCTTATTGATTATTCTAGTATTATATAATAAGTTTTTACAAGACTCTTTGTTATTAATACTCGGTATCTACTACTCTATATATAAACAAATTTCGTTAATTTTTATTTCTTTATTTAAAGGACGTTTGTTGCAATATCGTATTGCAATGTTAATTATATGTTTAATCTCTTTATTTTATATCTATGTATATGTGATACGCATCTAGACGTCCAAAATACAAACATTTTGAAAACGTCTTATATCCGTATTTTGGACGTAATATTGTCTGAGTATATACAACAAACTGTTAAATATATGAACAAATGAGATGATAGCATTGTAGCGACAAGTGTGAATATTACAGTTGATAATAATACAATTTCATAACAATGTTTTTTACAGTTCTAGAACAATGCAAACCTTGAGAATAATAAATGTTAACACATTAACAATGGGTACTACAGGATTTTGTGAGACTTTTATTCCAAATTCTGTCTATACACAGTGTATACGTTGGAAAAGGAAACCAATTTGGCTGCCTACAGCAAAATCTAAAATGTTTCGAGTACCAGAAAGACCTGTCATACCTATGGAAGATTACTTGGAGTTGAAGCGTTTATATAATAATTATAGGACATACATAACATCATTTAAGTACGTATAATTCTATAAATCTGACTTTGAAATTAATGGTTAACAAAATAAATATGATTAAATAATAAAACCTAGAATATTCTATCTAGAGAGAGTGAAATTATTGCATATTCTTAACTTAAAAAATTAACCAATAATGTATTGCAGAGCACATTTAAGGCAAATTGTAAAAGAAAATGAGACACAATTTAGTGAGACAGTTAACGAATTGAGCGAAGAAGAGGACTTTGAAGCCTGTAATGCTATAAACAATGAGTGGAATGCAGAAATAGCAAACATACGAGAGATCAGGCTGGCAAAGATAAAGGAAAAAAAAAAAAATGCTGCTATGGAGTATATTTTAAGGCAAGAGCAGAAACAAGAGAAACAAAAGATAGAACTCAACGAATGGGTTAAAAAGGTTAAAAAAGAATCTGTCACGTTCATCACTGCGGAGAACATTGATGCTGCGATCGAGGAGTGTTTGACAAATGTCGTTAATCATAATCGTGCGTTGGATTTGGAAGGGAATTGGCATGAAGGAAAGTATCCTCCAATCTCACCGATTCCACCTGTAGAGGAGGAACAGAAACCAGTGGCCATTGAACGACAAAATTAAATTTGAAAATTTCATATTTAGACTGCTTGAGAAAGTAAAGTCAAAATTTACTGGATCTATACTTTTTTTTTTCAAGTAGTCTAGTCTTTCACTGAAATACTGATAATCGTGATAAAAATATGAGCTGTTATATTATAGATTGTAATAAATATAAAATAAATACTTAAAAATATTGTTCCTTACTGTACATAATTAATATTCCTAGAAAAATTTAAGCGCTTAATTAATAAGAGCTTAAATATAAGCATACCATTTTATATTTGAAAAATAGACATATATATATATATATATATATAATATGATGAAATTAGAAAATTATGATACAGAAATTTCAGTGCACAAAGTTACACAAAATAATAATGCGCAGAAGGCACGACTAATTAAAGTACCGGTTAGTTAGTCAAACTTTGCGTTCTTGCAGAGAGCTTACGGGAAAAGTGTTTAAAGCTTGTATAATTAGCGCGCTATAGAACAGCTCATTAAAACCGCGCGACTCGAATGCAACCTGGTTGCAATCACGACTACATACATGTATATACATATATACAAGCGGCTGCCTGCTGCTGCTATTTACTTGCTTCCTTTTAATGCATTTCAAGCAGTCTTTCGCGAACAACGCGCCGACTCGCACCACTGATTTTGCTCTTTCGACTCTCGAGACAATACGAAACAGAGAAAATATTCGTGAACAAAGTGAAATTCATCCAAATTCTAGATTAATATATAAATAAAATCGCGACGAAAATAACTGTTGAAATTGAAAAGAAAGTCGCAGTGTTCTATGTGATAATTAGGTGAATAAAACGGAAACGGAACGTGAATAATTAGGTGATTATCGGGAAATTATATTGGAAAGTTACACTAAGTTACTTTTCATGTTATTAGTAAATTTTCAGTTATTTTATATTATAAAATTAATCGATAAGACTTTCGTACTGTAAAATCACTAGTTGGAAAAATTTTTTTAATTAATGACTAACTCAAGTTTTTCCAAATGAAGTTATATATATTTTGTTCATAAACTTTTGGTTTAGATTAAAGCTTATAAAGGCGAATCTTTTCACCATAAAATACAATCGATCAAAAAATTTGTCGTTCTCCAAAGGATTCCAAAGGATCAACAGGATTTAATTATTACAAATTTGCATATCAGCGAAAATGTACAGTGTACATGTGACACCAGGAAGATCCACGGAGAGAAAGAAAAACTCGGCTGACATGGATAATGAAATCAGAACGTATGGAAGACGGAGGAAGGAATCGATTTCTGTGAAGCTGGTAAACTACATCCGTTCGCAGTTTCAATCGGATACTATGTCGGGTGAGTCGGAAAAAGTTTAGCGTTCTAAAGAATTTAAAATATGCAATATGTTATTAAATTTTGATTATAGTTGCTAGATTTTGCCGAGTTCTACATTTTTACTATTATACGATTACCACATAAAAATTAGACATAAGCATAAGTTTTTTTAATGCATGAACTTTATTTATTTATTATATATTAATATACAACATCCTGCAGCTCGACTGCGTAATCCAACTAAAAGTACATAAGAAACTTTCATTTATTAATTTTTATCTATATAATTTCGTATTTATATTTATTTGTTTTCTATATAATATACAGGAGACAAAATATACAGTATCTCATAATATGAGCATAACTTTAGAAATGATACAAAAATGACAAAATTTCATATAAATATTAGTTTTATTTGATATTATCAATGTTTCAATTAATTAAGCTTTCTGCAACAGTGGACTAATACTTTTAAAAATGGAGTAAATAAACTTTAAGTTAAAGTAATATTGATATTTTTCTCATTACTTTAACTTTAGAGTTCAGTTACTTGTTAAAAAGAAAAAAAAATGGATAGCCTATTGTAGTAACAAGTCCTTAAATTTGGATTACAGACTAGAACAGCGTCTTTGCGTCTTACTGATTAATTATTAAGACTTATTAATTATTAAGACAGAAATATAAAGACGTTAAGATAGTTGAATTTGTAAGAATTAATGAAACATGAAAATGTCTATAACTTGGAAATAAAGTCAGATAGAAGAAATATTTATACTAACTTTTTGTATATGTAAGTTTTAAATTTGTATTCTCTCTGAATTCATTTCTGAAGTTATGCTTTCATGTTATGAAAACACCTGTATATACATATAAATCCCATATATAATATAAAATCTTAATAATCTTTTCCTGCTAACACACATGAAAAAAAACATAAAATCTCACATCGCACAGCGTTACAATTTCACGTAAATAATAATTCACGAAAATACTTAATTAATATATATATTATAAGTACCATATCATTTTATCTCCAATCCATATTTGCCTTTGCAAGATATCGAATCCTGAAACTTCTGTGCCTTAAAATAGAACTTTCAATGATCTGCGATAGAAGCGTTGTATGTTCAAACATAGTCCGTCCATCTATCTCCCAAGGTAATATTGATTATTCGACTTCCATTTCTATTTGATATTACTTTCTGTTCAAATATCGCTTTCATTCCAGTTACAAATCAGAGACATAATTGCTCGTGTCACTCGTCGGTGATGCAAAAACGGAAGAGTATGTTGTCATATTTCGCAACAATCGCACAAAATAATTATTGAGGCGTAATTACGCGGTACAAAATGACGGATAGGCTTTGGTTGTTCCAGTTCCAAGCTGGAATATTAACAAAAACTCTTCCATGACTTAGAAACAGAAGAAGATGGTTATTCTGGAGAAAAGTTCCTTCGTCGTCACTCCGCAGTTTGGAGAATGCTATTCATACCTCTTAAATTCTTAATAATCTTTATTCTAATTATTTGTTTACTATATATAAACAATAAATCGCGCGCGAATTTTAAGTCTTTGCTATATCCGACACGTCCGGGATATCGTCGATCCGATCAGCATTGTAAAAAAGCGAATCTGAAACCTGGATGTTTATGTCGTCGGCGATGGACGGTGGCTCGTATTGATTCATCCATACATCATTGATGGGAGTGTTGTTGGTGATCTCTTTCAGATCATCGTTGTTAGTGATGATAGCATGTGTTGATATTGATTGCTCGAGAGGATTGCTGGATACATTCGTCATTCGCATACCTTGCGATGTGTCGTTATATAACATCCAATAGGGCGAAAAAGAATGTTGTCGCTGTTCGGCAGTGTATCTTCGTTGAATCGAACAGCCGTTAATTGCCAGACTAGATCGCTGCGAGACGATTGGAGCCACGTAGCAATAGACACAGGATGTTTGACTTAATTTGGAGTAATCTACTTCCTTGGATTCATGATAATTCAGAATATTCTCCAAATTATTGTTGGACTCGGAAGTCCACTTTGGCCAGAATGCTTCCACTGTTCCTAAATGATGAAATATCGCTTAATTAAAACGTAAAAAAAAAAAATAAAATTTGTTCTTTAAAGAAAAATAATTGATATTATTAAGAAATGTATACATGAGTTTTTATGTAAAAAAATACATATAGTTTATGTATCTTATTTTTACACTATGTTTGCTTTTTATATTATTTATTTATATCAATAAAAAAAAGAAAATAAACGCGCACCATTTGCCGGTCTCTGCAAATTTCCCGTACTAGTTTCTTGATTAATATTATGTTCTAATCCTGCCATAAGATTGCTTTGCGGTTGCTCGAGTCTTTCGTTGAATAGATTGTTTGTTTCTTGAGTAAATCGAGGATAAACGTACTGTTGATCATTCGCATAGACATTTTGCTGCACATTATTCTGTCCGAAAGTGTCAACGTTACGAAAATAGCCCGTGTCTACTTCCCCATTGTGTCTGCCAAAATTTTGCAGATAATAAATATCAGAGGGATCGTTGTTGGTCATTATGTCTGTGCCAGTTGTGTAGTTGATGTCCTGTGCATCAAAGTTGAAGAAGTTTTGGCCGTTGTTGCAAGAGGTGTCCGTTTGGTACTGATAAGTCAGATTGTTGTCCGCGTTCGTGGCAGCCACAGTAGGATCCGTGTTATTGTAGTAGATTGCATGGAACACGCGAGAGTTAGAGGACTGCAGATCGCCGTCAGGCACTTCCACGCTAGTGATTGTCCAGTTCTGGTAAGAATTGGGCCGATTGTCTATGTCACTGGGAAACCTGTACTGATTGTCACCAGTTAACACACTCGAAACTTGCTGAGGCACCAAGTTTGCTTCGTTTAGTAAAAACTCGCCCCTAGAATTCTTTAGCAAGTTGTAATACTCATTGGAATTTGCGTCCAGCTGATCCTCATTCTCGTTGTTCTCTGACTCGGCGGTTAAAGTGTCAGAATTATCTAGTAAGTTGCTAGCCCAAAAAAGAGAGCTGGCAATCTCACCTAGATTGGCGCCTACTGGTGCTTGTAGCATTCTCTTCAACAAAAACGACCCCTGCGAGCCTCCCTCAGGTTCCTTCAGTACTTGGTAACTCGATCTATCAGTCGATGAGATCGCAAGAGGATCCATGTCATTGACTAGATTCACTTTCGGATAGCTCGGCTCGATAAGAGGGATCGTTTGAAGATTGGGCGACATTGGCGTTGCCCGTAGATCTACAATATTCAGATCTTCCATCTGATTATTGTTGTTGTCACATGCTTGGAATTCCCGTTGAATCCTCTTGAGCAGGAACTGCTTAAACTCCTCATAGTGCGGGATCTTTGTATCATCTTCCTTACTCACTATTTCCTCCTCGGCACCGATCTGCAAAAATGGAAAGCACTTTGTCCGAAGTCAAACATTGCCGCTTGTTTGCTACATCACGAAACCGAATGAAATATGAAAGAATAGAAATGAAGGAAAGAACGAAAATGCAACTTGTGATTGGTATGTCAATGCCATATTGCAACTAAGTATGAAAATTTATAATAACTTACCCACTGATAAGGCGATTGTTGTTGCGGCTGCTGTTGTTGCTGACAATAATAGTCGTTATCAGCCATTATATAGTCAGGACTGTGCAACGGTGTCGATGTTATCCCAAGTTTCGAGTCCTTTGACTTTCTCGTCTTTCTCTTGCGATTCTTCCTCAGCTCTTGTAGCAACCGGCAAAACTCTGCATCATTTCCGCTTCTAGCGGCTTGCAGAACTTTGACCAGCACTTTCTTCTGTAATTCAGAATCGTGAAATGAAAGTGAGACAATGGAATCAAACATTTGCAATAATTAATTAAATTAAAAGAAATGGAAAAAGAATCGAATCAGTGCGCTTCTTACTCTGTAGAAAGTGAATGGCAACGTTTACGAAACATTGGCATTAGCAATAGATCACAAACCCTTAATTAGCACCCCTTAAGAATTGAATTTTTTTATGTGGAAACATTCTAGAATTATCAGAACTGAGACTTTAAAAGTCAAAATTTTACGAATATTGGTATTTTTAATATTAAAATATACTTAATTTTTACATTTTTTTTTTATATCATTGATTTATGATTTATAGAAACTCTGAATTGAAAAATAGAAACTTTATAATTACTTATTAAAAAAGTTGTAAATTTGATAAATGAGACTTTGGAAATATCAAAGTTGAGAATTGATGAATATTTTATGTAACAAAAATTAAATGTTTTACAAACAATTACTAATAAAAATTACAGTAGATTATAGTTAATGATTAATATAGCTATACTATAATTCGATTAGTTCTTTTTTTTTTTAACTAACAATATCTCGTCTCTATCTACTTAGAGAAAGTAAATAAGGACGAAATTAACAGATAAATACATAATAAAAATATGTAAAACGATTAGAGTTTATCCAGACAAACTTGCACAATTGCGTAAATATATATGCATAAAGAAAATTATTCAATCGTATTTTACATGCATTCTTATAACAGAAATACAATTGGATAATTTTTTTTTATGCATATGGTTATGCGATTATGCAAGTCTGTTATCTGAATAGAATCTGATACCATTAGCTTTAGCTACACTTCGCTACACTCTGCATTCGGAACAAAAAGTACGTTTTTCGTATGATACGAATGATGTATCATTTATCTTTGTTGTTGACCGAATGTTAAACAAGGATAAATGATCCTTCGGTTGCATTATCTGTGCAAACAGAATGTGTGGTGCATAAGCGCAGACATTGCAGACTGTTGCAGACTTCAGGGGGGCAAGAAAGAAGTAATGAGGCTGAATAGAGCGTAGGGGAAGTCCCGTCTGCGAAAAACTGACAAGATTGATGACGTTACGTAGACAATTTCACGTAATTCTTGGTTAGGATGTCGCGTACCTCTCTGGATCGCGAGGCAGCGTTATACGAACGAGAGGAAACGATTCGTTCTTGCCGGTCGCGAACGATTGTCCTGCGATGATCATTCATGTCCACTTAAATCGTGGAAAGCGATCAAGACCATCGAGACTGGAGTGAAAACGGCGTTCGAATGGGCTGAATATATACATCCGTCCGTTATTATTAGAGCAACCCCTTGTACGACACGATGACAAAGACTATTCGGACGATGCAGCAACTTGAGGTGATTGTGACTTGGTTAGGAATTTCCAGGTCGTACGTTTGTCTGGATCTTGTCTTCGATCGAATCGAGAGAAATACGGCTGACCGGCGATTTTAACGCGCCACGATCGACTCCCTTGGTCCAGGTGCCCACAGAGGATGCGCCGGAGCCCCTTGAATCGCAACCGTCGATCGATCGGGGCGCGATCTTCGACAGGAGTTCGAATAAATTTGTCTTCGTAACAGAAACCGATGACGAGAACGGATTAAATGAAATGGGGAAAGAAAACGGTCGTTAGGACATGTTCGTCGCGATGACGAAGGCGGCGGCGACGACGACGATGACAACTCACCTTGATGTTACCCGGTACGCGGTACCTCAGGGCCAGAGCCTGCAGCTCCTTGTAGGACAGCTGTGCGATATCACTGCCGACGTTCATGCTGCTGCTGCTGTATCTGTATGGCGGAATTTCGTCTGCTCCGTCGCTCGCCCGATCCGATTTTCGAATTCGTGCTGACTGACTTTTAGCGCGAAACGCCATAAAGCCTCGTTCTCAGCAGGACGCGCAATTAGAATTATCGAATACAATCGCGTTGAAAAGGAGAAGGACATATGCTGGTAATATCGAGGCCAATCCGGTGGCGTAGTACTTATCGATTGATCCGGTCGCGAAATCGAGATCTTATTGATTGTCGGCTGTTGTCGGCCTAGTGGATCCTTTCCGAAGTGCAGTTCGAGGAAGTACTATTTAGATGTCAGTCTATCTTTATTTATTGTGAGTAAAACAAGAATAAGATGACATAAAGAGTATTAATACGCATCTTTAGTTTCTCGTGGAAAGTTGACGCGCCAATTCTGATCGCGGAATCGTTAAAGAAACGACGAGAAATTCCAAGGTGTAATAAGACTGGTTTTAATTGTGACGATCGTCGCACTTTAGGCATGTCTCTTCTTCCGTCTGTCGTCTATATCGGGCAATCTGCATTGTCTTTACAGAGATGTAATGATGGTATGTCTCGATATCGCGATCGACGTAACGTTTGATTTATTCATTTGATCTAAACCTCGCACAATGGAGTTATACATAGAATTAGAACATCATAGATTGAATGCTTTCCAGCAAGAGAGACAAATGAAACAGAAAAGATGAAGTAACTCACAGTACAATACAGTGAGTTTGTTTCATGTTTATTTAACAGTAGAAATAACAAAGATGTTGTGATTCACTTTGTTATATACACTGGGTGCTTTCCAGCAAGAAACAGATGACATGATGTAACACAGTGAATTACATCCTTGTTTGCTAATGTTAAACACAGATAAAGATGCTATCATCTGTGCTGGAAAGCATCCAGAGTCTTTAAAACCTGATCTACAATATATTATTTGCTTCCTGTTTCTAGTTTATTTACTTTTTGTCTTTTTCTCTCGTTGTTAGGTGAAAAATACACACTTTTGCATAACGCATAAACCATATACATAAAGAATTTGATTGGTTCATTGACTCATGCATAAGAAAATGGGCCAATGAAATTCCTTATGCACATGCTTTATACGTTATGCAAAAGTGTGTGTTTCTCCGCCTTACTGTTTTATAATAAACAACAAATGTGTTTATTATCACATGTTTCTTGTCTTCATCAATTTTATCTTAGACAATAGGAAATGAAGAAACAAAATAAGAGGTAAAAAGTAGTGAAAAATAAGAACTAGGAAACAAAGAGCAAAATATACTGAATTATATCTAATCCATATTATGGAATAGATATAATTCAGTATGTTACATTGAGTCATCTATATCTGTCTTGCTGAAAAATATTCGAAATTATTCGATGCAAAAAAAATTTATTTAATTCTAATCATTGATTAATAAGTTCTGTTGCGTTTATTTCACTTATTTAATTTACAATTTCAAAACATGCTAAATGAAATAATTAACCAAGATCTTTCCGGTTTTGCTTTCAGCACATTTAATATTTTGAATGAAATTACAAAGAATGTACTAGAGAAAGAAAAGACAGAGAGGCAAAAGAAGAGAATCCTCATATAACATAATATAATTAAAGCAACATATTGTCAACATTTGACAAATTGCGTCGCAGATGGACTGGAATATATTCTCGCGTGTGCTACTTTTGCATGTATTGACTTGCAAGTTTGTTTATGCGGAAAGAAGTTCGTCAAGAGCTCGTAAAAAATTTACAGAAAGTCAAGATTCAGATGTACGTATGCAAAAGTTTATGCAAGTAAGAAGAAGGATAAAAGAGAAAAACGTCAAAGAATGAATATTTAGATTTAACTCCATTAATTCGATTTTTTTTTAATTAAAAGATTTAGACATACTCAAGTTTCCTCTAATTAGAAGAATTAATTGTAATTGAGGTAAAGAAGTATTAAAAATTAAAATTTAGATATTTGCATAAGCATAATTTTTTGTGTTAATAAATTGCTTTCTGAATTTGTAGAGCATAAAATATTTTCTTCTTGTTCCTAATTTTAAATATGGGAACAATATTAGGTTTTTTATCATTTATAATTTTCTTTCCTGAATAAATACGGTTATCAAAAACAAAATTAATAATTGTGTATTGAGTTCTCAATGGCTGCGTTCAGCAGAAAATGCAACTTTGCAACTGTAGTAAGATTCTTTAATATAATTTATATACTTTTAGATTCGTGAAGAATTAAAAGGGCAAGAATCAATTATATTTAAAAAATTTTAGAACAATTGTGCAAAGCTATTTTTTTTTAATATAGCCATTAATATCTCAGCGCATATTCTATTTTTCGGCTTAAAAATTAGAAATTTTCTTTATGTACATCGAACATTATCAAAGTTCTAACTAAAACAAACTCCAGAAATTATTTATATAGTTATTGTAAATGGGAAAAAAGAGAATATCTTATGTAAAAATAAAAAATTTTCAGAGTCACAAAATGGTAAAAAAAAGTTCTATTTTTTATAATTAAAAATAGAAACATTTTTTGGGTGAAAGTTTGAACCACCGGCTCCCAACTGGATACACATGTGATTACTTGGTATGGACCTTTTATTTGCAATTTTATAATCACAATTTCTAAGTGCTTCGATTATAACTTTAAAACGATATCGACGTTTGGCGCTTTGACGTAAATAAGTATAAGAACGCTATAAATTAATTAACCGTTCGCTATTTTTGCGAAATCCGATGGGGGATTGATTCGCTTTAGCTCGTCGACTTACCTTCATACAGAATCGATATATGGCTATTTGAATAAAAAGCGAATGTCACATACATTTAAATGTTTCTTATAAATTTCGAGATAAATATTGGGTTCTCTTGAAAGAATTTTGAAAGGAGTATACATATTATAAGAAGCTGAGATTTATTGAAAAACAATAATAGAAATTTTTATTAAATTATTATTTACATTTGATACAATAAGCCTATGTTTTTTTTAGAATCGAATTTTTTACGCGATTTATCTTTTCTTTTTTCTAGATGGTATAAGAAATTTAGCTAAACAAAACAAGCTTAATGTTTCAAGTTGCGCTTAACAACTTGATAACTTATCAGCCGCCATCAATATGTTAGTACCTTTTGACAATTACATCGTTCATAGAATTTACGGATAAATTATTTTTTAATTGAAACAGCGATTAAAGTGGCCTGATTTGTCAATTACGTCTTACGAGATGACGTTTCACGAACGATTCAATAATACAATGGAATTGTATTATTGGAAGGATATCTTCATAAGCCAAAATTTAAACAAAATAATGAGCAAGATATGTTGTAAATTCTGTTTCGTGATACAGTACAATGTTTACCGTTTCTTGAAAGCTTCGGGGCTTTTGAAATCTTCAAGATAGCTTTTAAAGGTTCCAAAACTTTCTTCATTTTTAAGTTTTCAATTTTTATTTAGAACTTAGAGGTCTCTAACGATCGATTATATCTTACTATACTTAGTTTAATTTATTTTTTATATTTTTACTTTTCTTTCTAAATTCCAATTGGTAACAAGTACAAGTTTATATAAAATTTTGTTTAATTTTTAGCTAGATAAACTTGATTCTTCTAATTATAAAACAAGCTGCATGTGAATTTACATCTTTTAGTTCTTTTTAATTGGTAGACTTGATTCTACTTGTGATAAGCATTAGAAAGTTCATGTTGATATTTTTTGTTTTTGAATATCTATAGAGATCTTAATATATTATTCAGAAAAAATTAAAAAATTTCTTTTTCTAGATATAAATCTTTCCAGACGTTTGAAGGAGATTTTTAAGAATTTTCAGTGACAATATTCGAAATAGCAATTTGAAACTTTTTGTTTGAGATTCTCGCTGAGTCGTTTCTACCATTGGCAGTCGAAGATCATCGCACTTGCGCGTTAAAAGCGACGTGTGGCACGTTTTCTCACGAACCCCTCCCCCCCTCCCCTGCGATGGTTCAGTGTGACACCATCGGCGCAGTGTAACGTCATCCGCAGCCACCGTTCAGCATCGCGAAGGACGGACAACATCCAGAGCGACGTATCCCGTGTGCAGCATCCGCAACTGCGGTCCAGCTTTTCACTGTTTCTCTTACTCTTTCTCTCTTTCCTTCCTTTTCTCATACCGCTCTGTGCGCGTGCGGAGCTCCTCGTTCGGAGCGTGTCTCGGGATGCGTCGCATCAATTAGTGGTGGTGAATCGAGTAATCCCGATAATCTCGTCCCGCCGCCGATATATCAGGGGCAGGTCGAGCAGGAAGTCTGCGCGCTTGCTGGCCGATGAAGGCGCGTAAGAGCCGCGACAAACGTAAGTCCGGAAGGCAAGAACGACCGTAAAGCGCAAAAAAGAAAGACTGCCCCGCGATCGAGCTCTTCCTCCTGCTTCCTCGCCCCGTGTCCGTGCGACACCGTTCAATATATGTGCCACTGCCGTTGATACTTGGACCAGTCGATCGACTACTCAGCGGAGAGCGTCGTTGACAAGCAGAGCGACAGCCGGGGGGTGATAACTGCCGAATGCAGCACCAAGGTGCGATGATCAGCGCTTGGGTCCTCTCTTCTCTTCTTCTCTCACACCTTTTCCATTTCTGTGGAAATCGCCTGATTATCTATTTGACTGTCTCTGCCTTGTCCGTTTGTATGTAGTAATCCCGTACTCTATGAATGGTAGTTCTTGTATATAGGTCGGAGTCCAATCCCCTGTCGCACCACCAGGACTGTCAATGTGTCAAAGGTCATATCCGTGTCGGCTTCGAGCCTTGCTTCGAGTCTTTGGATATATCTTGGGAGATGATATTTTTGGCTAACACTCTGTCTTTGATTTTCCAGGTCTCGCCTATCGATTCTCTGATTCTTTTGTCATTTAAACACTCATCTTTTGATATTTATAAAACCAAACCTTCCTCCTTCATCTCACTCGATTCAATTTTGCACCTATTTCACATCGCACAGCGATGTTGCACTTTAAGATTTCAAAATTTTCGTATTTTTAAATCTTCGCTTTTTATAAAATCTTAAAGATTTTATGTAATTCTTGGATCTCTCTGAATTCTCTAGCTTTTTCGGGATTCTCGGATCTTCATTTTCTAATCTCTCTAATTAACTGTCTCCTTTGATATAACGCTTTCTTCAAGCGTAAAACATTTTACATTTAAATCTTAGCTTTTAGTTTTTAATTATAGAGTATAGAATTTTTAAGGGTTAAATTCTTTTTTAATCTTATGGAATATTCTCTAAATTTATACATATACTATTTACAGATTAATTCCTAAATTTTTTTGTATTTTCTTGCAATGTAGTATTTCGTAGTAAAAGGCAAAATTAGTTCTAGTACCTTATATAAAGCGAATTAGTATTTAGAAAAAATTAAAAAGAAAGCTTTTTCGTAATTTTTTTATTTAATTATGTTTAGACAAATAATTATATATATAAAATTAAATTTTTTTATACGTATAAAGCTATACTTGATTAACCCCTCCTTCATAAATGAAAAAATTTTGCGTCGCGAAGAATTTATCTTGAAGGTCCCTCCGCATTTCTTGACGAATACTCACCTACATTCACAAAAGGAGGGGGTGATCAGGAAGTAAGGGGTAGGAGCTGCATCGTTACTATGGCAACCCCGGATACCCGGGACCAGAGCTAATAGTCGCAACATGTACAGAGGATGGACGGAACGTCGCAATTTGTTAGAAAGTGATCTTTGACATGTTACTATCAGTAAATTGTAGACGGTACAAATTTGCAATGGAAATTTTTACGTATATCCCTGATTCTAGCTTGAATAATTTGATTATTCAAATTATTAGATTACTCCTATATATATTTACATATTTTTTAATTACCAAACTTTAAAACTTTTAAATATTTAGATTAAAAAATTTTGTAGCTCTTAAATGTGCTCGTGAACACTTGAATGCTCAGACTTTTTAATTCCTGTATCTTTAGATCTCTTTTTGAATCTTTCGATTATTTTTTGCTCTTAGATCTTTAGATTTTTCCCATGTATTGTATTAAATTATTATCGATTGCTTAAATAATGAGTAGTTCTCTTTAGGATTATTTTGAGCGCTTTCTAATAGTGAATTTCTATCATGTTTGATTAATTAACAATATAGTATTCAATTCCTATTTAATTTATTGATTCGTTAACAAATACTATATGTTAATAAAAATTTTTTTTTAATTAGAAATGAAATTGTGTTTATTTTATTGCTCGTATTTCTGTTTACAAAAATCTGTTGAATTATTTTCTTTTATAAAATATAGATAGAAAAAATATAAAATTTATTTTTTCTTGCTCAAAGCATTAATTGCATTCACTATAAGAAGTATCTCTTTAATTAAATCTTTTTATGAAACAAAACAATCACTCCCAGCACAGTAGAATCCATATAAATGGATATCCTTTCACTCTCAGAATATGAAAAAAGTGTTCTCGCAATATCTTCTTCGAACTCTTTTTCGATATTCCTCAATTATCTTCTTAAATGATTTGCACTATAAAGGCAAAGTTAAAAGTAACTATTAATTAATGATATGTCAAATATTAATACTTTAATTAAAAAATCAATAAAAATTAAAAAGAAAATTATATGTATGTATATATAACTGATATCTTTTTAATTTCTTTTCACAAACTTGGATTTTATTTTATAAGATATTTAACTTACTTTTGATATAAAAAAAACATAAATTCGTTTATAAATTCGTAATTATAAACAAAATCAAGCGACTTTGTGTAGTGCAAATTATCTCCATTTCTTCACCCCTGTTGTCTCTCGCCTCTCACGACTTCTCCGCCTGCAAGTCTCTACGCACTGTGTAGGCCCCTTCTAGAGTAGAGTATATCCCTTCTTCAGGGATCTACAGTCACGATGATTTTCTCAAGAGTAGAAAAAAGTAAAGTCAAAAGAACCCTTTTATATATTTTTTTTTCATGTAAAAAAATTGAATTGGAGACCTCCCTTCTCGGTAATCACGAGCGAAGGGAAATTACCGGAACTTTTCGAGCGAAGGTTCTTATTCTCCCGCGCTCTACGCCAAGAGGAGGGAGGCGCGAGAGGGAGCATCTCGAAGACGCGACGCAGTCTTAGGAGTGAAGGGCTTGCGAACTTGCAGAAGGAGAACTTGAAGGACTCGGGGGCGTTTTAGGGAGTTCCGGGGGCGCCGCGCTCGCTCTTAGCGGTCGACACAAACCGGAGGAGCTTGCCACTCTCGCGGCCACCACGAGATTTTCGCGGAAGGAGATCCAACTGATCTACCGAGGTTTCAAGCAGGAATGTCCGAGTGGTCTGGTTGACGAAGATGCCTTCAAACAGATCTTCTCGCAATTCTTTCCACAGGGAGGTAATGAAGGGATGATGATGATAACAACAATGATGATAATGATTCTGACTACTCTGTTGAACGATAAATACAAGCGTCTTATTTCCATTTTTGTAAATTTTTAATTGTAGATAAAACAATCGTTCTTGTATAAAAAAGAAATTTGGATAATGTTCTGTCTCACTTCTTTCTTACATTTCGTAACGTTCACATCAGATTTTGTTGATTCTTAAAAATTTCTGTTAACTAAATTAAAATGAAAGAGAAATATTAATTCAAATAGTTTTTTTTTATTTTTTTATTTTTTTTACAAAAATAAGAATTTTTTGGGTATGTTAAGTTAGCACCCCAACTATAGTACTCAGGAGTTCTGATTAGAGTTCCCACTTCCTTTTGACGAGACGAAGAGTTCCCTATAGTTAATAACAAGAGTTCCGCTCAATAAACATTTTTTTTACATTTTTTAAAAATGGGGTGCTAACTTTTTATCGAATTTCGAGGTGGAATAGTTCTGAGCGGCTTAATAGCTTCAATTTGCGATTGCCTAGAGTTCCTGATATGTAAAAAAAATTTTCGAATAATAAAAAAAAAATTAAAAATTTTTGAAAAATTAATTTTTAGATACAATAGTTCTGATGATAATTTCTGCTTCTTTTTGACGATACGAAGAGTTCTCTATGATTTTTAATGACATATGCGCTTAATAATCATTTTTTAATAATTTTTTAAAAATGGGGTGCTAACTTTTTAACGAAATTCAAGGTCGCATAGTTCTGATCAGCTTAACAGAAGTATTTTGTGAATACCTAGAGTTTTTGATACATAAAAACATTTTTGAAGAATAATAAAGTTTAAAAAAAATAGTAGAAATCTTTGAAAATTTTTTTGAGAGTACCGAGTAGTTCTGAGTTGTGTTTCTTGTAGTACTCGACGAGTTCTATAGAAAACTGTAAGGTGGAAAAGCGATTGGACCAACAGTTTGCAAGATACAGCGACATTTGACAGAAGATCAACAATTTTTGAAGTGAGTATATCTTAGAAATCGTTGGTCCAATCGCTTTGAGCCCTGATACTTTTCGACAGAACTCGCCGAGAACTGTCCAGAACTCCGATCAGAACTACTCGGTAGTCCCAAAAAATTTTGACTTCAAATTTTTTTCTAACAATAAGTCCCACGTCGGAAAATTTTTTGAGAGTACCGAGTAGTTCTGAGTAGCGTTTCTTATAATTCTCGACGAGTTCTATCCAAAACTGTCAGGTGAAAAAGCGATTGAACCAACGGTTTGTAAGATACAGCGACATTTGTTAAATTTGTAAGATCATACAATTTTTAAATAAGTATATCTCAGAAACCGTTGGTCCAATCGCTTCTTCACCTTACAGTTTTCGATAGAACTCGTCGAGTACTATAAGAAACGCTACTCAGAACTACTCGGTACTCTCAAAAAAATTTTCAAAGATTTCTACTATTTTTTTTAAACATTATTATTCTTCAAAAATGTTTTTTATGCTTCAAGAACTCTAGGTATTCACAAAATACTTCTGTTAAGCTGATCAGAACTATGCGACCTTGAATTTCGTTAAAAAGTTAGCACCCCATTTTTAAAAAAATTATTAAAAAATGATTATTAAGCGCATATGTCATTAAAAATCATAGAGAACTCTTCGTATCGTCAAAAAGAAGCAGGAATTATCATCAGAACTATTGTATCTGAAAATTAATTTTTCAAAAATTTTTAATTATTTTTTATTCGAAAATTTTTTTTACATATCAAGAACTCTAGGCAATCGCAAATTTAAGCTATTAAGCCACTCAGAACTATTCCACCTCGAAATTCGATAAAAAGTTAGCACCCCATTTTTAAAAAATGTAAAAAAAATGTTTATTGAGCGGAACTCTTGTTATTAACTATAGGGAACTCTTCGTCTCGTCAAAAGGAAGTGGGAACTCTAATCAGAACTCCTGAGTACTATAGTTGGGGTGCTAACTTATCATACTCGAATTTTTTATAAATTTTGAAAGATTTATATTTTTTATTAGGCAAATAGTCTATCTTGTGTTATACGAAGAAATTATAAATTTTTTTTTGAGTTATCATTACCATCCCTTTTTGATCACGTGTTGTAGACGCAAGTCAATATGCTCATTATGTCTTCAATACCATGAAGAGGAAACCGTCCGGCAAGATAAGTTTTGAGGTGAGCGATGTCGCAAACAAAATGTTCTAAAAAAAATACAGAAATGTTTCCGTGATTTTGAGCTCTGTTTTATATTTACTGATTAGACGATTCTAGTTTTACAGGAAATTCATAGATTTAGACTGAGTTATAAATTTTTTTAAATAGGAATTCCTCACTATACTGTCGAAGGTGTCAAGAGGATCGGTGGAAGAAAAACTGCAATGGGTATTTGGTTTGTACGATCTGGATGGCGATGGCTTGATAAGCAAGGAGGAAATGCTGGATGTTGTGGGCTCCATTTATGAGATGTTGGGTCGTTATACGCAACCGCAAATCCATGAGCCGCACGTGGCCGCTCGCGAACATGTCGATCGTATCTTCCATGTGAGTAACATGATATCTTTAATTAGTTAGTACAAAAACAGAACTGAAAATAATTACTTATGAATGAAAATATTTAATAAAAAATAAAATTTATAAATTATAAAACTAAATTATAAAACACTAATTATTCTAAAAAGATTTTAATTTCTTTTAAAAAATTCTGATTTAATATATTACATTTTTAACTTTACTTTTTAGTTTTTAGCTATTATAAATAATATTTTGTGCATATTTTTAGTTGATGGACGCGAATAAGGATGGTGTAGTGACCATCGAAGAGCTGGTGCAGTGGTGCTCCAAAGACGAGCAATTGTTGCGAAGTCTCGATACTCTGGACACCGTATTATGAGAAATTAACACTCTATCAGAAATTTCAGTATCAGATTATCAACTACGCTTTGAGCAATGATTATGAAATATCATAAACCTATCGAGTCTTCTCTTATTTAAAGATGAGGGGAAATTGTAGATGACATAAATTTTCAATAATTTAATAATTATAAAAAAAATTGATTAAAAGCATTAAAAAGATTTAAAAAAAAAACGGAAAAATCTAATTAATGGGTCAATTCTAAGCAAATGTATCATTAACTCATAAAATCACACTATAATGCTTATAACTTTATGTAAAATTTTTACTGACAACTTCTTGCTGTATAGTCGTAAGATTTACGAGAAATTATAAGTATTTACGAACGATCGTATACTTTACGATATGCGTAGAATTACAATTCCAGTCTCAAGTTCTTATCAATCTTACAAGGACAAGTTACGAGCCTTACGAGTTTGGTTAGAATTGACTCATAAGTCTGTTTACGAATTGTAAATTTTTATTGAATTATAAACGTAATATGAAGTGCAATAATGTGACATTTGTGAGAAGAAAAAAAATCAAACGTGACCAACCGAAATGTCATTGCTCAAGACGTATTTTTTAAGAAAAGGCCCTAGAGAACCATTTCGCGCGCACGTGTCTTTTGTAAATATGTATTGTACCTCGTTACACCTACCCAGTCTTTCAAATACAACAACTTCCAATACGTCATTCAATAATTGAGAATCTGAAAGAATCAACGATTTAAGTTGCCTTCGAAGTTTCTCTAAGCTTCACAAAGATAGCATTGAAAATTTTTAAAACGTTGAAATTATATTTAAAAAATATCTCGAGTAGTAACTACACATAGTAATGTTGTATACAAAATCATTAAATTATTTATTATGTCGGAAAAAATAAATCGTTAGTTTTTTCAGATGCTCAATTTCTTACAATTAATGAATTAAAAGTAATCGATAAGAATTTCATCTGCAAAAACAGAAAAGATATTCGTAATTTAATTGAAATCGACAATCGATTTTAATTCAATTTTCAAATTTTCCTTATGATTTTACAGAAGAGATGTGCGTCTTACATTTTTCTAGCAATTTTTCTGTTGATTCGTATATTTTTAGAGAAAATTATAGTAAAACTGCAGAAAAGAGGAGCAACCGATGACCTTCGCATACGTTGTCATAACCCTGAGTGATCCTTAACAAGTTTTATCCGTCGATCGTTCTTCGTTAAAACGTCAATAACAGTACAAGTTATCATCCTCTATTACTACGAGACGCGCATAAAAACAAAATTCTCAATTCTAAAATAGCTATATATCTTGTTTAGGAGAGCCCCCTCCAATGACCTTGACATATGTTGTCAAGGTCATGACCATGAGTGACCTCCAACAGATTTTATCCGTCGTTCGTTATTCATTAAAAAGTTATTAACAGTCAAAGTTAGTAATTATTTCCCTTCGACTTTCCACGCGAAGCGACTCTCGCCCCCTCTCCTCCCCCCTACAAAGGAGCGCGAAATGAGAGCCATTAAACACTAAAAAATGCGTTTTCTGCTAAAGCAGTGAATTTGTGTTTGCATAGAAAATCATATGCCTATACTGTTGCACGTGGGTTTCGATTTTCCATGCAAAGCGAGAGCTATCTCACACCAATAAATGGGTTAGGTTAAGTTGAATTTTAGATTTTAAAATTACTTTTTACAATAATAGAGTTCCTCCCGCAGGTGGGGGCGGAACCTACTGTATTCACGCATACTTTACAACATAAAACAACAGTTCGTAATGAAAGTTACGAAAATCTCCTTTACAGAAAAAGAAGTGGGGTGAGAGTTGTTTCACGTGAATGCAGTAGGTTCTACCCCCCTCTGCGGGGGGCTTCACTACTGTAAAAAGAGCTTAATTAAAAGCTTAATTACCTAACTAAACCTATTTTTTGGTGTGAGGTAGTTCTCGTTTCGGGTGGGAAGTCGAAACTCACGTGCAATAGTACAATCATAGAAGTCGTGTGCCTCTTTGTAGGGGGGAGGGGAGGTGAGAGTTACTTCGCGTGAAAAGTTTAACATTCTAAACAGGAGGTGTATAGAATAGTACTAATTATCATATACATGTATAACAGAAATAATATGTTCTAAAACTTTTTTATCAATAACTTTAACGAAGGACGATCGACGAATAAAATTTGTTGTGGGTCACTCAGAATGATGACCTTGACAACATATGTCAAGATCAAGATTATCGAGGAGTTGTTCCCTTTTTCTGTAGTTTTACCAAAATTATTATTAGCAAATTTGATTGGACGTACTAATGTGCACTGATACTTATTAAGACTGTTGTACACTGTTTTAGTATATAAATGTAAGTGTACGTATATAAATGTAAAAGTAAAATGCAAATTTTTTCGAATTATAATAAAAATATTTTGTCTAGAAGCATAATAAAGTGTATTGAAAATTTCACGGTTTAATCGGTCTCTATATATTTATATTAAGCTTTTACATCATTATATCATTTTGTGTACGACAGCTTTAATATGCACTAGTGAGCACTAAGTACGTCTAATCGAATTCGGTATATGATATTTGCATAGTGTTGCGAAGTGTTTAAACTTCGAAAAATCTTTAATGATGTATATCTTATTCAATTGACTCTTTAAGGGCGTATCTGCCCTAGCTCTTTAATATTCACAAATTTGATCTTTTGATCTTAATGTACTATTATAAATGCCAAAATCGGACTTTTAAATCATCGATTACAAAGCATTATTACTCTTCTGAGGCCAATGAGGAAAACCAATGTTATCCTGTTACTACTTTGCCTGTACCTCGTGTGATTATCCTGTACCTTACTATTATATAATAATAATGTTATATACATAATATATAGAAATATTATCGAAGTTAAGATAACTCGTTGTCTGCCATACGTGCCGTCAAAAATAATATTGTTTATATTTTCTTGGATCTCTCAATATCTTTTTGTTTTAAAATTTTCTTTTGACACCGAAGTCCTTTTTGATCTCTTTGAAGTATTTCATCTTTATATGATCTCGATTATTGGCGAAATTTTTTATTTTTGGAATGCTTCAATTGCACAAAATTCTTAATTATTCGAGCATTCTTCTATTTATAGATATTTTATATTTGATTTCTCTAATAGAAAGAGAATATCGTTTTGCACCATTCCATTTTGGTTTTCATGGCAGATAAAGTTATATCACTTATTACACTCTTTCTCCAATTGTTGAAGTTTAAGATTTAATCTTTCTGACAGAAACAATTATATATATATATATATATATATATATATATATAATTGCTAAAAGTTTCTTGAATTTATTCTTGTTCGCAAATATAATTGCGAAATTTTCGGCGTTGTGAATGAAAAATGCGCCTTTTGCGTATTTAACAAGATTAGCGTGTAGCTTGTACGTACGTGTATGCACCTTTGTTAAAACACATGTAACACTCGTGCGTACCTGTGAAAAAATAAATCTATCTTTGTACCACGGACTATTGTATTATTTCAGTTATTTGTTTATTAAATTCTTAAAATATTACTTAAACAATATAACATATACAAAAAGTGTATAATAAAATTCAAGAACATATATCTATTTGTATTTGTGTTAGGTAATAGAAACTTAATAAGAATTTAACATTCTATTTTTAATTTTTATTAAACGGATGATTATTAGAAAAACTTGTATACCTTAATTTTTAATAAAAGTATCGAAATATATATAATAAAAATAAAATCAAAAATAAATTTTAATACCTAAAAAGTATAATATGGTGACTCCTTTTATTAATAAAATAAAGAACAAAAATATTATATATATATATATATATATATAGAAGATTTTTTTAATATATAATTTTCAATGAACAGTTTCTCACATTTGCGAATGTTTGATTATTTTTAAGTTTGAAAGTACCGCTTGAAAAATGACGAGAAAATATAAACTTGTATTCTTCTATTTTCTCTGATACTAAATTAACATAATTTTATATTTTCAAAAATTAAATTTGCGAACGTATAATTACAATAAAGGTAATATTTATAACATTATGTACATTTTTTTTCAATAATACATTTCTACCATTAGTATTAATACTAGCAGCAGAGAGAAATCTCTGATACTAGTATACCCTCTGCACCTCTACTTTTCAGTTTCTACACCAAATTCTTTCCTCGAATATGGCGGACGAGGCTATACTTGCAGATCGATTGAGGTTATTTCTTGCTGTGACGGAAATTATCGGTCGTAAGTCGTAACACCTTATCAAATGTTTTATCAAGATGTGTAAAGTATAACGTGACGATGAGCAAACGCGCGTTGTCGAGATATGACTTTAATATGCCAAAATTATGAGAAAATTTGAGTGGATTAAGGGACACAAACAAAAATGACGAAAATACAGTGGTCTTTGACGAAGACACCAAGTATTCTTCGGTAAATCCATAAATATTTTTATTTGTTGAACTCAATACTTATCTAATTTTTATTTTTTATTACATCAAATTTATTTTATTCCTACGTTTGTTACTGTTTATATCAGTTGCATTAAAAATTATTCAATTTCAATCTCTCTCTCTCTCTCTCTCTCTCTATTGATTATTTATACTATAAATTTATATGAACCTAATGAGCATGACGATCTAATTCGACTCGTTTTAAGGAATAATTTAAAACAAAAGTGGTGGCGGCTTCAAATTACCATCAAATCTTTATTCTACAATGAATTCTTGAGTTGGAGTTATGTTTGTGATATACTTATAGAACCCATGGTCTGGTTTGTCCAGAATTTCACTTCAGTTTTGGGTCCGGTAAGATTTTTTATATTGCTTGTCCTTGTATTAAATTACAAAATTATATTAACTTTTATATAACATAAAAGATTTTGTTTTAAATTGTTTTTTATGTCTAATCATAAACATTGTGTAATTAATTTTAGTTGAGTTAAAAAATGTATGTACTAGAATTTTTTAAATATTTTGAAGACTAATCTTTGCTAAGAAGAACTAATAAATTAAATAAAAATCTGAAAGATAATATTGACATCAATTGAAAGATATTTTTAAAGATTTTCTCATTAGATAGATTATATCACATTATATTAACATTAAGTATTCTTTTTGTAATTATATTATTTTTTTGCAATTAATAAATATATTATTTACATTTTACAATAAAATGAGTAATACTCAGACATATGACTTTCATAAAATGCTCCATGATACTTTATTTTACTAATAGATATATAATGCAAATATTATGACATCCACAATATATTTACTAAGTGCTGCAGTCCATAGGTGTTTGTGGCAATGGTAAGCTTGCTGACCATCAGCATTGTGTACATTGCCTACTATCTAGGTCTACCCTGGTGGTGGGAACAGAGTCCATTGATGACGATAATCTTACTACTAGTTGGAAATTGGCTACTTGTTAATGTCTGTTTTCATTATTATATGGGCGTAATGGTACCAGCAGGAAACCCACCTCAGGGAGGCCTTATACCAGAGGCTGTAAGCATCTGCAAGAAATGTATCAAACCAAAACCACCCAGAACACATCATTGTTCTGTTTGCAACAAGTGTATCCTCAAAATGGATCATCATTGTCGTATCCTTGCATATGTTATTAATTAAATTTTATCATCAATTCTATTTACCATAAATTAATCATGCATATATTGTAAATAAAAATTATGTTTTTGCAACACGTCCTATAATAATGCTTCCTTAATAAATATACAGCATGGTTAAACAATTGTGTTGGCCATTATAACCATCGACATTTCTTCCTATACATGGTTTACACTGTAGTTGGCGTTACATTCATTATGATATTCGGCGTACAACTTGCCTATGAGGAATTCTTCCCTGATCAGGAACCGGAATTAGATGGCCATCCAGTGCGCCTTAATAATTCGGAAATAATTCCAATGGTACGTTAGCTAATTGCACATAAATATATTTTATCAACTATCATTTTTGCAAAATCTTAAATGCATGCTTGATTGATATAGACAGAATCATTAGATCATTTAAGCAAGGAGGAACTAGCAGAAATAGCAAAAAAAGCGGCAGAAACTGAGGCCAAAGAATGGCGAAAAAAACTAATAATTTTTGCGGGTCTGATCTGTGTGGCCACATGTGCAGCATTGAGTGCTCTAGCCTGGTGGCATGCTCGTCTCATCACTCGGGGAGAGACGAGCATTGAGGCGCACATCAACAGCATGGAATCTATAAAGTATCGTGCTCAGAATAAGTTCTATCAAAATCCTTACGACTTCGGGTCGAGAGAGAACTGGAGATTATTCTTAGGAACAAAAAGCAGGTAGAATTTTTTATAAATATTTTTTAAATGTTAAGTAGCGATCATATCAATTAAAGTAATAGTATAACTAATAATATAAATCATCAATGAAAGACTAATTAAACAAGAAAGACACAATGCATATATTTATAAAATATATCGCTTCTACACAGAATTTGCAACCAGAAAAATCAATTTAATTAAAAATGTTAAACTTTGCAAAATACCTTGATGTATTTACGCAATTTGTTACTAGTTCTTTCTCATTACATAATTGTCATTTTGCAAAATTTACTGAACTTCACACATCATTGAATGTATTTGTTAAGTATTTTGTTTACGAGATGCTCAATTTTATAAAATGATAATGATTTTTATTTAAAAGAAATTAAAAATTATAAACTTATTAAAATAGCTACTTGAAATTTTATTTAGCATATAAGTATTTGTTCAATATTATTTTTGTATTAATCTCATTGTCAAAAAATTTGTTTAATATTATTTTTATAATGTATCCTAATATTGACTGTTACAGAAGTTGGTGGCATATCTTATTCCCATCAATCTATGGTCCTTATGGTGATGGTCTTACATGGCGAACTGTTCATGATAGTAAAATCTCTTGATTTTTAAAATTCGGTAGATTAACATCATTGCTACATTCTAAATCCACATCTCGTAGTTTCTTTATTCTTACTTTTCAATATTCTAGTCAGAATTGCAGACTGTTCAACTGTATCCATAATCCATAAATTCTTTCGATAAGCAATAATTAAAGCAAGTAGACTTTTTTTGAAATTGCGAAATTATTTTTACATAATAAAAATATATTACATTACAAAACGATAAATAGAAAAAAATTTGCAATGTTATTATAAATTTTTATCTTTAAAAATGTTACTTGTTCGAAAACTAATTGACAACTAATTATGTAAGATCTAGTTTAGTCAAATACAATTTAATAAAATATGTTTTTTGTACCTTTTGTAAAAATCGAATGAATTGCGATTATTGTCCTTGCGACCAGACTATATCTTCGATCCACGAAAGATAATAGGATACTCTAGTGTAAACACCGGGAATATCGATAATCGCGCAGCCTTGACCAAAACTAGTGATACCAATCAGTTGGAAAAGGCATTCGCTCTTAGGATGAACTATTTGGAGAGGACCACCGGAATCTCCTTGGCAAGTGTCCTTAAGTTTGCCACCAGCACAAATCATACTTGGTGTAATACCGTACGGAACTTCCAAGGAACTATTATGCTGTATTGTACATGACAAATTGTCTACCACATTCAACTTAGCCTTTTGTAATCGATCGCTCACCTCTCCACCTGAAATACATAATTCAATTTAAATTGGTACTTCTATAATAAAAATGTTAACCTTTATAATAAAGGACTTTACATTTATTAGGAATCTCCTACTACATGTAAATTCTTAATAAATATAGAGTTTTTGGACACTTTAGATTTAAAAAAAATTAGCTTTAAGATTTTTTTTTCAGTGTTCAGGATTTCGTAGTAAATTTTTACGCGAGGAACTATCGAACTACTTACTGTATTCAGTAACACCCCAGCCGCTCACCCAAGCTTGTCTGGGCATGATATCAAATAATTGATAAAGACACGCTGGTCGTACAGATGTGCTAAATGTAATAACAGTCATGAGCTGTATCAAAGCTATATCCGCATACATCGCAGGTGGTTTATAATCCGGATGAGTTATTATATCTTTAATGACAGTCGTAATGCCTTTTTGTTCTGTTAAGCTATGGAAGCCTATTCTTGCGTCAGTTACACCGCCACTGTAAAAAGATACAATATTTAAGACTACCTTTGTTCAAGTCTTTAAATAACTGCAAGATATCAGTCATTTCAGTAAGTTATATTTGGAGAAAAGCTGCAATTTCTAATACATTTAAGTTATAAAATCGAGTACACTTTTATTAAATTTTATAATTTTTTCTCTAGATGTGTATGTAAAAAAAAAAACAGTATTAAATATTCAAATTTAGACAAATGAGAGTAGAATATTAGCTTAAACTGTAGACTTAAAAATTATATTTAAATTTTGTGATTTTATCGGATTTACTGTTGTATTCAAGAAAATAACTAGTAGGAAAATAAAAGATTATTTTTTTATTATAATTCTCAATTGTTTAAAGCGAGAGAAATACTATATATAAAATTTATAAATACTCTCTCCCATGAGTGCAATGCGCAGCAGAAATCACCCAGACATGTGAAATCAGCGTACCGCCGCACATTAGTACAAATTCATCGGAATTGCGTTTGCCTAGTGCAACCATGTGAGGGAACTCGTCGACTTGTGCTTCGGTACCACCAACCACTAAGCGATTTGCATCCTCGCAGGTATTAGTCACCTTATGCACGCCCGACGTTGAACCAAGAGACGTTACTAAGGTCGTACCCGCAATTTCTCCCACATATTCTTCACACTCTGAAATTCATTTTATGTACATATAATATTATAATATATGTTGAATGTATAAAAATATGTTGAATGTATATATATATGTATATATATATATATACGGATATTTATATAATTTTTATATATTTCGATTTTTGTATCTATAAATTTTTTAGTTTTACACGTTCTTTAAATATACAATCATATTTTACTTACTGAGTTCTGATATTGTTTTTACTGGAGTGATCTTAAAGGGTAATAGTTCCTTCAGGGATGGTACATGTGAGGTTGGAGGATGAATTTTAGGAGTATGAGATGTAAAATCAGTGACTGGTGTTGGTGTATTAAATACTGGTACATCAAATGTTGATGCATGATAGGATGGTAGTGGTGTGTAAGGTGTTTGCGAAACAGGGCTTGGTGAATTAGAAGATTTTATATCAACCTTTGAATTAATTATTTCTCTATTAGAGTTAGGAAAGTTTGCTAGGAAAGGATTCGTATTACTATTAGGAAAGGGATTATAGTTATTATTAGGAAGGGCTATATTAGATGCCTGTGTTGTAACGGTATTTGACAAGAATGAGTTTTCAATTTTTTTACCGTTTGATGGATACAAGAAAGGATTGTTTTGAATATTGGAAGGATTTGGGTTGAGCGATTGGAGAAAAGGATTTGTCGCGACGCCATAATTCAGTTGAACTTTCTCCTTCCAAGTGCCGTTATCTAAAAGATATATCTAGACATATATAAAGTCAAAGATATCTGTACATGTATGTGTGTGTGTGTGTGTGTGTGTGTGTGTGTGCGCGCGCGCGCGCGCGCGCGCTTAAATACATATATATATCACACACACACACACACACACACACACATATATATATATATGTAAAATTGTATAGCAGAGAACTGGGATTATCCAACAACGTATTGTTATAAACTCCCGAATTATTCAACCTTGCTAATAAGTAGTAGAAAAAAATCGAGCGTATAATGTTTTGTTGAAATCGACCAACTTAATTAACAGTTCACTAATTAATAATTAATAATTGAATAATTTTATTTTTTAATAAATAATAATAAATATATATTAACAATAATTAATTAATAATTCCTAGCGTAGTAAATAACACTTGAAACGATAATCGTAAGTTTTTTCTACCAGTGGACCAAACGGAAATCACTTTGAGGATCACGAAGATCACAACCAAGCCGAAACGAAAATTCATCGCTAATAAAGAAAAACGCGTGAGAGACACACGAGAATCGAGTATTCGACGTCACGTCATTTGAAGACGGAAATAATGCTGCTGTAACGATTAACGACAGTGGAATCTGCGTTTTGCTCTTTCATATTTCATCTCCCTCCTAATTTTTTTGCAAAGAATGAAATAAGATGATAGGTAGAAAAAGCAGAAAAAACGATAAGAAGAGAGTATAGTGCATAGAAGATGAGAGTGGGGAGTGGTCTCTTAATAAACAGTACTCGGGTCATCGAAGATATTGACTTTGCAGTTTTTGCAATCTAGTAAGTTTAGCTGGATTTGATCAAATAAATAATAATTGTTAATTACACACTCTAATTGTAAGAGTTAAATCATAAGATAACATCTCAACAGAGTTTTGTACTTCTATTCAATAATCAATTGTGATACGATTTAAAATGTATAGCATAATTGTAACTTTTCGTAAATATAAAATATATATAAATTAAAACCGCAATGGCAAGAATAAATATGTACTATTTGATCGTCTTTAATTAATTTGATTAGAAATCTCTGATTTTGACACCAAAGTGGATAAACCAGTCGATGCATTTCACAAAAATTGATCAGATATAAAATGTTGATAAAACAGGAAAAAGACAAGCCAATTAGTATTACTCATCAATACACAGAAGTATATAAAAAATATAACGCAAAAAATCTTAAACAGTAAAATGTAAGCAATAGATAAAATCAATCATTTTGGATTTGCTGTTGTTTAATTGCGTCATCACCTCATATTTTCTACTGTGATTGGCCGATTTGTTACATTGTTATTTACATATGACTTTATGTTTTTTTTTGTATGTTTGTAGAAATAAAATAAGTCGAAATTATTTAATAATAAGTTAATTAATATATTTATACTAACTATTTAATAATAAATTATTATGTAGAATATAAAAATATAATAGTATAATATATATAAGATTTACTATTAAATGACTATAATAAAAAGACTATGCGTCTCGTTATGCGAATATGTAAAAAATTTTTATTTTGTAGTAGTATATTTATCTACATACTTACATTGCGCGTGCGTGCACGCACGCAAATATATTTATGCATTTATACTTGATATGTCGTGTGACTTGCATAAATACTTCGGCTTGATGGATTCCTATCTTACAAATTCCATATAAATAAACCTAATACTCGTATTTCTCGATCATAAAATTAAAACCGATATTTTTCAGCTTCTTCAAAGGCTTTCGATATTCACAGATATCATGTCCTGCAAGACGGTTTGCACGAGATCATCAACTCCTGCGCGAATCTATATAGTTTTCACTCATTATACCATTTCGTCGTCCGTGTTTTGAAAATTTGATAAATTGTTGAAACAATTAATATAAAGCAAGCTTGTTACAAAAATTGTGCCAATGTATTCAGAATAGAATAAATTAAAGCTATTTATACAAATAAATTTCACGATTTATTTAAACATATTCTTGATGTAATAATGGTAATTTATTACTCATTACTGAATGCACGAATAATAACTATAAATAATAAATAGAATAAATAATATTAACAAATATAAATATTATTTCTCTTTATAATATTAACGTTGTGTATTTCATGTTAATTATATATATATTCTTAATTTTACATTAGTTTACATACAATATTAAAATTTACATTATCAAAATATACAATATATTTTCATATAAATGTTTATAACAGGTAGTGTAGTTACCCATGCCTTAAATATATTCGTCATGTATGCATGACGATCAAACATTGGAAATTGCAAACATATGTCTAGTAGTTTTCCGTAATCCATTCATTACGTCGAGAGTGATAATCATAGAAGATGTAGTTAAAGATGGGAATCTAACTGCCTATGAAAAAGCATGCAATCAGATATTAATATGATAGCGAAATTATTTGAGTAAATTTAAGCCAATATATTTTAAAATAACAAATAAATAAAGAATCCTTAAATTTCATACAAAATGAAATATACAATACCATTATAAATCTAATAATATATATTAAGCTAGATATAATAATTAATAATATAATACAATGCAAAATGAAATCGTACAACAACAAAAAAAATAGGCGGAACGGGTTATTAATCTATAAATGCATTATATGCATTATATGTATATAATTGTCTATCTTAATATAAATTAAATTTTACTTAACAAATTACTTTTTTCATTCAATCTTATTAAATTATAAAAAAATTTAAATTTATAATTTGAAAAAATATAAGTTTCATTAACAAAATCTTACCTTTTAAAATTGATTAGTCTATCAGCTTCACGGAAACCAGTTTCCACGCCGCCGTGTACAGTAGAATAATAATGATCATGTGTAGCTTCTCCAGCGAAAAGAATCACCTAATCATTAATTAAGATTCGTTTTATCAATGTCGATAGACTTCCTTTTACAATATAATTCGATAGTTATTTATACATAAAATAAAAATAAATGATAAACTAAAGCTAAATATAATATAAGCTAGAACTGTTAGATCAGAGGAGACGCGGTAGTGTCTCCGGCCATGTATTCAAATACTAAAATACTATATAAAATAATATTGTCGAATTAGATGAAAACCTAATAATATAAAATGATCAAAAATTATAATAATGATATTTTAAATCATAATTTGCGTAATAATTAAAACTATAATGTTTACTGTTATTATGCTTATAATATTCTTATTTTGAAATTACATACAGGTTTATTTCCAGTCATAATTGGCTCTGCTAGATCTCTCGGTGTTACATTCATTTGCTCGGAAAGCATGCTATGAAAACTGTAAGAGCCTCGAAAGTGTTCGTTGGTATACCATTTGGACCTAAAAGTGTAAAAAAGAACAGTTAAACAAATTTAGTTTTTTTTCTTATTCAGTTCTAGTGGTAAATTACCTTAACATTCTTATTGGTTTTGTGACATTGTAATGGCTTTCCAACGACTTTTTTAACAATAAATATAATCCGTCAAATACAGAATCATCCGATAAAGTTTCCATGTGTCTAGCGTTTTTTCCAGTTATCCAAGCACATAAAAGATTCGGCTGATGAGCCACAGTAATAAACGTGAATACATCACAGAGCCATTCACTATCCTAAAACAGGTATATTTGACAAGATTAGTAAAATGACAGTAAAGGCAAAAAATCATCGAAATTTATTTTTAATAATAAATAATTGTTCATTATTATCTCTTTAAGTTAAATAAAACATATTCACTTACTTGACCATAAGTTTGTAAGAATTCCTTCTTATTTTTTTCCGGCCAGATAAAATCAATGCTGATTTTGTCCTCCGGCCACCATCTGTGTGAAAATTCGAGAAAGACCTTGTCCGCTGTTCCAATATTTAATCCCTGATAGCGAAATAATGATGTTAACACAATTAATATCAAATATTAAAATCGTTTTTTCTTTTATAGTATTATACTGTTAATAAAACCTCTATAGCGTGTTGTTTCTTCTGCGACAAAGGTGGCACGAACATCGAGGAATATTTCTCCTTCAGAACACCTAGAGATCCAGTGAATATAACATGCGATGTGGAATACTCGCAACCATCCCTAGTAATTACTGTCACATTCTCGCCTGAACTATAATTGATAGTTGCCACAACTTTTCCGAACTCTATTTTTTCCATTATTGGCAAAGCTTCTTCTGGATTTGGAATCTTTTGCTGATAAAATATTTACATACACTTGATTAAAAAATGAAGTATTAATGTACATTATATTATAGATAAAATATTAATATATTTATTATTTAAAATGTATTTAAAATATTTAAATAATGAGAGTTAAACATTTATTATGTACTTGTTTAATTTAATTTTCAAATAACAATCGCTATTTGTTTTAATATAGAATATGTATTTTATATTTGATTGTTATGTAAAATGAAAAGTTATTGAAAACACTTTTATACATTGCGTTTCTGACTCAATGTTATCAAGTAATTTAGATAATCTTTTACCATTAATATATCAAAAATCGTTTTATAGCCACGCCCCTTCCAATTCAACATAAGATCACCTTCGCAATCCCAATATTCCGCCGAACGTTTCGCAGAAACGTCAAACCATGTGTCACTGCTATCTACAGAGTTTTGTATCTTTTCTATCAAGGATAAATATTCAGGAACCCTAGTACGATTCATGAAAGGCTTCTCATCAAAAGCTTTATAAAATCTACAACATTATTAATATAGCAATGATTCAATATTTATCATAACATATTTTACCAAAATATCGATGTTATAGCATTCATTTTATATCTATATATATTTTTTCAATCTAATATTTTGACTTCATGCAGCCTTAACACAAGATTTATAAGTGGTACGTATATGTACAGAGTTGTGCGCGTTACCTCAAAAAAGTAACGCGTTACCGTTACCGTTACTTTTTGGAAAAAATAACTCGTTACCGCGTTACTCGTTACCAATTTCAAAAAGTAACGCGTTACCGTTACTTAAAATGTAACGATTCGTTACTCTTTTTTATAATGCTAAAAATTATTAGAAAATATGTTTAAAAGAAATTAAGAATAGATTATAAAATGAAATAATAAATATTTTATAATTGCATTTATTGCACATAATTTGGTTATGTGTTAGGAGTACAAAATCTTGAAATTTGACGTAGACAAAGTACAAAATATTGAAATTTGGCATAAACAAATTTGAAATGAAAAATTCTTAAAATTTAACGCTTCGACATGGAAAAGAAAGTTATTCGTTTCATATTAAAAAAAAAAAAAGCTAAAGAGTACACAACTCCATGCACATTTTATATTTAAAAAGAAAAATATATCTCTTTCGCAATCATTCGGATATCGTTTCATTTTTACATTTTCATGACAATGTTTTCATAAAAAAAATTATATTAAAAATCAAGAAATAAAATGATTCCCGAAAGCGATAATCTTTTTTTAAAAGTTAAACAATTTTTCAGCACACACAAATAATAAAAGAGGATACCTTTATATTCTCCTTTACTATGTGCTGAAAATGAATGAAAAATCTAATCCAATTTTGAAAAGATATATATTATGCTATAATAGCAATATTGCGTATATATAAAAAATTAAAATAAAAATTCTGAGTTTTTAATAATTACTGCGTAAAACAATATCACATTGAAAGAGAGAAGTATATAAATACACAACACTTCTCTTTCTCTCCTTCGACGACGCGACGCGTAACGCGTTCAGTGGAAATGTACCATATAAGTTTCCAGAATACACGTCATCAGCGCGCGCTCAATCAATTAATACGCGATCTATTGAATAGGAAACTAAAGTAACGGTAAAAGTAACGACTAAATTCGTTACCGTTACTGTAAAAATGTAACGATGTTACCGTTACAGACAGAAAAAAGTAACGATCGTTACTGAAAAAAGTAACGAAAACGGTAACGCCGTTACAAGTAACGCGTTACTTCCCAACCCTGCGTATGTATATAGTTATGATTAATATAATGTAGTTATGGTTAATATAACATGCTCAAAAATAACAATTATATAAGTTTATTTTAAAACTTATTGCTTATGTGCACGTTTCATACACATGTATTGTATATACATATATATACAAAAGTAACGATATAAAAGTAAGAATAAAAGCAAAATTATATTTATTATCGTTACCTAAAAAAGTAATTATAATGGTAACGATGTTTTACAAATAGTAACGCGTTACTTTCCAAATCTACAAATATAAAATTGATAAACACAGTTTATGATAGAATCGCTTATACTCGTTTACAATTAATACAAAATAGATTTATACAATGATCATATTCAGCGATCTTTAGAAATTAATATTGCGTTAATTATTATAAAAATCGCAAAATGGTAAAGAACTTTTTGATTCAGTTTAGTCAACTCTACCGCCTACACACACAAAATATTTTACGATCATTCTGAGACAACATTAATTTTTGTTTTAACATGTATATTTGTTTATAAGCTTTAACTTATTTTGTAATTAAATTGTATCTATAGCAATTAATATATAATTTAATGCTACAAAAAACTTACTCTCTTATAAAATAATCTCCTAAAGATCCTGTTTCGTTTTTGAATTCTTCCTGTCCTATTTTATCCGAAATATTCTCATAAAGTGTTATAGTTTTGGTACTTTCCTCGTTCGGCATTATTTCACCATTAATAGTGACAAATTCATGTTTACTGGGATCGCGCAAAATAACTAATGAATTCAGTAGATCATGTTTAGAGGCAAGCTCGAACACTATATTTCCAGATTCTCCATGGACCCACTCAGCACCAAGATCTACCACATTTTTACCTAGAAATATTAAAATGCTTAGATTAAAAATTGTAAATACTCAATAGTTTAAAAAATGTAAGGTTCAAACTCTCTCTCTCTTTCTCTCTCTTTCAATATAAAAGATAATACAAAGATTTACCAAAGTCTTTGGTACATATTCTACCACCGATCCTGTCATTGGCCTCCAGTGTTACAAAATCGTTTACTCCTTTTTGTAACAATCTCGAAGCAGCGGCAATACCAGCTGCACCTGCTCCAACAATCACAATTTCTGTTTCCTTCGGTAAATCGCAAGTTTTTGATGATTCTTCTGCATTCAACAATTGAAGGAATATTTGTGTATATTGTCACAGGTAAATATGAATATATTATGATCTTAAATTAATTTGAATTGGATTAAGCAGATAAATCGCATCAAATCAATTGAGTTTTGGCTAATGCCCGTTTTTATATCGCTCCTTTTGCTTACAGTAAATTATAGTTCCATACACTAAGCAAGAGTTAGTACGAGTAGATTTTGTTTTGTATACGTAAGCGGCAAAGGGTTTTTCCTCCTCATTAACTTTAATACATGCTGTATCTACATATCGTTCTGATATATTCACAGCTAGTCCATCCGTCAAATTGCACTTGTATCGTTCTTTTATGGCTTTTAAAAAGATTATATTACATTTTGAAAAGAGTTTTGAATTGTGTCATTTTTGTAAGCAAAAAGAAGAATGGACTATAAAAAGTATTTACAATTAAGACAGTTTAGTGATTAAAATTTGAAGAAAAAATTTATTTTAATTATTTTTAATTTATCAAAATAAATATAAATTTTTCATAATATTTCATGTTACTTTTGATGAATTATTCCGAATTTCTCATAATAATTTTGTATGATAACAAAATTGTCACAACTTATCAAAGGATGGTTTTATAAAAGATTGTAAAACAAAAAATTTTTTAATGACATTTAATCATGTTTTTAGAAATATATCCTTTTTACCGACATTATTTGATTAATTAATCATTTTCTATAAAATTGAAAAATAGGTTTTCTCTTTTTCTGAAAAATTTGATTTTTTAATTGTGTTATTTTTTAAATATGGGAATGATATACGTAAAATATTAGTTTTTTTAGCATTGACACAGAATGTTATATTTCTTTTTAATAATAACTTCCTAATAAAGAATAAAAACGACTAAACATCTTAAATGTCATTCAAGGTTAAGACTAATTGGAGGTGGATCTCTTGATCAAGAATTTTACCTTAATAATATATTATAACATATCGTCCTCAACCGCAAAAAGCAATAATACGATATTTATTATAACAACGTAACATAACCATAGGATGAATTCCTAGCAATGAGTAATATACTTGAAATAATAATTGTGAATTTTTCTTACCGGTGGATCGAACGGAGACCACATCAAATAAGATAAGAAAAATTGTAACCATACAAAAACTAATTAAATTCATCGTTAAAAAAGATGTGTAAGAAATCTATAACTCTACGATATTTGATGATAGAAACAAACTTCTGTAATGATTAACGGCGGTAAAATCTGAGTATGTCTCTTTCATGTATCTCTCCCTCCTTTTACATAGAATAAATATAAGACGTCGAAACTATAAAAAGAAACGAAAAAGAAAAGACATCATGTGAGAGATCATGATGAGGAATAGTCTTATATTCTTACTTATAGTGTCAATAAAAATATAGATTATAGCGTTACAATTTTTGCAATAGACAGGTCAACTAGATTTGATAAAACAAGTAGTAGTATTAATTACACACTAAGAGCTAAATTATATAACATTTCAATAGATCTTTATATATAAATGTGTTTATATAAAATTTATATAAAATTATAAAACTGTGATAATTACAATTGAAAATTCGTTATAGCATAACTGATGTAACTTTATAAGTATAAAAGTATATAATTAAGAGATTGCAATATATACATATTACGTATGGATATTTTATTATTTTATTATAAAGTTGATATAATTATATAAATTTGTTATCGTTATGTGAATAGTACATCTTTAAGAAATGTTCTTATTGATGAGAAATTTGATTTTAATTTTTAATGTTATTAATCGCTGATTATCAATTTAGAATAATTATCAATTTGTTTTGAAAACACAGAACCTGAATGCCTCTGCCTCATAATATTCTTGCAACAAAATAAGAAAAAAGAAAGAAGAAATGTAGATAAGAATAGATCATTCGTCAAGAATAAATGTAAAGTGGCCACTGTTTATCTTCGTTCATAAGCGTTTGATTGGTCAATTAAACATCTCTGATTCTAATTAATTCAAGTAGATAAAATGTATATTCTACAAAAATGTACGATATACAAAAATATCAATAGAATAGGAAAAAAACAAATTAATCCAGTATCACTATAATCAACAAACAATATAAAAATTAATAGAAAAAGTATAATAAAGATTCTTAAGATGAAATTAAAATAACTAATAGTTTAGAGTTAATGAAATAACAGCATGGTAATTTTAGTGTAAGGAGAATGATGTCATGCTTACATAAGATCTCGTCTAAGATGCTGTTCGAGCCGATTAATAGTGATAATGTTACACTTTTTCTTACACGATTATTGCTGGATTATTGTAACATATTTTGTTGGATATTCCATCAATTTTAAAGAATCCTGCACTAATTATTTAAAAAATTAAGTCCCCATGAAATGAGTTAATTTTTAAATGATATAACTTACAATGTGACAAACAAAAGATGTCGTAAACACAAGACTCAATAACAGCAAATTATAATGACGCGTGATTTCATGCAAAGTGTGGTCGACTACTGCAATAGTAGTTGGTAGATACCCCTCAGTGAGAAATGACAATGGAATCAACGTCGAATTGACATTGATTCCATTGTCATTTCTCCTAGGCCAGCCCACACCTCGTCAAAAGATTATGATGTATTACAAGGTCAAGAAATGACGTTATCAAGGAATGAGAATTTTAGATTAACAGCTCAATTGCTTAATATATAAAGCATTCAAATTATTGCATAGTGGGATTCTTATTAATCTACTTTTTATTAATTATTTTGTTATAAAAATTAATATATGTGTAGAATAAGAAATAGAAGTATACATACAAGATTATCCAAAAAATGTGAGTTTTGAACTTTGAAAGAAATATAAATAAAAGAAGTAGAAATTATTTAATAATAAGGAAATTGGATACATGGTCTAAGCTTAACAATCTTTCCTATAATTTTTTATTAAACGATCTAAAATTAAAAACTATAATAATCAATGCGAATCTAAAAGAAAAAAACATTTCTGAAAATTTAAAAAAGAAACTGAGACATTTCCGTATAGGCGCGTAAAAGATTTTAAGGAAAAGTAACATTTAAATTACGTTGGATAGACATAATACCTAATATGACCTAAGTGTGTTTTCCTCTTATTCGTAAAAAAAAAATGATAGAAAAATGGAAACTAAAATAATTCACAAACGACTTTTATAAAATTATAATTTAAGTTTATTAATTTATATTGACGTATTTACATATGCAACAACATTTAACTGTACAAAACACACAATTAAAATCACAATAAAGATCATAGATATGATATCACAGCAGGTTCGTGATTCGGCTCGAGGTTCGGTTCGAGAATCAGCTGAATAATTTTTATATGCTTTGGATTTACATGTCAAGTGCAAAAGATAAAATTTTGAATAATTTACAAAATATGCAACGACTCGATATAATAAACTAAATTATTATATCATAATTACAACAACGGATTCACATGAAATTGTTCACAATAGCATCTTAATTTATTTCTACTTTATATTTAATCTAATCAAAATCGCAAACTGTTCATCTCTACCACAGTTAATTGTCTATAATTTTCACTATATGCAATAATTGAAACATATATAATTTGCTAAAATTGCAAAATTATTTTTACATGATATTACATTTTTAAATAATCAATGGTATTATAAAATAATGAGTAAGGAAAATTTTGTAAATGTTACAAATTTCTCATTTCTTCAATAAAAATTTAACTGTTACATTTATTTGATAACTAATAATTCCCTTAAGACTTATTTTAGCGAAATACAATTAATTTTAAAAATTTTTCATAAACATTGAATAAATTACGGTTGTTCTTCTTGTGGCCAGACAATATTTTCAATCCATGAAAGATAATGCGACACTTTAGTATAAACACCAGGAATGCCGATCGTCGCGCAACCCTGACCAAAACTAGTGATACCAATTATTTGAAAGAGGCATTCGCTTTCAGAATCGAGTATTTGTAGAGGACCACCGGAATCTCCTTGGCAAGTGTCCTTAAGTGTGCCACCAGCACAAATCATACTTGGTGTAATACCATACGGAATTTCTGTAGAATTGTTATGCCGCACTGTACACGACAAATTGTCTACTATATCCAGCTTAGCCTTTTGTAATCGGTCGCTCAATTCTCCACCTGAAGTACAAAATTTAATTTGAATCGATACTCCTACCTAATAAAAATGTTTAACTTTTATAATGAAGGGCTTTGCATTTATTAAGAATCTCCTACTATACATGTAAGTTCTCAATAAATATAGAATCTTCGGACATTTAGATTTTCAAAAAAATTTACTTTACGATTCTTTTTTTCAATTTTCAGGATTTCATAGTAAGTTTCAACATAAGGAATTGCAGAACTACTTACCGTATTGAATATTACCCCAGCCGCTTACCCAAGCTTGTGTGGGCATTATATCATAACGCTGATAAAGACACGCGGGTCGTATAGATGTGCTAAAAGTAACGGGGGTCATGAGCTGTAACAAAGCTATATCCGCATATATCGCGGGTGGTTTGTAATCCGGATGAGTTTTTATGTCTTTAATGACAGTCGTGATGCCTTTTTGATCTGTCAAGCTATGAAAGCCTATCCTTGCGTCAGTTACACCACCGCTACAAAAAAATACAATATGTATAAGACTACATTTTTTAATCAAGTCTTAAAATAATTGCAAGACATCAGTCATTTAAGAAAGTTATATTTTAGATCTGTAATTTCTATTACATTTAAATGATAAAATCAAGTATACTTTTTAAATTTTATAATTTTTGTCTAAAGATTGTATAAAATTTTGAAAAATTTATTAATACAGCATTAATCTTGAAAAGTATTTTCAAATTTTGAGATTTTATCTAATTCATTGTTACATTCAATAAAATGGCTATCAGAAAAATAATAAAAGTTTTTTCGTCAAAATTCTTAAATATTTTAATGGAAAAGAAGTACTAAAATTTACTCTGTTCCATGAGTGCAATGCGCAGCAGAAATCACCCAGATATGTGAAATTAGCGTGCCACCGCAGCGCAATTCAAATTCGTCGGAATTGCGTTTACCTAGAGCAACCATGTGAGGGAACTCGTCAACTCGTGCTTCGGTACCACCAACCACCAAACGATTCGCATTCCCGCAGGTATTAATCACCTTGCGCACGTCCGATAAACCAGTCAGAACCGTTATGAAAGATGTACCCGCAATTTCGGCTATATATTCCTCACACTCTGAAATTTATTTTATGGATGTATTGTGATTTATGTTGAATATATAAGATGTACTGAAATATATGTATGAAGTAAATATAATAGAATCAATCAGTCATTTAAGTGCCTGTTAAACGGATATTTATAAAAATGTAAATACTTATACTTTTAGACTTTTATATCTGCAAATTTGTCTACCTTATACAATTAATACCTAATATGAAATACGAGTTCATAATCACAATTTATACTTACTAAGTTCTGATATTGCTGTCACTGGATTCATCTTAAAGGATAATAAATCCTTGATTGACGGTAAGCGTGAAACTGGAAGATAAATATTTGGAAAAGTAGAAGTGTCAAACGTTATTAGATTAAGTTTTCGTAATAAAATTGGGCAATACAAATTCTTTTATATTCTTTTAGAAAACACGATTAAAATAGTTAGAAAATATAGGCCTATTCTTTTTCTCTGTACTGTGTGCACCAGTTTAAACAGTGCAGGCAAAAAGAATAAGCCTATCAAAAGAAAGTCGGCTAAGGGTACATATGTCTAACCCATGGTACTCTGGGCATGAGGTACCATGGGTCATTTCTAAAAATTTCTTTTTTGATTTTTATTTAAAAAACAAATCAAAATTTATGAAAAATGCTCAATAAATCTTAAAATATACATTATCCCTTAATTATAAAAAAATTGAGATCAAAAATCTTACATTTTAATGTATTTTTTACTTTTAATTTTGAATTTTGTGACTCATGGTGCCCCGGTCTCCTCTATTAATGTAAAATATATTAATATTTGATAGTGATGTGTAACGAATCATAAACTATAGAAGATTCAATGTTAACTTGTATATCAGTATCAAGGTTGAAAAAAAGCTTGTTATTATTATTAGGAAAAATAGATTGAAATTACTATTAGAAAATATTATATTGAAAGTTTGTAATACAAAATTGTATGTGATATAGTATACAACTTGACAAGAATAAATTTTCACTTCTATTGTTTGATAATTGCAAGAAAAAATAATTTTGAATATTAGAATGATTTATGTATCTACGATTAGTGGAAATTGCAATTCTTTCCACTAATTGCCTGAACTAAAAGTTGAATATTGTTTGAGTTCCTTTTCTTCTTCAAAGAATCATCATTATCTAAAAAATATACAAAGCCTGTACTCAATTGATACAGCTAAATATTTTTATAAGCGTATGTCATTTTATACGTATATACATATATTATCTCGTTTACATTATCTTATATGATATAATATTAAATTAAATGTGTGCAAAAATTCATGGAATCGCATTATATGTTACTAGAATTTAGTGTAAAATTTATATTACTATATATATATATATATATATATATATATATATATCGAACAAATATTCATTTCATTATTTGTTATGCATAGATTTTGTTTTAATTTTATTTAATAATAAAGTCCGTAAATAACAATCATCGTAAACAACGATCACAATAACGCGATAACATAATTTAACAACGTGTATTTAACGAACATAATTTAACACGTATTTAACAACGCAAAATGATGCACACAATGGGCTCTTAGCTATAAATAACATCTAAAATAATCGTGAATTCTTCCTACCTACGGACCAAACGGAAACCACATCAAGGATTACCAAGATTACAACTAGGCCAAAATAAAAATTCATTACGAAAGAAAAACGCGTGGAAGACACAAGAATATCGGATATTTAATGTCAAGGCGACATCAATCTGACGACAGAAATAAGCTGCTGTGAGGATTAATGGTTGTGGAATCTGCGTTTTTCTCTTTTTCTCTCCCCCCCCTCTCTCTCTCTCTCTCTCTCTCTCTCTCTCTCTCTCTCTTTCATCTTTTCTTCCTGATATTACAGAGATTGAAATAAAGTAGTGAGTACTATTCGTCTTCGATCAACGTTTGATTGGTCAGTTTCGGAATACCCGATGCAATTAGTCAAAACGGATAAACCAGTTAGTGTATTCCGCAAAAATTGTTGAGATAAGAAGATACTGACAAAACAGCAGAAAACGACAAACCAATCTGCAGTATTATTAATCAATATACAAAAATATAAAAAATAATATGTATATATACATACAATTTTTTGGACTACAAAATTTTAAAGAATACTAATTAGTTAATTAATATGCAAAATTGGATTCAGGTGAAATAAATCAGTTTTTGTCAATATCAATAGTATTTTCTTTTATAATATAATATCTACAATTTAATATTTATATAAAATAGAAACACGTGATAAAACTAAAAATAAATAAATACATAACAAAATATCTTCAATAAGATAATTATCTCTGAATATTAGATGATTACTTTAATTTTTTAGATTTCATTATTTTATCTTAAGCAAGATGGAAGATTTAGTACTTATTTTATTATTCAACGTTATGCAAATGCAAGTTTTATCTTGAGGAAAACAAGAATGTTCAACAAGACACAATTCTAAGAAAATAGATCCAGGAGAAACTGGGCATCGAAGTGAATAGATCGCTAAACTTAAATATGACTATTGTAAGTATCCAAAGAGAATTATGGCAATATATATTCATGTTATGTATTTTTCATGTTATGTTTAAAAATATTAAGAAAGTTACTTCGAAAAAATGTGTTTTCTGCTGAATTCTATAGCAACAGAAATATTTTTTAATTAATAAATAACAGATATTTAGACCTAATATAATGTAGATATATCTAAAAAATTACTAAATAAATAAAAGTTGTAATAAAAATGTACATAGTGCAAAGTTTCAAACTAAATTAGGCTGAAAGACGTCTTATGTCAAATAAATTTAGACTTAATTTAATTGTAGAATGGGCTTAAAATATAATTGAGAACATAATCCATTGTATCTTGAATAAGAGTATTTCAGTATTTATCTATAAAATTGGCAAGATTACAAATTTATCTTCTTAATATTTTTGCAAAATAAAAAGAAAAGGAAAAAAGTATAGATATGGATTAACATTCACTAAGAATACATGTAAAGTAAGCATTCATCTTTAATTGGTTAATTGGGAAGCTGACGAAATTAATCAAAGTAAACAATCTAATTAGTGTATTCAATAAAAATTTGTAAAACTTACAAAAAATGAAAATATATCTATATATCAATAGTGTTGCGCGACGAAGTAGGAATAGAAGTCGAAATAAAAAAAGTGAAGTTATTTAATAATAAATAAATTTAAAATTAATATCAACATCTAATAAATTAAATTATATGAATTATTACACAAACTATATAAAATACATACGTGTAAAATAAAAAAAAATTATTACTGAATAATTTTGTAATAAACAGAAAAATATAATACACAACAATTAACAATTTTTATTTTGTACTAATATATTTATATGTACATGCCAATATATTTACGTATTTACTTAATACTCATGTGATGTTGTAAAAATACTTCAGCTTGATGGACTCCTGTCTCGTAAGCTCCGTGCGTCGTCGAGTAAAACTCGTCATGTGTAGCTTCGCCAGCGAACAGTATGATTGGAAGAGTCTGTTATATTTGCAAAAATTCATAAATATAAATTTTAACTTGTTTTTTTAAATTTATTTTTTCATATCTTTACATTATCTTAATTAAATAATAAGAAAATGTTTAAAAATATGACTCTAAAATCTTCAATTTTTTAAGAGTGAAAACATGTTAAATAAAATATGCTTATTGATAAATTATGTAAATACGATAATCTTACCTTTTTCCTTTTCATATCAATTTGCATTGTCGCCCAGATTGGTTCAATTAATATCTTTGGTGAAACATTATCCTCCTCACAATTCTTCGTAATGTGACTGTAACCGCCTCTCACGTATGTATTATCGTTCCACTTAGTTCGGACGCATTTTTTTATTGGCGGTATATCGCAAAACCGAACATATCGCATTAAAAGATTTATACAATCTTGCGCAATAGTTTCCTCCGACAATTCCTCAATAATACACGCCCCTCGCCCGCCGACCCACGCTATAAGAGTGGCCGGATGAATTGGCAAAACATCGAATCCTGTGACATACTTGGTCCATTCCGGCAAAGATGAGTGATCGGCGTCTCTACGCCAAAGCAATTGGAAGCCATTCACACCTCTTTGCCACCAGGGTTCGCCAAAGTCTAAGAAAATCTTATTAATCGTTCCGAAACCAAGATGCTCAATAGCAACGCTCAGACGATTTGGTAATAGTGGTTGGAACATCTTCTGATGGTTACTCTTCAAATAACCAAGCGAACAAGTAATTATAACCGCATCAGCGAGAATTTCAGTGCCATCGAAAGTTTTCACGATGATTGGAGAATTATTTGAAGAGTCAATAGAATTCCGCCAGTGAATGGCCTCCACAGGAGTGGATAAACGTACCTTTTGCTTATCCAGATTGTCAACGATAAGATTCGTTAAAGAGCTATAGCCGGATTTGAAAAGTAAATGTTCTGGTCCGCCAACGTACTGTAGAAATTATTGTTCTTACAGTGTTTATTTTTGAAACTATGATTAAAATTAGGTTTACCTTGAATTTTCCCCAAAGAACTGCTGACAAATCGTCTAACGAGTGGCAGGAATTATCCACTAGGAGAAACCGTACATTCCAATCGAAAATTTCTTCCTTCATCTTCCTCTCCTCCGGAGGATCATTTCTCTCGTGTAAATAATCTTCAAATCTACTTCTCATAATAGAACCGATATTCTCCTGCTTTTTTAAAGACTTTTGAGATTCGCAGATATCATCCAAGACGGTTCGTACGAGATCGTCGACTTCATGAACCAAGTTGTCGCTCATTATCGTTCCGTCGTCGCGTAAAAAAATTCCGTCACCATCCGTACCTTGAATTGTCGATATTAAATCATTGTTGAGACAGTATTGTGCAAGCCTACTCTTATCACCATGTAAAAATTGTGCTCCGCAATCTACCCAGCCGTTATCCCATGAAATGGAATGAATTCTTCCTCCAACTTTGTCTTGAGCTGTGAAATAAGATAAAGATTCAGGGAATTATATTTTTGTTTTTTTTTATTCGGAACTATTTTTCTTAGTATAAATTAATTTTTTTAGTATAAATTTTTATATTAAGATGATTTATTTATATTAGAGTGTCTTAAAGATTAGTCTCTCAAACTAATCAGATTGAACAAAAAATTAATTAATGTTAAATTCTTAAGAGATATCACATATGTGTATATACCCTCGAGAAGAAGATAATCCATAAATCCCACATCCTCCAGAGTCTTCGCCGCTGCTAATCCAGCAATTCCCGCGCCTACTATCACAACTCTCGTCTTTTCTTTTCTTCTCGCATTTGTATCAATCTCTATCCGTAATGCTTCATCGAAGTTGTCAATCAGCTGATCTAATCGATCGTACGTTCTACGTCATCCGAAGTAATTAGTCCAATATATATATATCATATAAAATATAAATAAGCATATATACACATACATATATACCGTTTGCTTTTTATAAATTTATTCTAACAATAAGTCACAAATATTCTATTCTATATAAAAACTACATGTATAAATAAACTTCAGGATTTATTTGAAAAGATCCAATAATGATCTATAACAGGAATTACGAATAATAATAATTAAATAATGATCACAATAAATAGATAATAACAATATAAACATTATTTCTCTCACTATTAACGTTATAGCATATATTTCGTGTAAATTGTATGTTTCTACATTAATTTATAGTGTTAAAATTTTACGTTATTTACAATATACAATATATTTTTATACAAATGTTTACATTTTATAAATAAGTATTGTTGTGTCTTAAATATTTGTCTATGGTGAATATTTAAAATTACAAATATATTTCTAGTTTTCCGCAATCCATTTATTATGAAGGTGTAGTTGTAGAAGATGTAGTTAAAGGTGGGAGTTTAATTGCCTAAGAAAAAGCATGCAATCAAATGTAAATACAATTGCAAAATTATTTGTGCAAAATTTGAATGTTAATATGTTTAAAAGCAAGAATAAGTAAGCATAAGAGACTTTATTCCTTAAGTCTCATATAAAATAAAAAATACAATAAGTGCAAAAAGTATTCCTGTAAGACATATTTCAAAAAACTTTATTTTTAAAAAGAAAATATCATTAAATAATTTATTAACACAAAGGATAAAATAGATTATACATTTTTTAAAATTACTTTATCTTAAAAGATGTATAATGATAAATATATATTATCTTAAAAATAAGCGAAAATAAAAAAAATTGTATAATTTGGATACACAAAAAATATTTGTATATAACTAAACAATTTAGTTTTTAAGACTATAAACACGCGAAGCTCGTTTGTATATACATAGAAAGAATATAATCATTGATATAACTGCATATGATAATAGATATGTATAATGCAACACAAAACGAAATCGTGTAACAGCAAAAATAATGGGAAAAAATATATTATACATGCTTGCATAAAGAGATATACATCTTTAAAATTAAATTTTACTTAACAGATTACTCCCTTTTTCATTCAATTTTATTAAACTGGAAAAAATTTAAAATTTATATTTTAAAAAATATAAAAATTTCTATTAAAAAACCTGGTAAACAATATTTCACAAACATGTTTTAAAAAAATTAAATTTTTGCAATTTTTTAAAAATATTTTGGTTTAAGTAAAATAATAAAAATGCATTTAAAGCATTATTGAAATATTACAATTGCACTTATTACGCTTTCAGGTTTTAAACGAATTTTAACAGATATTACCTTTTAAAATCGATCAGTCTTTCCACTTCGCGGAAACCAGTTTCTATGGCACCGTGTACAGTCGAATAATAATGATCATGCGTAGCTTCTCCAGCAAAAAGGATTACCTAACCACAAGATGCATTTTATTAATTTTAATAATCTTTTATATACAATAATCTTTTATATATAATATAATTCAATTTATGTAAGATAAAAATATGTGATAAGTTAAAGTTAAAAATCAAAGAACACATTTTGGATATTATCATCAAAATGAAGAAAATTAAGAAATTAATTATATAATAGTGTTTTATATAATAATTTATACAATATTAAAAAATATGTTGTTTTTATTTTGAGATTACATACTGGTTTATTTCCAATCATAATTGGATCAGCCAGATCTCTTGGTTTTACACCCATTCGCTCGGAAACCATGCTTTGAAAACTATATGAGCCCCGAAAATGTTCATTAGTATACCATTTAGATCTAAAAATAAAAAATAATAATTCAGAGAAACCTTAATATTATTTTCCTTTTAATCAGTTCCAACATTACTTTAATTTAATTGGACATTACCTTAATATTCTTATTGGCTTGACAACATTGTAATGTTTACCAAACGAATTTTTTAACAATAAATATAATCCATCGAATACGTCAGTATCCGATAAGGTTTCCATGTGCCTTGCATTTTTTCCAGTTATCCAAGCACATAGGAGATTCGGTTGATGAGCCACGATAAAAAACGAAAACACATCGCACAACCACTCACTATACTAAAATAAATATTTGATTACAAGATTAATAAAAGAACAGTAAAGATAAAAAATTACCGAAACTGATTTTGATAAACGAACAATAATATAAACATATATTATTGTTCATTTATTAATTTCTATGTTTAAGAGAGTGGAATTTATACATTCAAATATCTACTTACTTGTCCATGAATTTGTACGAATTCCTTTTTATCTTTTTCCGGCCAGATTAAATTAAAACTGACTTTGTCCTCCGGCCACCATCTGTGCGGAAATTCGAGAAAAATCTTGTTCGCTGTTCCAATATCTAAGCTCTAATGACGGAATAATTAATTTTTATCAACTATATAAAATATTATTTTATTTACTGCGTGTATTAATGCCAATATGCAATTTATGTTGTTAATAAAACCTCTATCACGCGTTGTTTCTTCTGTGACAAAGATGGAACAAACATCGAGGAATGTTTTTCCTTCAGAACACCTAGAGACCCAGTGAATATAACATGTGATGCGGAATACTCGCATCCGTCTCTGGTAATAACCATTACATTCTCGTCTGAACTATAATTGATAGTTGCCACAACTTTTCCGAACTCTATTTTTTCCATTACTGGTAAACGTTTCTCTGGGTTTGGAATTTTTTGCTGATAAAATAATCATATTACTTAATTAGACAAAAATAATAGATATACATTATTTAATAATGTATTGCTTTACTAAAATGTATTATATAAACATATTAAAAATATTAAGTAATCTCTTACCATTAACAGATCAAAAATTGTTTTATAACCATAGTTTTTCCAATTCAACACAAGATCGCCCTCGCATTCCCGATATTCTGTCAAACTTTTCACAGAAATATCAAACCATGTGTCACTACATTGTATAGAATTTTCCATTTTTTCTATCCAAGATAAATATTCAGCAACTCGGGCACGATTCGTGAAAGGCTTTGTATCAAAAGTTTTATAATATCTACAACGTTAATGTAATAATTAAATATACTACATTAATCATAATGTATTATTATAATATTAATCCAACATTTGATTTGTATTTATCTACATACTATAAAACTTAATTTTCAATAAAATGCAAAATAATTGAATAAATTGTAATTTTTTTTCTTTTTATCTATTTCTCTTTCTCAGCTGTTACTATAATATTTCATAAACTCTATTAAATGGTATATTAATTATTAATTTTGCACTCATGTGTGGTTTTATGTATCGAATAATGCTTACATTTATTAAAAAATATTTTATTTGGTAAATTTATTTATACTGTAAGGCAATTTTGTGAACGAAGGCAAGAATTTGTATACTTTACATTATTCTGATTCAAATTTTGAGCGGGTAGAAAGCAGTGAATCATCAACCTTGTACTGAATTGTGGTGGGGAGACTAACACCAGCAGCATGTTGCAATCATCATACTGTCACATAAAGAAAGTAGAGCCTCTAATTGTAATATTTGGTTTTTACTGAATTATTCGATTTGAGATCTATATTTTTTAATACAGATCTTTAAATATCCCAATGGAAATATTCCATGTTCATGTCTCTGCAAGTTGTTATAAAAGCAAGCACAGTGGTAATGCAATCAAATCATACTGATACTTGCAATAACAACCTAACTTTTCTTACCAATAAAACTCAGCAAGATGTTTGCGAAAAGGTAACTATCTAAATATTAAGTTAGATACTATTAATTTTACAATCATAACTAATTTTATTATCACAAAAAATAATGGAAGATTGAATTTTTACAAATTCAAAATTTTTAATTATTGTATAAATAATATGTGTCATCTTAAAGAAAATGCGAATGTTCAGTGAAAGATACAATTATAGGAAAATAGATCCAGAACTGGAGAAACTGAGAAATGAAGTAGATGGGCCACCAAATTTAGATATGACTATTGTGAATATTCAGAGAGAATCATCATGCATTCATGCTGCATATTTGTTTGAGCATATTGGTAAAGCTACGTTACAAAAGCTATGTTTGTCACTGAGTTCTACAGCAACAGGGAAGATCTACGATGGATGGCAAGAGTTTGCAGCACATATGGGCTTAACAATGGAACAGATACGTGTAAGATTATCAGAAAAATGACGATTATAATAAGTAACAAGTATGCATATAAACTTAAGCTAATTCATATACATATTATTCTATAATAATGATGTAAATATAATATAATATCATTTGTTATTGTCCAGTGCATAGATTATGACTTCAAAGGGCTCCAGGATCCAACATATTATGTGCTTTTGGCTTACGTGCAATCTCCAGAGGCAACAATAGATAAAATTCTGAGTGCTTTACAAAAAATGCAACGACTCGATGTAATAAACCAAATTACGGATTCTGTACATGATTTAATCAATGCTGCATCACAACATGTCATAAACCATGGTAAAAAAAAACAGTAACATTTTTTTTCTGATATTACAAAATAAATCATGAGTCAAGTCAAATTCGGAAAATAAGTCTTCAAAAATGTCATAATGATATACAATTATATTAACCATTAATATATACAATGATTCTTTATTATACAATAAATCATTCGTGTTATGGGTTAATTTTCATCACTTTAACAAATATATAAAAAAAAATTATTAAGTAATTTGTATATATACTTTAACATTTTTAGAAAGTATTTATAAAGTTGTGTATTATGTATAAAAAAAATTGTATATAAATGTTATAAAAGGGTGTAATTACTCTCCTACTTTATCGAAGAAAATAACTGAGTAAGTCACGAATAATCCAATCATATATGTATGTACATTAGGCTTAATTATTTGTTCTATACACTTATTTAGGACCTAAAATAATTCAACCTGGACACATACCAAAAGCACCATTAGTTCTGAGTCCAATTTCAAGAGTGGAATGTGAAATTAGAATAAAAGAAAATGAATCAATGTATACTCCACAAGATAATCAACAAAAGAAGGTTGCTGAACTGATTAATATATATTCATAAATTTTTTTTTTTACAAAGAGTAAGATTTTAAGCTAAAATTTTTTTAATATTACATGTATCATATCAGCATAAACAAACGTATGGCAGTATAGTTATGCTGACATTTGCTAATGACGGTTTGCCAACTGCTGAGTATATCACAAAGATATTCAGATCCAAACAACCACGAATTGGTGTGCTTATATTACAAGAGCAAGAGAAACAAGTCTATAGTCGAGCTGAAGAATTCATAGACGACTGTTTCAAGCAGGTAAATTAATGTCTTCTCTTTCTTGATAGCCTCAAACATTAACTTCCTAGAGGTGTTTTATGTAAACTTTGACTTCTTAACTTTATCTGTTACAATTTTTATGAAATAGAAAGATGAGCCCTCTATTCAATTTCCATTCTGGAGAATCACATTTTAGAAGAACCGAATTTCCTTTTTAAACTTCTAATTATGTAAATTTCTTTTAACATCAACTGTCATTAAATACTATACATTAATCTACTTTTAGGTCGATTATGTTATACCAATACTGACAAAAGGATACATCGAAAAAATCAATAACCCTGTAAAAACGTATGAACAGATGCATAACAATTTGGATACAAAATACTTGAAATACATATATTCTTTATTGAGATACGAATACGTAAGAAATCAATGTTGCAACAATCGTGTAAGGTATATCTAAATTGATAAGTCTTTAAAAACAAATTTTTAACAGATAATTCTTTGATAGGAGTTTTTATAATAGAATATCGTTTATATTTCTTTACGATTAATATAAAAGTATGTGTAGAACTGCCTTTGTTTATTTGCCTTCGTTTCTCTTATCAAATGTGATATGTAATGCCTTACAAAGATATGATTGTTATTTCTGTTATTAGATGTATCGTACCTGATAAAGATGTTTATACGATTGTGCGAGAGAATCTGCACCCTACATTGCAAGCATGGTTTCGCGAAAGTGATATCGATGGTTTCGTGAACAATATCCTCTTCCATAAAATTTGATATGAAAAAAGTGACATGAGTACTTACAAACTTTTACGATTAAGAAATAAAAATTTTATGAGCAACTTTTGAGCAACTTTATTTAAAAGAAAACTTCTAAAATCTATGATATTGATAGTTTTTTTTGTAAACAATATTTGTGTGTGTAAATTTAATTGTAAGTTAAACATGTATGAAGAAACTTTTCCTGAACTTTAAACGAACACAAGAATTTCATGAACAACTATTAAAAATTCAAATTTTTGGAAGATCTTTTTACAGTTTACTGATTTTTCTGTTAATATATTATGTACAAATAAATACATGTGTTGTTTATACTTTAACTTACCTTTTAATTTATATTATATTTCATTAATGTATATTCTTATAGACAAAAACAAAAGTACTTACTCTCTTATAAAGAAATCTCCAAATGATCCTCTTTCCTCTTTCAATTTTTCCTGTTTTACTTTGTCTAAATTATCATAATAAATCATCAGAGCTTTACTGCTTTCCTCAGTGGGTATTATTTCACCGTTAATAGTAATAAATTCATGTTTGTTAGAATCAAACAGATCTGCGAATGAACCTAGTAAATCATGTTTGGAGGCAAGCTCAAACACTACATTTCCAGATTCTCCATGAACCCACTGAGCTCCGAGATCCACTATATTTTCACCTGAAAATATTAAAATGTTTGTTTAGATTCAAAATTTTCTACAACATCCAAAGTTTTAAAAATATAATTGAAACTGTTACAATATCAATAAAGATAACATATACAAATAAGTTATATATTTTCATTAATTCAAGATCAATTTGGGAGGTTATTATTTACCAAAGTCTTTGGTATGTATTCTGCCACCGATCCTATCGTTGGCCTCCAATATTACAAAATCGTTTACTCCTCTCTGCAACAGTCTCGAGGCAGCAGCAATGCCAGCTGCACCTGCTCCAACAATCACGATTTTTCTTTCCTTTGGCATATTGCAAGCTTTTCTTGACGATTGCACTGCACCCAACAGTTTTACTGCACCGTTAAAGGAATATATTTGCGTATTGTTAGAGATAAATGTCAATAATGATCTTAAATGAACTTGAATTGGCTCAAGCAGATAACGCATCGAATTAGTCAAATTAAAGGTTAAGAAAGATTAGTGCTATCTCGACATGAGCAAACTACATTGGCAATTTGCACTCTTCTTAAATTCTATAAAGTAAAATTTAATCTTTACAGAATATTGTAAGAAAATTAAAGAAAAAAAGGAAATTGAAATATATTTTATATTATCCTTCGTATTTGTCTTTCCTATTAAATTTCTTTAATTCAGATATTGTATTTCATATAACAGGCCATTACTTCACACTCACTTGACTAATTTTGTTTTAATGTTAAGCGTATAATAAACAATTTTTATTCAACACTTCACTTTAGAACGTTCGAGTGAGTTCTTGAGGGTGCATTTGCAAAGCAAAGCTCCATGGGAAAAATTATACTTCTTTACCGTTGAATAAATACTAGCAAGTGGTAAATCATTTAAAAATAAAAGATTTGTTAAACATTATTAATCTCAATGATTGCTACAATTTGCTAATTCTGCACGACTGTATATACCTCACTGTGTATATTGAACACCGAAATACCGAATTTACCTGAACCTATCTAAACCTATCAAACGAAACAGCTATGAGAACGATAAGATACTCGCACATGCGCAATAAAGGGAGCGTTACTAGACTCTATTATATCTATATAGTACAAAAAAAGGAAAAATATTTTTACTTTAGGCTATAATTATAGTAATTAAGAAATTATTAATAAAATATTAATAAAATTATATATTATATATAAAATAAAATAATAGAAACAATTAATATGGTCGTTTATTAGATACATATATATCTTTAAAAAATTGTAAATAAATTTCTGTCCCCAAATTTTGATGGAACTTATAAATTGTCTGAAGTAGGCTATGGATGCGTTCCGTTTCTCGCATGGTGCGCATAATGCATCGTTTATCCTTGTTGCTCACTAAATATTAAACAAGGACAATGGATCCATCATGCGCAACATACGCAATACGGAACGCACCTTATATAGTTATAAACAAAAAAAGTGGAAATTTTACTCTGAATTTATTCAAAACTTCATTCATTCGACCACAACCTATTACATTTTAATCATGGTTCCTATAACCATTTATAAATTAACAAGTATCAAAATATAAATTTAATACCGAAATAATAGTTTATGTGAAAATCAATTCAGTTTTCTGCTTTAAAAATGTCGAAAATTTCTTTAAAGGCTTCTAGCACGAGACTTTCGCTCCAACGTTTAAAGTAAACAACCATAATGCCGTTAAAATTAAAACATTAAATTATTATGTAGAAATTATTATGTAAAGTCACATTAATAAGATATTTTATATATAATTTTAATTTTATTATTTTTTTCTTTTAACTGTGGAATATATATATATCTTCTTTTTTTTAATTAATTTTATAATTCGTGTTGATTCTGTTAATATCAATCAGATAATTTCTATATATAGATACCTTATTTATCTACAGTTTACCGACGTCTAAAAGAAAAAGTAATCATTTATTAGATTTTCGAGGAAAATGGCCGAAAGAGGATTCAAAGCTAAAACCGTTCAGATTTTGTTGTTCTCTGGATCGTTTCGATCCTCTTTCGCGATACAATCAACGAAAACCGCCTTTCAAATCTTCATTAACAGCAATAACTTCTGTAAACGAGTGTCCAGTGGCTAAAATGCAAATGAAATTTTCCATGTCCCGATTTTTTCGGGAGAAGAAAAAACCGGCCAAAACAAGAACGTCAGATGTAGGGGAACAGCAACGACTATTAAAGAATGGTGAATTAAGTTATTTCCAGATTAGTAGAAATAATCGCTTTATAAGGCAGTATCTAGAAGATGAAATTGCATTGGCAAAGGATATCTTCTGGGCAGAAAAACAAAAAATTCATAAAGAGACAAGCAACAAGGCGATAAAAATAGCAAGGAAGAAAAGTAAGCCTCTTCTAGCAGTGTAAGCAACAAAAATACAAGATTGGATTAAGAATTATTTGGACATTAAAACGCGCACTGATACATATTATAGCCGTTATACAATGATTAATATGAGTGCAAAAGTGAAATGCCACCTTCCCTTATTAATGCCACAATAAAATGTAATGATAATTTCACGATTTAATCTATTTTTTTTTATATTAAACACACTTTTTTATGTCAATTTATGTACAACACGACTTTAATATGCATTAGTGTGTATAATACTCTCAATGCGTCCAATAAAATTTGCTATATTAGACTAAATTAAGAACATGTTTTAAGACTGTGCTATAAATAAAAAAAACTAATTTATTTAACAAAATATAATATAAATGGAACATGATTATTTTATTTTATTTCTTATATAAATGCTTACTTTATTTTAACATTTGGACGAAATAATTTATCAAAATTATTGTTCTTGTGCAATATTTGAGAATAAAAAGTAGTTTAATAAAAAAAAAAGATTTAATTTAGAAAAATTGTAATGCATATATATATATATATATATTATATTAACGTTAAATTTGTAAAACTATGTGTTTTAAATTAATTAACATATCAATTTATTTTAATATATTAGTTTAAATTAATATATCAATTATTGATATATAATTATTGATATTAATTTATAATATATCAATAATTTAAATATTATTTATTCCTTCTATAGGTAAGAAACACTTACTAAAATTAAAGAAATATCCACGATGGTACCAAGATTTTTCCCCGGATCAAGTATGAACGTAAAAATAAATGATCTTGTACACATTTTGTTTCGATAAATAAAGTTTAATATTAAAATGTGATAAAAGATTATTATCTGTAAAATAGCTCAATTTTTCTCATTAGTAAAATATTATTTTTTATCTTAATATTGTATTTAAGAATATTTTTTCTAAAATAAAATTATAGTGATTCTCTTTATGTATATTATCCAGTGAGAAATGACAATGAATTAGACGTCGATTCCATTGTCATTTCTCACTGGGTATAAAATTAAGTTATATAAATTTATAGATGAAACATATAATGAAACTGGAAAATGTAATGCTCACCGATTACGAAGAGACAAAGACAAATGGCACGCAGACGACACTAATAGCTATTGGCGTTACTTCAACGTTGTTCAAATTGAAGCCGAGTACAATAAAAGAGTTATATAAATCGTGCAAATTGAATAGCGTCGATTTTCTACGAGAAATTTATAGAATCTTAACGGGAAATGATTTTTGCGAAGAGGGATATAGTATATTTCAGATTTTATTTCTATTTGAAATCTACATTAAAGAATTAATAACGTGATTCTTAATAGAATTATTTTATTTGTAGAGAAAGTTTACGATTGTAATGAGAGAATAATATTGTCGGCTATTGCATTTTTAACACTGCCAGAAACGATAAAAGAATTACATAAGAGATTGCCAACAGTGATTATGCCAAAATTACCACTAAAACGTAATTTTATATTAAAAAATATTATTAAAAAGTTTAATTAACTATTAAACTTTTACATTAATTAATAACTATCTTATCATTATTTATTGTTAAATAAAATAAATATTATTACTCTCACACACAACTATTCAATATATTTTAGCAAAATTAATAACATGTCTGGCGAGACGAAAAGATAGCTGTCCTTATAAAGAAGAATTGTTTAAACGTCCCGATTGGACTGGTTATCGAAACGCTTTGCAGAAGTGGCAAAAACATTGTAAACTAACTGCAATTCCGAAAATAATCTTACCACTAAATAAATATGACCCGTTTTTTATGAATAATAGATCAGAGTTTAAAAAGCAGAGGAAAAATATTTCCACTGAACATCTCGAAGAGATCAGTACAAAAGAGTTGCAAACAATCTCCCCAACTATGTATGAGAAAGGTAAAAATGTTTAATAGATGAATAAAATATAGAATTGTAGTAAAACTTTTAAATTTACAGTTAGCTATATTTAATGTGGATTTTGATAGCACAATAATAAATTTATCAAAATATTAATCAAATAATCATAAATATGTATGTATAATATAAATGTAATATGAATATTGATGAACTTTGCCAAGATATAGATTCCTCAAGAGAGAGACCTTTAGAATCGACAAATTTCAATATTCTTCAACCTCCAGACGATAGTAAAAAATCTAGTTTCAGAATTCTTAGCAAAAAACCAGAAACCGCTGAATACAAAATTTATGGTATATAGAATAATGCAATATCTTATTGATATTTTTTTTAATAAAAAATAGGAAATTGGTATATATAATAATTCTTATATATATAAGTTAAAAATATTTTTAAAAAAATATACAATATATAAAAAAATTATTAGGTCCGCCGAAACCATCAGGAGCAGGTAAAAAATCTTGGCTGGGAAAGAAGGACGCTCATTATATAATAGCTGGAATATCCACCAAAGATTCACATAGTTATCCTGTAACTTACGAGAACGCAGGTGTGGCCAATGTAACACCCAGCAATAGTGACGAAAAATTCTTCGCAGTGCTGAAATTCGGCGATCAGACTAAAAAGATTTTTCCCAGTGGTAGAGAAAATCTGTCAATAAAGTGGCAAGAGTGGCTACAAAACGCTAATGAAAGTTATAAACAATTGGAGGAAGAAACTGATGAGTTAATCAAGAATGTACAAGCAACTATAAAATCAGCATTTCCTGGACCTTTTTGCGATAGTTGCTGCTCGTGCCGACAGACTAGAAAATTTGAAGAACAGTTGCAACAAAGCAAAATTAACAAGGCGTTAATTGATGGAGAGAAAAATTTGTAAGAAAATTGTTATAAAGACTATATGATTTAGACAAAATTAGATATAACTTAAACAAATGGTTGTTTAAATTCTCCAATTTATTTATTATATAATTTGTCTTTTACGACCTGCAGTTTAATTAAATAGACTACAATAACAGTTGTTAGCAATTTTAATATTAATTTCAAAATTCTCGAAAATGTGGATGTTTATATCTTTACATTTTTTACGTCCTTTGATTCCAATTATAAAGTTTTGGATTCTAAAATCCTTGCGGTTTCTAAATTTTAATGTTTTTTAATCTTATAGTTCTCTTTTTGAAAACTTTTCTTCATAATTTAAAGTTATGGAATTCTAAAAGTTAAAGTTTTGAAAACTCAGTAATGTAATAAAGTACAAGAATGTTATTTTTTTGACAGATATATCACAAATTCGATGGCGATGCAATCTTCAGGACCAAATCCAACAGATGTATCAATTAATCTAGTTGTTGAGGATGAGATTAGAACAAACATACTTCATCCTATTAAAAATGTTCCACCCTGTTCATGTCCTATTCAGCAAATGGTTGATAAGGATGTTAGTCTATGTATAAGTAAGGAAATTATTCCTTGGACAAAGGAAGGATTGTGCCCTGGAAAGAAGTACAGACCTAAGGAGCCAGGTGCATATTCTTGCAAGATGTATCCTGGAGATGAATTCTGTAAGTATAATCCTTTCACGAAAGAAATAATGAAGATGGAAAGAAGAAAAATACAAAAAGAAAAAGAAAAAGAAGGTGAAGAAGAAAGAGTAAAAGAAAAGACAAAACTTATTGAAGCGGTTAAGAAGGAGATTCAAGTTCCAGAAACAGACATTATAGAAAAAAAGATAGATAAATTTATTCCTGATCCTGATTATCCTGCTTATGATAATCCTTGGAATATATCACGAACTGCGCCCCCGGCAAAAATAATTAAAACGGATTATGAAGCAACCTTGAAGTTGACATCTCCAGAATGGCCTACAACTTCTTATTTGCCATTAAAAATGCAAGAAAACCAAAATAATATATTTTCAAAAGAATTAAGTCATACAAGTGTTAAGAAGGAAACGTCCAAAGTAATAATGGGATTACAATCATTTAATAAGATGACTAGCAGCAAAATAGGACATCGAAGAGATGTATCACATAAGGAAACTACTGATAAAATAATTAGTAAAAATAAATATTCTGAGGAAATTATTGACGAGATCGATTATCAGCAAAATGAATCACATAAACAAATCAAAAAGACAAAAGAAAACATTGACGATAAAAGTCATCGAATAAATGGCGATAAGAAATATGTAAACAAATTTAATCAACTTATAGCGATAATAAAGGTACTTTTGTGAATTTTTTAATTTGAAATGAATTAACTCGCAGTATATTATTTAATATCAATCAATTATTATGTTATCTATGAATAAATGTAATATACCAATATATAGATATAAAATATTAGGTCGAATTGAAGAAAATGGCTGCAGAAGGTTATACATTCGCCAAGTTACCAAAATGTTATCTAATGCCGCAGCTTCAGGATTGGGTCATGTATAGACAGGGTGTTGTTTTCTCGGAAACGGACAAAAGTATAACTTTGATGGCAGAATTAATCGTTTCTTTTTTCAATTTTTAATTATAGCGTTTTTATAACTTTCATTTTATTTTCTTATTTACTCTTTTCTATTGTTAGAAAATTTGATGGAAAAGACACGTACCATTTGGGACATAACAAGTAGAAAAATGCTTAAGGATATCGAGAAACCATCGCTGCATATGACGAAACATCAACTGAGGAGATTGACCTTCGATCAAGCCGAGAGAATCAAGAAAAAGGTTGATGGTCAAATTATAACGCTCATTATTTGCGAATTTAACAAAAGTCACATATGTAATACATTAAATCTGTAACGTTTATTCCTATTAATTTTTAAATTTAAAAGTAATTCTTTATAGATATTAATATTTTAAAATCACTAATTGTTATAATCTGCATTTCGAATAGATTGAAAAGATCAAAGAGATATTTCACAGTGAAGTACGTAAGACACGTGTTGCTTATGCTCGTACGATGTGGAGTACCATGGAATATGGAAAATTTCCTTCTACGTCGTTCAAGAGAACTTTTTTCACATATATGGCTAGCAAAGAAGCCGATGGACACGTTTATAAACCGTGGTTGCCTTCCGAAATACGCAGAGATCTCAATTTCTGTTGCTACTAATTGCGTTGATTAATTTAATTACTGCTTATTTGATATATACACTTAGTTTAATATAGTTAAAAATTAACATACAATACCTAAAACTTTTTAATATTATATTTATTACAGTAATAAAAAACATTATTACTTATGTAAACAATTATAATAATATAAATTTATTAAATAATAAACTACATATATTTTTAACTGTATAATACATTATATTAACTACGTTCTTAAAAATTACTTTTAAATATTTAATTTCTAAATGTCAGATTAATATTTTATTTTAATTATGTAACGTATACGTATACGTACCTCTAAATAAATTTATAATAATTTTAACTTGTCTGTTGCCAAAGTCTACTTATCAGATGGTAATTTCTTTTTTCAATATATTGAACATTTATTACAATAAAATATATATATTATCTATTATTGTAATAAATATGTTTATCACCAGATGATACCTCAATTTTAATAAAATGTTTCAATATTTTCACACTGTCGCTACAGTCGCGAGTGGTGTGCTACGTGCCGGGCACTGCCGGGCACAGTAGTAGTGGTTTTTACGATTGAAATAAAGATCTTCTAATTTGAAGAAAAATAAAGTTGTTTAAAAAAGAGAAAATTCCAACAAAATGTCGTCTGGTATATTAATATTTTTATTGTAATACTCATTATTTTATAAAATGAAATTGCGATTCGTTTGATCTTTATTTATTCATTTACTTATGAATCTTTAGAAATAGAGACGAGTTTGTTGGTGATCGTTCTGGATGTCAATCCGATGCAGCGTATAGTGAAGCAAGAAACCAAGATACTGTCACAATGTTTAGACTCTACAATTGTCTTTGCCAATGCTCACCTTATGCAATCGTCCAATAATGACTTGGCGATAATGTCATGCCATGGCCATGGTGCTAGATTTCTCTATCCTTGTGAAAACGCAATAGAAATAAGGCAGATGGATGGGCAGTACGAAAAGTTTTCCATGGTAGAGCGCACAGTACGTCAACAATTACAACAGGTCATTAATGAGATATCCATGGATGATCCATTGAACACAGAGAGTCTCATCTCTGGTGCACTCAGTATGGCGTTGTGCTACATCGCTCGATTAGAGCGAGAAAAGGTTGCTGGCCAGAAGTTACATCCTAGGATGCTGGTGATTACTGCTAGCAATGATTCAGCCACACAGTACATGAACTACATGAACATATTCTTCACTGCACAAAGAATGGTTTTTATTTCTCTTTCTTCCTCTCTCTCAGATTTTGATATGGTTACAATAACAGAATTGATAACTTGTAATATAGAGATCTATCTGATTACTTTTAGAATGTCATTTTGGATGTGTGCAGCTTGGATCAGGAGCTGACTCTCTTACAACAGGGTTGTGATATTACTGGTGGTAATTATCTGAAGGTGCCACATCTTGCTGGATTACTGCAGTATTTATTGGTGAATTGTGCATGCTTAATTTTATTAATACAAACGCAATTATTCTGTATGATTCATTCTTTTTTTTTTTTATAATTTAGTGGGTTTTTCTGCCAGATCCCAGTGTTAGGTCAGAATTGGTTCTTCCTCCACCAGTAAAGGTGGATTATAGGGCAGCATGTTTTTGCCATCAAGAACTTGTCGACATTGGATACGTTTGTTCCATATGTTTATCAAGTGAGTATAAAATTATATCTGATCAATAATATTAAGAATCAATGTAAATAAATGGCTCAAGTTATTAAAATAAAAATCATATTTTTCTAATGAGGACCACGAGCCATATATATAAGCCCTTATTAGAAATATATAATTTTTAATATTAAGAATATTTTAATTAATATGAAACAATGTAAGAAACAATATATAAACATAATATTAAACATTCTTAAGTTTATTCGTATTAAAAAAGTACTATTATTTTTAGTCTTCTGTAAATTCAGTCCAATATGCACAACTTGCCAGTAAGTTTCTTCAACTAATATTTTTTAATTATATCATATATTAAAATGATATACCTTAAATGATAATTATGAATTTTTTAAGTACGGTGTTCAAGATGCCAGGACCTATGCCAATGAAGATGAAAAAGAAGAAGAAGAACATTGATATCGTCCATTAATTATATATTTCACACATAGCAATTACATTTTGTAAATAAAAACAATGTCATCTTATAAAAACAATTTAAGATTATGATTTTTTTTTTATCATAACCAGTGATTAATTGTACAGAATTCATTAAATTGAATTCATTATTAGACTAAAATCATTATAATGAATTCATTAGATAAAAAAGATATCTATTTTAATAAATCATTTTCGAAAAGGTTTAATATAAATTGTATCTATGTATAAATGTATCCAACTGTTTAAAATCAAAATTATGTTGGAATGCATAATTTGACTATTGTTTATTCGTGCTGTGATTCTTGAATCGACTGCTATGTTGTGGCTCGATTGTGCGCGGATGGATGTTGCGGTACATAACCAATACGCTCCTGGATCTCGCTCTGAGGAATCTTGCCTCCCCACGTGGGTGGGTTTATGGACGATGCCGCTTTTCTTTCGGGATCCTTCTTAGACTCGTGTGCTTTTCTTATTTCCTCATACACCTGCAGATCATCCAAACGCATTTCTATCCGAGTTGGACTTCGTCGTATCATCTCACTGAAAAAAAAAAAGGAATAGTATTACATTTTTTGTGTATATAATGAATCTTATAAGAATTTAATTAAAATTTAAAAAATAATGATCCGCAAATGTATGTGACTTCTAAAACGCTTTGTACCTTTTCCGAAAAATCAAGAATGTGAGTACAATACAAATATGCAAATCAAAAAGAACAAGAATAAATCACATAAGACGAAAAGAAGCAAAATCTTGTTTTTCAGCTTTCTTTTCCGATATACATACGAGTATATCGGAAAATGTCTAATCTATTTTTTGCTTCCTATTTTTTCTCTTACTTTTTTCCTTTTTCTCTCTTGTTGAGACTGTTTGAGATAATCACGGTGTTTTGTCTCTTTCGAAATTTGTTAATTTTTACTTTGGGCAACAGAAAATCAAGAAACAGAATAAGAGATAAAATGTAAGAAGCAAAGAGCATCGTAAAAAATTATACGAGTTTGAATTTCGCTGAAATTGTGTAGTGCTCCAAAATGAAATGAATATAATATCCCCCAGATCTGGGCACTGTACTCCTCGATACGTCCCTGATATCTCCCGCATAATATGGTGACATACGCTGGCTGGGTGCGACGATTCACCAAATAATCCCGAAGCAAGGCTACTTCGCACGAGCCTCGTCGCTTGACAAAATCCGTCGTAGCGTAGCACACGGTAGCGGCGTTCGCGCACTTAAAAATTTCAAGCAAATGTTCCAGGAGTCAAGATTGAAAGCGCTGAAAACGCGCTAAGACTCGCAAGCTGAAAGCGCCCCGAAAATACGAACAAATACGAATGCGGACTGCAGAGGGGCCGGACACGCGGGGGTACGCTTTCGGTCGGGCAGCGCGTTTCCCTGCAAACTCCCGCGGAATTTTGCGGCAATTTGCGGCTACCCGACGACGTCCAGCGGCTACTAGTCAAGTACATCAATCGCGGACAATCGACGGCGCGGGAAGATGCTTTACCTCGAAGATTACGTCGAAAGTGCGTAGGAGAAATGACACGGCTCGCTCGTACAATCCTAACCTCTTCGCGTGGCGCGCGCCTAACCTAAAACCATCTAGAACTTCGCGGGCCGATTTGTTCCACGACGAATGCAGCCATTTTTGTTTACGTTCCGCGGGCCACGACCCGCGCCTCCTTTTGCACGTCGATCGCGCCCTAGTCCTGGTCTTCATAAAATGCGACGGGGAAAGCGCGTTCGCTTGACAATGCGATCTCGCGTAGAAAGGTTAGGCGCGATGTTTCGTCGACACGCTTGTTGCTATTGCCAAGATAAAAAAGAAAGTAACAAATTGTCATTTATGTCCACGGCCCGTTCATCGACATACAATTTCATTGTTTAGAATTAAAAATTCATTAAAAATCTTTCCTTTCTGGAGTACAATTCCAATATAAATAGTCGCTGTTCTTTTTTTGTTTGTCTAATATGAGGAAATTGGTAATAGAATATTGCCAAAAGATACTAATTTTACTGAACTTGACGTTACTATAAACTAGTGAAGTAAATAAAATAGTTTAATTTAAGATCATGTAGCAATCGAAAGACTTATTACAATATATTGAGTACTTTCTATGACATAGGTGACACAAATGTCATTCTATTTTTGTCACTTAAAGAAAGACAAGAAAGAGAAGACAACGTTTGTGTCATCAACTCATAACGTTAAATAGAAAGACATCTATTAATTACAGAGATTATTAGGAGTAGAGTATAAGTAAATTTGCAAGAATAAATAACTAGTTCAGAAATAGTTATCTTATATCAAATGTAAAACTAATTATCTTTTAGCTAATGTATGTCTTATGGTTGCAGTGATCGAGCATCTTCCACAAGAGCTACGGGACCGATTTACAGAGATGAGGGAGATGGATCTAGGTGTACAAAGTATGTATTATTTGATCTAACAGAGATAAAAATATAGTTACATATATTTTTATGAAATGATAACAGTTACAAAAAAACTGTAAAATATAAAACTAACGTCAACTACCTTCAGATTCCATGGATAGCCTGGAGAAAAAAGTGAAGACGTTTTTTTCCAATGCCAAGAAGATGAAACCCAGTGAAAAGGAAGCAGAGTACGAGGCTATTAGAAAAGAGTATTATAAGACTTTGGAAGATGCCGATGAAAAAGTACACCTAGCCAATCAGATGTACGACTTGGTAGACAGGTACTTGAGGAGGCTTGATCAGGAGCTACACAAGTTTAAAATGGAATTGGAAGCAGACAATAAGGGTATCACCGAAATCTTGGAAAAGAGATCCTTAGAATTGGACCAGCCACCCACGAATAGCAGCCAGAAAGAAAATCGTTACAATTTTACACCGAGCAGAACGCGAGATAATCATAGCCATTGTAAATATAGCATCTCTAATAATGCAATGTAGTATTTAACTTAAATAGCTTTTAACTTGAAAAACGAAAGCGTTATTACATCAAACTGTCAAAAACGTCGATATTACTAGAACACTCCAGGGTAATTTTTATAAAAGTTACTGATTACTAATTATATAAACTTGTAAATGGAATAAAATTAGAATACATATAACAATCTTTAGATGTAATCTTCAAATTTTACGCAAATTTCAGCTCGATCGGAGAAACGACGGGACTCAAATGCATCTTCCACGTCGGTCGAAAAGAGGCTGGCGATTGAGAAGCTACCAGCAACAACGAGTCTACCGGAGTCACGGCCGGCGTCAGCGAATTCTGCGCCTATTATCGCAACGAATAGTGTCACGCCGACGCCGACAGCAATTGCTAATTCCGTAGGATCAGTATGTTACAATCTCGGTCATATCGGCGCCGGTGGTAATGCCATTGCGGCAGCCGCGTCACAGGCAATTGCGGCCACGCAATCAATGCAGCAGGGTAGACGCTCGGCTAGTTTAAAGGCAAGTTATGAGGCCATTAACACCGGTGGCGTACATGCTGCGGAATTCAGCAGGGAACTGGCCGGCGCGGCGCAAACCGCCATCGCCGCTATCCAGGAGACTACAAAGAAACATAAAAAGTACGTAGAACGTGTGTGTAACGAAGAAGTTAATTATATTTACTTAAAATATATTAAATCGCTTCATATTTATAAGTTCTCTTTAAATTTCAATTTGGGTCAAAAGATTAATTATATCTTAGTTGAATCAGAGATGCTTTTAAAATGGATGTTTTAAAAAACTCTCTGCGGTTCTCGAGAAACGCTTTAGATTCGAAATCTTTGTTAAATTAGAGAAACTTTACAATTTTGTATTTTATTTTATAGAAGAATTTTTTGTATAGTAATTGTTTAAACAACACATTGCTATTACAAATTCTAGAAAAGTGACAGCTACCGTGCCGAGTTCGAGCGTGATCGCAACTACAGTGCAACAGCCCGTGTCGCCACCAGTGGTTACAACAACCACGCAAGTAGTAGATCCGGACAATCCGGATTGGACATACGATCCGAACGAACCGCGCTATTGCATATGCAATCAAGTTTCGTACGGCGATATGGTGGCTTGTGACAATTCAGACGTAAGACCTGTCGACATGTACAAAAGTATATACATATACAAGCGAATAGATTTATTATGATCGCTTTTTAGTGCCCCTTTGAATGGTTTCATTATCCATGCGTGGGGATCACTGCGCCACCTAAGGGGAAGTGGTACTGCCCTCAATGTACGTCCTCGATGAAAAGACGTGGCGGACGGAAGAACTGATTAGGTGAGAAAAAGAAGAAGCTAAGAAAAAACCATGTTGACCACATTAAGAAAGCATCGCTGCTACTACCTCTTAGATACTGTCCGTCAAGTACCGACTTAGTTAGAAAGCTGTTTTTAGCTCTGATTTTGTATAACTTTTTTAATGTGCTGTTTTGAGTCTGCGTCATCATTTTGATCTTCGGTCTTCTCTTTTCGTAATATGATCGAGCATATAAAAATAACAATGTTATTCTATCAAAATCTCGAACATCTAATGAATATTACGCTTTTAAGGCTTTCACGGGTATTTTCTTTAATTATACCAGAAGGTTTGAGGGTTATTGCCGTGTCTTTCTTCATTATTAATCCCAACGTTTCGTGAACGTATCAGCGCACCTCTCGCCCTGATGAAATGAACGGCATGGTTCACGAAACGTTGGCATTAATAATGAAAAAAGACACGGCGATAACCCGCAAACCTTCTGGTATAATCTAATGAATATCGAATTGAAAGATTTTGTAAACATCTCAATGTGTTTCGTATACTGCCGTTACCTCCCAGCAATAAAGAAAAGGGGGCAATGTGAATAGAAGGTTAATTCGGAAAATATGAGAATCGTTATAATGTATTCTTCGACGAGAATTTTAAATTGACTGCTTTTCCTTAAAAAATTTAGAGTTAGATATTAGCTCCTTAACAAAGAATTTCCCGACAAATTAGACTGTAAATAAATTAAGAAACTCGGTTTTTTAAAAGTAATTTTAAATGAGTCTTTAACAGAAAGAAGTTTAATAGAAACTTAACTTTACGTAAAATTTAAACTTGCAGTATTTAATATTGAAAATTATAAATTTACTTTTTTTGATGAAGAAAAACTGAATGAATGAATTTCGAATTCTTTTGACAATAGCGACTGTTTGGAAGCTCCTTTATAAATAAACTACTAATTTCAAAAGGAAAATTGTAGCGAATATTAATGTGTAAATAAAATATCTATACAGTAAGATGAATATTGCCAAAATGAATTGTTATATATTTTTTAAAATAATTTAGCATTATTTTTATATTCACCAGCACAATTCGAATTTATTTCAATTTTCCCTCTCACTAAAAAATCACGAGGTGCAATTTATAATATACGGTTCGAATTTTATTTCATGCATAAAAATACTTGATTTAATTACATTTACAATTGTTTATGCATTTTCCGGAAAATTCCTCTTTGCAAAGCTTTATAATTACTTTATAGTTATTGTATTAATTATACTTAATTTTGAAGACTATTCTAGTAATCTCCTTATACATACATAATAATTCTTTCTTAAAATATTTAATAAGCAGAAGAAAAATCATAACAAAATGAATATGATTATGGAAGTAATAAGAGATATCTCCATAACATATGTTTCTAATTTCATTTTATTATCGCAGGCGACTTTGCACTATTTAATAGTACATGCGTGATACTAATATATATTATTCTTATATCGACGATTGTGAAGTATCTCTATGGATAAATCCTATTCGCCAATATTGTCTCGGAATTAATGGATAGCCGAGGTTTCGTAACATTTTCAAATGATTGGCTGATATTTATAATCAGTTTTTATATTTAAGAGCGCTTAAATATAGTTTTAAGATGTTATAAATTAGAGCTATATTACTCTCTTAAGACGTTATTTAAGATGATTTTCTCTCTAAAATAAGAACCGATTATGAATATCGATTTTTGTGTATCTATCTGTACGTTTATATTTTTGTTTCTCTCTCTTGTTCGAGAAATTGAATTGCAAAATACAAATTCTCGCACGCGCAAATTGCTGTTTCGAACGACTATCTAGCCTTCCACTTGACGCTCACCACGCCCTTGAAAGTCATTTGTTTATCAAATGTAAACTAAGAGCAAATAATACTCGCAAGCACATTATGAGCGCCAACTGGAATGCACTTCTAAATCCTGAGAGTTGTTTAAAAGCAAAATTGTAACGAAATAATTGATATATAAATAAAGTGAATCATAATATAACAGAGATGAATATCGTTATCGGTATAAACATTTTCTGTCGATTAGTCATCATTTATTAGTCCACAATTCGAATCTATCTTATCTTTATAATGTATCTTAATCTGTCTTTTTCGTTGCAAAATCTTTGAATGTAATTTAATGCATTTCATTTCGCGCGAAAATAGTTTATGGCGACAATTTACTTACAACTACTTGAAAATCTGTCCTAATGTTCGTCGTTATTTATGTCATTCTCGAAGATGAAAAGTCCGGATTTGTTCAAAGCAGACAAAAAATAATGGAACCACAAAAAGATATTGCATAACAGCAAAAGCATTATTAAGGTTAGCAAAATGAGCACTATACATATTTTGCAATCCATTACGCTGGGGTGCATTTGTCGCTTCAAGTCACCGAAAAGCTCGATCAGAATAAACCGTAAACACACTGAGCACAGCACACATCGAACGCGCAATTTAATAATTATTATCGTGGTCTCGGCAACTCTCGATTGTATGAATATTTTGAAGGATCCCGAATTTTACGCGTGCTTCACATCAATGCTTTCTCGAGATTGACGAACGATAAGAGCAGTTCGACGTTCGAAGTAATTTATATTCGTTTCTATTCGCATGTTTATATTTACGTTTCCATCGTTCTCAGCTAGCACATAAGATTTGAATTCTTGTACAATGTACATACGTGTATAGAAAATGGTACGGCTGTTTCAAGCAACTTATCCGAATGAATTCCGGAAGCATTGATTTTTGGAATAAAGACTTTATTGTGAACAAATAAAATGAACAGTGCACAGAAACAAATGATAGCGATAAAATCGATCGCATTTATTCTATAGCCGTTCTTTTCATGTTTTCAAACGTAAAATTTTTTTCATCTCATTATAAAATTATTAGATACTAGTCAATGAACACCCCGAACCTCATTTCATGCACGAAGATATCAAAATTAACTTACCAATCGCTTGAAAATTTTTCGAGCCTCTTCCTGAATATTTCCATTATAACAATAAAGATAAAATGAAGGGCAAATACGAAATTTGGTAATAAATATAGTAATTAAAAGAATTTACATGCAAAATTACAATTTGAAATTAGAATATAATTAAATAAATTTTGATATAAAAATGTAAACATAATGTATAGTTCTTTTAATTGCTATTTATTACCGAATCGTATTTGCCCTCTTTACTTTATCTTTATTGTTATTTTGACTTCGATAGCTTTGTTTATTATTAATTTATTTTTATTTCCATTATCTCTTTTGAATATAAATTGAGGTACAAGTTTAAGCATATGATTATTTAAATTAATTAGTAAAGAGTACATTTACTCTATCAAATCCATATCAAAATCAATAATGCATTAAGTACGAACAAGAAAATAGTAACGATATTTAAAGTCTCTATTTCATCATTTTCAATCATTTTGTTATTAGTTGTTTGATTATTGCTTTAAATTATGGAATAATTCGAATTAATACTGTCAACAAAAGTATTACTCATGGATACTTTAACAAAGGTTTGAAACTTTGTTTTACGCATTAAAATATTAAATCAAAATTTACTTACAATTAAAATTGTCCAATTTTCTTCTTCGAATAAAATTGTTAGATATCTATGCTGGATATCTCTCAGAAAAGGATTAGAACTGCAATTTTTATAAACATAAGAAGAATAGTCAAACAAAGCACAAGTGTGGTAGTGGACATAAATAGTAGAAAGATAAAAAAAATTCTAGGATGTCCATTTTACAATCTTTCAGTATTTATTATCTCAATTAACGAAAAATTTAAATTAATAACATAAACACTATTAATAATAGTCGCCAAACGCGCAACTAATTTATTATAATGATTAGCAATTTTTCGAGTCTTGGAAAATAAATATTTCGTATATTTATTAATATTTCTCAAAATAATTTATTATTTCACCGATAAGAACTTCGCAACGAATAATCATATTTCTGTTTCTCCGTTAGTTATATATTTTTATTACACTCTCGTTCTCTCAAATATGAAATTAATGAATAATTAATTAACAAAAACGGTGTAGCTAGAATTTTTAAGTAATTTTTTAAATTTCGAAATTTTCCATTATAGTGGAAGTCAATAGTGTTAAATAGATTAATAAATATAGTAAATATTTTTTACTTACTCGGTAAACATTTTTTTCTCGTTTAAGAAAGTGTCAACTTAAAAGAAAATTTATTCACTTGTTTATAAACTCCTTTGAAATCCTTCCGGAATTATGTCATTCCATTAAAACATTCAAAAATTTTATTAGATTTATAATTCAATATAATTCATTATATTTTGTCAAAGTAAATAAAGAGCTATAATTAACAAAATAAAATACAAACATAATTGTCATAGCATTTTGTTATCGTATGTTTATATTATTTCAAGTTGTCGAAAGGATTAATAATAAAAAGCTTTTATAATAATATTAATACCTTTAATATTAGTAATTAACGACTTCAGAAGCTTCTGAAAGGCATCATCTACTTTGCATTATTTCTTAAAAGCTGAAGATAATCTTGGCTACGAGAATTACGCAATATTTGAAACCCTTTGGAAAATGTATTTTTTATATAAATTTATATAATAGTAATGCTTTAGTTCTCGTTTTATGTTGATGTTATTTCTGAACTATTGTATATGAAATTTAAATGCACAGTAGACGTTTTTTGAGAGAAATCAACATAAATTAATTTTTTGAAATTTGAACTGATATACAATTAGTGAACAATTTACAGACAAGGTATTTATAGAGATAAGTCATTACATCTATTTCAGTGATTTACCATTGTAATATTTACAACAATTTAAAATAATCTCATATTTATAATATATAGTCTAATTTCTATTTTTCCGCATGCAATAAGTTCGATAAACACAAGAAAATATGCATTAAATTCGTTTTTTCATAAAAGCTATTCATCAATGATTGATGAAAAGCTTTTCATCAATTCTAGATTCACTCACCGGATATTTCAAATTTTTTTTACAATGCTGCAGACTATAATATAATTCCATATTCCGTAGTCATATTCCGTTTTATTAAATCACTTACTTTATTGTCATTTAATATAAACACAATCAATGTTATATTTATAGATAAAAATCTTAATATTACAGTTGGAGTCATGATAAAGTGGTTAAAAGGCATTGCTTCCTGAAAGTATTCCCCAATTGTTAATAGCAATAAAAAAAATTGTAGGAAAATCACAATATCGGTATTATCATCTATAATCCACATTTCATCAGTTTATTCTCTCAAGCTAGAACTTACATTAACAATGGCAACAATAGACTAAGCATGTGAATTTATTGACAAACTTTATATCATTCGTACTTTGGAAAGTTCTAAAGGACACGAACTGCTTTGCATGTTTTCCGAAAATTGGCAAATTTACTTATTGACAGTAAATTTCGCTGGTAATAATCTCTTTGAAGATTTGAACAATCATGCAATTGTCATATACTTATAATGATCACATATTTCATCCGCATTTATATTTAAATTTATCTTTCTCCTTTATCTATATAAATAGTATATATTTTAATGCATCGATATAGTATAAGTAAACTGAAGTTTGCAGAAACACAGAATTGTTTCAATAAATTATAAAATTACATTTATTCAATTTAACCGAATGTTATTTTACTATGTGTTTTTTTTTAATATTGTCTTATTTATCTCGTCACATTTGCAGATCTTTCTGTGCTCATCCATTACAAGTTTACTAAATATATATAATCAATACACGCTGGAAATTTTATTACAAAAGTATGTATTGACTTAAGATTCACTCATTGATTATTTTACCATTATTCATCTCTATTGATATATATTATACAATTATATTTTTACAATAGATGAGAAAATTCTGTCTAAGTAGTAATATATATGTATAATATTATCATTATCAGAGATATGAAATATAATCGTATTATATTTCGGAAAAAGGATAATATTTTTTCTACTTGTTATATCTAATTATCTTTTATAGTTATATGTTATTATCAAAATAGTATCGAAAATTTTGACTCACGATGTTAACAATTGTATTACACTGTACACGGGATTTATTTATATATCTACAATTCGATTGTGTGGACTTAAAAATATTTCATGTAGAAGATATTAAAATTAATCTGTTTCATAATAGAGAGAGTGTGTAAAAGTATGTACATTTTCAAAAAATTAATTATTTCGATGATGAAACTTTTGCTTTGTTTTATTTTAAAGCTCGTGTATTTTTTAGTTCATATTTACGTATACATTTATATTTGAGATGTCGGACGCAATATTTAAACATTAATAATATATTAATAATGTTTGTCCTTATAAGGTTAATCTATATCTTAATAAATTCTGAAGATAATTTTGGCTACAAAATTAGCGAATAAGTGTTTAAACTTTAAACAAAACATGCAAAGAAACGGATTTTGTCTATAAATGAGTAATCAGATTTTATCGATTAATTGATTCCAATTTTTGTACATTTAAAAGCAATTATAATCTCTAATTAACTTTTTAATCTCTAACTTATTGTAATTTTTATACATTCGCTACATTACTAAATACGTTTTTTTTTTTTCATAAAAATACTACTATGAGATTTACTTACCCGATGTTTAAAAATCTTCCATTTCTATTCGATTATTTTCGATTAAATTAGTAATCCAGTTTGTAACGTAATTTACAATATACCACGCAGAAAGCCAACAGACCCAAGCTAATAACAATGTCAAGAACTCATACGTAATGACTTTTATTAAAATTTCGTAGTCTGCCATGAACGTTCAATGTTTCTAGTCGTGAAAATTATAGACAGTCTCTATTATAGCGATAACAGTTTGATGGCACACGTTTCGCAAATACTCATGTCTGCAGGCGCTTTTTGCAGAATTTATAACACGACACAACTACAAAAGCAAATATTATATTATACTTATTGAAAAAAACATTGAAACTATCATATATATTATTTTCACTTTATAATGTAATCTTTATTTTTTATCAACAAACAATATTTTTAAATAAAGTTATTTATTTATTTAATAAATTATCAATTTCTTAAAAATTAATACTTTAATTTTATATAACAATTATCAAAACATTTTAAAATAATGAAAAATATGAAATATAAATTGTTAAAAGTTAAAAATTAGTTTATTCAAGTCTTCGATTCAAATGAAATAAAATACTTTAGTATTGACTAAAGTAAAGCATAGAAAGTACACTCTAAAACGCTAAGACAAATAATGTCATGTCTACACCGATCGATAACCATAAGGCTGCATTCAGAATCATCGTCCAGATATATAGCCAGATAATCCAGATATTGTTTTATATATATATTCTTGTTTAACATTTAGTGAACAGCAAGGATAAAACGACATCTGTATGCATCCAGACGATGATTCTGAACGCGGCTCTGCTGACTAGCGAAGTCACGTGTATGTTACGTGACAGCGATCACCAAAATGTTAATTGTTCACGTATTTTATTATCTACTGTTTGATTGAGTGAATCACGGAGAATTTTAAAAGATAAACAGAATCTGCCTTAGTTCTCAAATATTAACGAATCTTGCTAATCTTGTGCTGCAAAAATTAATAATGTTTATTCCGATAATTATTTTATTTCGATCAATTATAATTGCCAATCCCTAGATTCCTTACAGTAATTTAATACTAGAAAAAATGATTATAATTATTCACTTTGAATATTAAAAACACTGTATTCAATGCTTTTAATAATAAAAATAAGTAATTTGTAATAATTAAATTGGATTTCTGTAAGAGATGTCTCTGTAAATACAACTTGAATTGATCTCTCTTATGATTCATTAGATAAATAATGTACGCTTCTATTCTCGTTTTGCGTATGTATAAAATTAGCAATTAAAAAATTTACTTACCAATCACTTAAATTTCTCCGAATCTTGTTGAGAATTTCCAGAATAATTTATCATACAGTCTTCAGTATCTTGCTCCACAGTGTATAACATCGAAGTATACAACAACCCTAAGATATCAAGTATGAATACCAAGATACGAAAATTTACAATTGTAATAATTCACCACACATTTCCATGTTTATCGTATTAAGTTATTACGAAAATAAAGTTAAATTTAAAACACCTAAAACGATTAGCATTATATGTGTGCGATTTACTATCGTGACTTATACGTCACACATCAACCGTATATGTAGAGTCCTATAAGAGGACAAATATTATCTGTTTCGCATCAAAATGTTTCTTTAGAAATTAGTATTTTGCCAATAAATGCTACTTTCTCATGTTTTGTTCATGTAGGGACATTTCTGAGATACTGAACGCAAAATTCGAATGCCTTCACACCAAATGCCTTCCGCGGATTATTATTAAAACAAATTTTAAAAAATGCCAAAATTAATGGAAAAATAATATAAATTGTAAACCACGAGAAATATGTCATTTTAAAAAATAATCACATTTATTTTGAACAATTATTTAGGCATTTCTGCTGTATGGATTATAGGTAAGTATAAAATGCGTAATCTCCTAAATTGTTTTTTGTTTGAGAGAAACATTTTTTATAAAACTTATATAAAAAAATTCAAGATATTCAGAAATTTCTATACTTTTTATACACTCTGTATTACTACACGTCCTGAAAATAGATAAAAACGGTTGTCAAAGCAACGAGTATATAGTAAAAGAATGAAACCAGCAGTCTGCCTCTTTTTCTTTCTATCTTAATATTGACATGTAATATAGAAAACGCATAATATACCTTATCTATTTAGGTCAAGAGAGTTTTGATTTTAATTTCATGATGTACTGTCAAACACTATCGTGACAAAGTATACCATTTACATCAATAAATAAGTGCTATGAGCCAAAGAATATGTCGGAAATTAACATTATTACGCACCGTTTATATCCTTAATCTGTCTAAAATTGTCAGCATATCTATTTAAAAAGTTGATTTAGCAAAATCTTTTTTGCATTTATCGTTGTCGTGTATGTATATTTTTGTTTATACCAGTATATTTTTAATCATAAATTCGAGCTGTCACAAATAACAAGAGAAACACTAGTTGAACTGATAATGAAGAGGAAGGGTAGTGATCTTGGAGATAAATCCGATGAAGGCAGGATTGACATCGATAAACCACTTTGGAGCCAAGACACGTACCTCGGAAGATGGATGCATTACGCCTTCATCACCGATTGTCGCACGGTACTCGTTCCAGAGAACAAATTATGGGAAGCAAAAAAGCTCTGCGAGGATTATAAGTAAATTAGTACAGAATTCTTTTTCTGAATTAAGTTCTTTTATCAATTTAATTAGCAAAATTTTCAAATTTTGACAAAATCAAGTTTATTGTATGAAAAGTTAATAAAAAGTAATCCTAATATAAGAAATACGATTATCAAATGTTAAAAAGTTAATATTTATTCTTATTGTGCGAGGTAATCAACGCACATTAATGTGTGCGTTGATTTTGTTCTGTCATTCAGGGCCGGGAAGGAACCGAAGGGCCTACAGAGAAAGGACATAATCTATGCGAAGAAGCTCAGAGATAGCGCCTTTCATCCCGATAATGGCGAGTTTATGCACGTAATAGGACGAATGTCCTTCCAGCTGCCCGCTTCTGTCACCCTCACCGCCGCCATGTTGACCTTTTACAAGTTAGCTTTCTGCGCAAATAATAAATATAATGTATCCCACGTTCACAAATTCTCGGTCAATTTTAATTCAATTTTCTATTTTTATCGCGTCCACGCTATATGTTTCTGTCAGATCCGCCTTCGGCATGATAGCATGCCAGCTGGTTAATCAGGGTTTCAACGCGTTTGTCAATTACACCAATCGGAACGCATTGAGTGACGATCCGCAGGATACCGATGTTATCCAGCAGGCGTTCATGCTCGCCACTGCAGCAAGTTGCGCGGCCGCTTTAGGATTTAGGAAATTGTTTTCCGGCAGAGGAACTCTTGTTACAGTTAATTTATTTTAATCTAATTTCTTGTTCCATCTCCTTTCCTAAATTTACTATTCCATTTAAATACAGACATTCAAAAGACGTCATTGATCAATTATTTTAATCGCCCTACATTCAAAATGACTACTACTGATAAAACTCTGTAAAGTCGAAAATCTAATACAATTTGAACTTTTTAATTTTAAATACCAAAAAGTATAATTATAATCGAGGAGTGAAAAAAATCGATGATTCAAAAGATTATCTTCCTCACAGAGATTCGTTCCATTTTGCGCGGTGGCTGCCGGCAATATGGTAAATCTCCCTATTATGAGGCAACGGGAGATCGCACGGGGTATACCAATATTCGCCAAGAATGGCGATGACGTGTGCATCATGAAGTCGCAAGTGGCCGCTGTCAAGGGTATTTCTGAATGCATTCTCACAAGGATAATAATGGCTGCGCCCGGAATGTTAATGATCCCAGTTATTACGCAACGAATGCAATCATATTGTTTCTACCAACTTCGTCCATGGATCACTTTTCCCGTCGAAATCGGTTTATGCACGCTCTGGTAATTCTCATAAAAATGATGTTGCGCAAATCCGCACAAATAACGTATGATAAAATATTGATAAATTACCTTTCACGCATAAGTAATATTTTAAATAATATTTTCTCGTTCCTTCTTAGTTTGTTAGTCATGATCCCTTCGGCACTCGCCATTTTTCCGCAGAAAAAGTAAGGAATTTAAATGAATTCTGAATAGTTTTAAATAATAAAAAAATTATAATTTTTAAAATCAGGAATGTATAGTGTATTAACACGCTTTTCTATTAAGCTCGATGAAATCGGAACTATTAAAAAAATATCCGGAGGAGTACGAAATATTTCGAGAGAAAATGGGTCAGCGCAAACATCCTGATAAAGTTTACTATAATAAGGGATTGTAGTTAATATAAATAAATATGAAATATATATAAATATAAAATAATTTATTTTATAAAATAAATAAATATATATATATACTGTTATTAGATTTTTTACGCAATCTATAAAGTTTTTATACTACCGAATTATCAAATGGAATGATAAGAGCTGTACAGGCAAAATAATAGCTATTCAATTATCGAATAACATTTATTAACACAACTGTCATCACATTACTATGTTTTTCAATAATATATGTAGTAAAGTTTTTATTGTATCACTATATATGGCAGCATTTTTACTTTCGACAGGCGTCTCAAAATTTAATAATATTAATAACATTAGGTAACATTTCAGTGCATAAATAACATTATATTTAAAACATACGAAATTTATAAATTAACGTTAAGATGCCTGAGAAGAACAATTAAGCGCTTATTGAAATAAAATTATTGCTACGATTTGTAATTATATACGTCGGTAAAGCACCAATTTATATTGTCAATCTTTTATCCTTAAAGGCTATAGCACATAAAAAAATTGACCAATCACAGTAGAAAACATAAGGCAGTAACAGACATAGTGGTAAATATATTGATAATAAAATGTTGCTCAGTGCTTACATCTTGCTGCTTAGGTTTTCTTTTTGTGTACCATAGCCTTTACTATATTTTTACTATAATCGTTTCTATTACATCACGGGCTATCAACTTCTCTGATTGTAAGATATACTTCAGTGCGTTGATGGAATTTTATTTGATCACCTTGTGGATATATTACGTCTTGTGACTAAATCCTAATTTAAAATTTACTAAATGCTAAATTTAAATGCCATTATTAATATCGGTGCGGTCAAAATTTAATACTTGAAATCGTAAGAACTGTGCGTAAGTGTTTAATAGCAAATGTAAATGATTTCTGTGTTATAATAATTGACTATAATTGAATGAGTTATATTTTTTTTTTTCGGGTTCGTTTCTGATCCAGCAGAAGAGTTTACCTCATCATTGTGCCATTTAAAACAACGATATTTGTAAAGGATGGAATAACACTTATTTTATCAGTTAAAACTAGAACTTTTCATTATATAAATATAATAACATTATAATCCTTTGTTGAAATATAAATACGTCGGCAATTTACCACCTTCACAGTTCTTCGTTAGTAGCTCATAGTTTTCTGGCTCCCAGCGTTGTAAGGTAGTCGTCTTAATGGAGCTACAAGAGACGCCGCATAAAATAATAAAAATAAAATATTAAAAAATAATTTTTGAATACGTAAAATATGTAGAAGAAATGTTTACCAATTTTGTGGAAATAACGCACACGCCGTCGGCACCATAAACGTCAGCCTAAGATATTAACACCAAATTTCACATAATAATTAATATAATAATTTAATGACAAAGATAATGGTAAGCAAAAATAAGATAAAAAGAATGTAGGACTCACGAAATTCCGCACATCATAATTTGTATCGGTGCATGTAGTGGTTTAATTCTTTGCATCCATGCGTATTTTTCCAATCTTTCCATTATAGGCGGTAAGATAACTATGGAAATTAAAATTATCGCTTTAATTAGTTAAATTTATTATTATGTATCGACATAAATTTATCAAAAATTTTAATAAGTATAAATTTAAATTGAGATGTTTAATTGATACATACGCATGCCGGGTGCACACATGACGATTCTCGAAATGACAACTTGACTGATACCTTTTACAGCTGCGAGCTAAAATTGTTTAATAAAGTTAAACATTTTCAATATGTTACATTTAATAAGATTTGCAATTTAAAATTTTAATATTATCTTATCTTGCAAACTTAGTTTAATAAAAATATTGTACGTAAATTAATTCATATGTTCTTCATATTTTTTCTATATAAAATTGAGCAAATTTTACATACACAAAATTTAACAACCAGCGACAAGTAATGTATACCTTCGATTTTGTAAGCTTTCTGTCGTTCTCGTCAATGAGATCCACGCCGTTTACAATTTCGTTCTGTCTCATTAGAGGGATATTAGCGCAATTAGCGGCTGCCACTGCGGCGAATGGAACGTACCTCTGAAATGTGTTTTTTTTTCTTGTATTCAGCAATCTAGGTTTTTAGCGATCTGAGACGAGTCTCAGACACGTTTTGTTTTAAATTATATATAGGATGGTCTAAAAATCAAAATTTCAATATCGATTTTACAGGTCGATTTTACAGATTAATCAATTGCTTCTCGAATTTCGATTTAAAAAAAAGAATCATTACAATTACTGGTGTAAAATCTGGAATATTCTATGTAGTTTTTAAATTACTCTCAAACTTACAGCCATTAGAGGACTAGCGCGCTTCTCCCAATACGATTTACATCCTATCGCAGTTATCATTGCTGCGATGGTCGCACTAACATAAGCTACACCTAGCTGATTAGTCGTCACAGGACTGTTAGCATTCCTGTTGGTGTAATTGACGAGCGCGTTAAAGGACTGGTTGACCCATTGCCAAAAAACTACTGCTTGAGTCGTCCTAGATCGAATTAACATGGTGTATCAGGAAAAAATAATTTGACTTAGGCTCTATAATAATTGTATAAATAAATTTTCACAGCATATAATCACTCAATTAACAACCTTATGTTTTATTAAAATTAAATAGCTAAAGTAAATACTTATTTTTCTTAACTGTTCAAACATTTTGGTTTCTTCAAAATGTCAATATGATTAAACGAAAGAATCTTCAATGACCATCGATCGAAATTACTGTAAAATACCTGTAAAATTGAAGCATAGCGCCGGTGATAGCCATTCCTCCTGGTACCTGAAAGGACATTCTACCAAAGACATTCTGCAGATCGCCGGTATCGGGATGAAAAGCGGACTCGTACAGTTTCTTCGCATAGATAATTTGTTCTGTAGTAGTATTGGCTGGCTCTTCGCCAATTCTATAAGGTACAAAGTACAAAGCTTTTCAAGCAACTAATTGAGAATACAATGTTTGTGTCAAATACAGCGACACTCGTTTTTATTCCCAATAATAAATTTTAATTTAATGGAAAAATTTATGTTGAAATTAAATATCTTGAAATTTTTGGTTTAAAAATTGGTAGAAATAAGTACATCACAGAAATATTCGATGTATTGTCAAGTGTTGAAAATTTTCTAACTTATTAATGCGCGTCAAATCGACTAAAATAGAAAAGAAATTTCGCGAAACTGCATGATGTGTATTTCCTATCACCTGTATTGTTCGCATAACTTTTTAGCAGCTATTAACTCTGATTCTGGTTTAACGCAGGTGCGGAAGTCGGTCATCCAGGCGAAATATTTCCATCTTCCTACAAATGTGTTTTGATTCCACAGCGGTTTGTCTAGGTCCAATCTTTCATTCATCATCATATCCAATTAAGAGATGTCTCCAGCACAAATCTCTAATCAAGATTATAATCATAAAATAATAAATTATATTTCTTTTTAATACATTTTCATATTTATAAATTGAAAAACTTTCATTCGGTTTATATGCGCAATATATAAAGAATATACAGAGAATGTCTCGAAGATAATATTTTAAGACAATTAAGATATACATACTGCAAGTGTTGTACAAATAAATCTTAAACCAGACGCTGATGAACGTTCTGCGCGATCATATGTTTCGCATAAGCCGTGCTACCTTTCGTAATGTTACAAGAAGTCCAACAAAATGAGAATATATTTATAGTTTCAGTACGCGAGCTATATGCATGAAAATAGTGTGCCGCGGTTAAGCATTTTTAATTTACATAAAGCAATTTTCGCCTCTTGTCATCGAGATATTACGTAATATTTTTCCATGAGTAAAATAAGCATAATAGATAACATACATAGAGTGTTATCTATTATGAGTTATAGAGCAAAGGATAAAGACTAGTATTTATTTATTATTATTATGTACATGTAAACTCTCTTTAAAGCAAATTTAGTGAAAAATGAATTGTGACAGCAAATAATGTAAATTAATTTTTTGCTATTCAATATAATTTTCAAGTCAATTTGAAATCAGATTTCCTGTTATTTTTTTTTATATTTTTCTTCGTCAATGAACACACACTTGTCTAAAATTAAATTAATATTCTACCAAAAAATATCTAGTTTTACTTTATATATCTAGAAAAATTTACAAATTTATCGCTTACACTTTCCAAATTTATATTTCTATGCATTAAAAAACTTTATAAATGTTCTGAAGATAATTTTTTATAATAGATTTTTTTTTGGCATATATCAAATCTTTCTTTCATAGTTGAAAATCAAATTAAAAAATTCTCTAACAAGTTAGTTTAATTCACATTACAGACGCAAGTGTAAAAGTATGGAAGTTATTATATTTACGCGTCCATGATAAGCAAATATATTATGCAAGAAATAATATGAAGAGACATATTGTGAAAAAGTCAAAACGATGTTGAATCGTTTATATCATGATAGAATTGATATAGATAAGCATCATTGCATGTTATCAGTGTTGTGCCATTCATATGTCGCCGCTAATCATTTGAATGCAAGCCGTAATTGTGCAAGAATGTATCACACACTTTAAGAGCCCCAGCACACTTTTTGTTAATAAAGTTATGAAATAAAACGTACTAGAAAAAATTAATGTTTTACTTATATTTTACAGATTTAAATTTATTAAAATTTGCAATTAAAAGATCGAAAGTGTTTTTAAAATCTACCATTTCTGGTGAAATGTGTTAAAAAGTTTAATTTATACATTTTCATAGATATTTTTTCTGATCGTTTCCCTTTCTTTCTCTTTCTTATTGGAACGTCAGTATAACGAATTAACTGTAACCGCGAATACTTAACCGTTTCGCCATCTAGTCAATGTGAATTATATACCTTAAATTAATTGTAGCTGTCGAAGAGAACGTGTGGCTTTTAACAAACGTCAACATATCATACGCACTTCCCACATTATCATCATTCCTCTCATGTGTCACTTTACTATCAGTCTCTTCCAGCACTTGTCACAGCATATATCGCGCTCTGCACTCTCAGAAAAGAGCGGTCGAAGTGGCGACCCAGTTTTTCGGTAGGATGTACCAGTAACCAGAATGGTTGAACCAATTGATCAACCGGTCGTTTTTTTACATCAAATGTCAACAATATAAGCATGGAGAAAGAGAGTTACAGTATCACTATAGGGTCGCAAATTGGACCGGCAAGAATAATCTGCCCTCGCTGCGTACCTTGAACAATTTATGCAACATTTTATTAAAGCATAAATATCTCCCAGTCACTCACCCAATCGTGAAAACTGACACGAGACGCTACTTCTGGACTCGATGTCGGCAGGTGCCGAAGAACCGAGATGCGTCGGCGAACGGCGAACGAAAACGAAGTGACCGAATCCAAAAGGAGAGCGATACCGGCACGACAAGACCTCTTGTTACGCTACTGCACTGTCGTGTCGTACCGGCGAACGCGCCCTTCGATGAGAAAGTCGCAATATTATATTTGCAACTGTGTTGCAAAATTTCATTGCTCGTCGTCGTTTTAATTAGGTATACAAATCGGAGACTGAAAAATCAGAAATTTACGAATGGCAAGGTATATCGCCTCACAGAGATGGAATTTTTTTTACGCAAATTTATTTCTCGGAAAATTTGGCATCGTAGGATTGTTCATCAGTCACAAAACAAGGTCTGCTCCCAGAGCCTTTTCAAGCACGATTTTAGGTATACGGACCTGGTGGACCGCCTCCAGCAAGCGCAAGCGCACCAGGGGCAGCCACAGCCAGCTGTGTGCACTGTGCGGTTGTGTGGCAGGCCAGGTTACGTCCCCTCTACCTGCCAACCAACTTTACCCCCACCCGCCCCCTGGTCGTAAAGCTTTACCGCCCGCTTCACGCGGTCTTCGCACACAGCTGCAGCCGTCGTTCCTCACGTCATCCGGTTCAGACAGACTGCGAGCCACTGCGAGCGAGCGAGCAAGGAAGAACGAGAAAGAGAGAGAGAGAGAGAAAGAAACAAGAGGCGGCGCGTCGCGGCGCGGAGCGGCGCGGCGCACGAGACGACGACGACGACGATACGAGACGAGCCGTTCGCTCGCTCTCCGGTCGACTCCGTCGTGGCGGAGCGAAGCGGAAAGCGCAAAGCCCACACCACACCACACCACACACCACCAGCTTACTTGCACGCTCGCTCGCAATAACTTTAAACTCGAGGCAAGATGGCGGCCGCGGCGGCGGAGGTCCCGTCCGCGCACCTCGCGCTCGCCACGGGCGACAAGATCCTCGTGACCGTCGAATCCGCGCTGTCCGACATCCTCGTGGTATCTTTCATCCATGGCGCCAAGTGCTTCCAAGGTGCGCTGCTCGACGCCACTAAGAGGTAAGAATAAGGGAGAGAGAGAGCGCGAGTGAGAAAGAGCGATATGAAGACCTCGTGTTGTGACCTATTCTTTTTTCCTATTTTGTTCCGCTTGTCGAGAGCCTTTGTTCCGTCATCGAAAGAATGCTCGACCCTTGACCACCCTTCGGTTTGTAAAGAAAAAATCTCGAGAAAAGTCACACATACACGAGTTCCACTGTTAAAACCATAGGTTTCCGACGGCTAGCATTCAAAACAGCTTGGGATTAAGTAATTCATCGATATGATGATACTCTGGTCCTTAGAATAAGGTTTTGCAGAAAAATGATGCTATTTGTATCCCTACTTAACATCACACCTAATGTTGACGATTAAATTCGCTCATGAATCATTGATCTTTAGGAGCGTTTTTGCCTCGTCTTTCTAAGACCTGAAAACAATGTATGTCTTCCAAAATTGATCGATTCTATAATAATTATGGTATATAGGTATTTTAGAAATTGGCCGAATAGTAACTAAAAGGTATTTTAGCTGCTATCTGTGAGCAGAATGACGAATATATAATGGAATGTTCAACATAGAAGTTGATGACTAAGTCCACTTAAAGTTTGTTGAGATGTGTGATGCATAAAAAAAATATTAACAATTTAAAATCGGAGTCATAAGTACAAATACGAATCCGTGGAAACTTTTTGACTCTCAAAACCTTACCATCACCGCACACAAGCTTGTACTTTGGAGCAAAGTGACAATTGTTTTTTAAACCGGATATTAATGACTAGGCTCTTTTGTGTTATTCTCTGATTATTTCTTTCAAGTTTGCGTTGGCGTTTCGATATTCTAGATTTTTAAAAGTTTGAAGATATAAATCCTTGAATATTAGTAGATTCATATCGTTTTTTTTTTAAATTATAGTAATAATTTTGAAACAAAACTTACAGGTAGTAGTAAAGAACAAACACTAACGATATTCTTTCGCGAGTTTTATCTTTGTTTTATTTTGTACAACGATCCTGAAATTCTGGTGGAATAAGCAATACGAAAAATCTAAAACCCTCAGTTTTAAATTCAAACATTTAAGAATGCCAAAATCTCAAATTGCGCAACTACAAAAATTCTTTACAATGATTTTTATTTTTGAATTGATGGATTTGAAAATTCTGGTATTTTAGAATTGCCACGCAAACTGAGATTAAAATATAGGAAAATAAGAATCAGGATAAAAAGCAGAATAACCTGTGATCAATTTAATAACGATCGATTCACACGATAGATGATTGATGCTCCATTACTATAAAAAAATCCGATTGCCAGGTATAACTTTCAGTTTTCATCAATATAATTATCGAGACTCAAGGATATGATATTTCCAATTTATAAAGGTTTATATTCAGGTACCTAGAACAGAGTCAATGTTCCAAATGTCTGGCAGCATCAGGATTCCAAGGAGTCTCGTTACATAATCGATCTAAAATTGGACGGTTACACAAAAATACTATCGACTTTTTTGTGTAGCATTCTCGAGGATCTGCCTTTATATTAACTACATATTTCATTTATAAAACGAAATACAAATCGTGAATTGAGAAGAAAATATATTTTTCTACAGCATAAGTGCAGTATTTCTAAAAAAGTAACGTAACACCAGCTTTTCCAACAATTTTATTTTTAACGGAACGTTGATTTAATATTTAAAAATAACCAGAATGTGTAATGCAAAAGATATATTAATTATTTTTAAGACTTCAGGAAGTTTTTTTTTTTAAAAGAGGTTTTCCCCAAATTCTTTGTTTTTTGGAATTATATTTCATTATGGCTCTTTTACTTGTAACTTTTTAAACGTTGTAATCATTCGCAGCCGTTCAAGCCAAAATTTAGATCGGAAGAGTTTGAAGATTCAAATATGAAGTGTCAGAGGAAAGATATTAAAATTTGAGATATTTTAATTATAACGATCCGCGGGATTAAGTTGCTGGGAAGAGAAGTAGAAGCGATGCCATCCGACGGCGCGCGATACCCGTCGACTTCCACGATAGTGCACGAACTTACGCACGAACTTGGCACGAAATATCTCGTTTCCTCCGAGACGTACTAAATAGGACCAAGTCCCGAAAGCTTCGACAATTTTGATAACTTATCTGTACTTTAATAGGAAACGTATATGCGCGCGTGAATATGTCTTCTTCTCCTGGCGCCAGTCGCAATGGGCGTGGAAGTCGTGAATTTCCTCAAATTTCACATGACTCGGCCAAGTCGTCATATAAATGAGATATTACATCCTCTATCCATGTTTTTTCTGCACTTACATGTGCGTATAATTACGTATACCCGGTGTCCCGCGACACGTATACTTTCTCTCCTGGCGGATTCAATATAATGGAATTCTTTTCGATAATAATCCAACGGAAAACCGTTAATTATTATGAAATTCTTTTTGCACGTTAGTGTTAATGGAAATAATGGGAGATTTCCATTCAATAAATTTCAATTATAAATAAGCTGCGGTTTTGAATAGTCGAAAAATACGCGTGGATAAACGTAACGAAAGTTTTGCTTCACCCAGTATATGCTAAAAAGACTTTACCGTGGTGACTCATGATCTCGCATAGTAAACGCCTGCACCTTTGTAATATAGCCGTTGTTGCCGACTTCTCTGATACTCAGTAGTCATTTCGATTATTGGGAAATCAACTAAGTAGCTGTTATAACTAGTTGACCACTCTTGTTCCACTTACACCAGTTAATCCGCCAACTTATGAAAAGCGAGCACTATGTATAACCAGACTAATAACGCGTGGGAAACCTTAAATTGAATTTACTCAAATATTATTAACGCCGCGGAGTTTATCGAATGCGATGGATCAACTTAGTGAATTTCATTATTAATGTTTTACCATAAAGCTGCATGTTGAGGTTTATTGCATCTGATTATGTGTTATTACAATACGAATTAAATTTTACTACCGAATCAACTGAGTGTTACAATTTAAATAGATATTAAACCGATTTTGTTGAAAGCTATTATTTGTTGGCGGGTATAAACTCATTTTCATTCAACGTCACTCAATTATCCAATTTGTTGGATTCTATCTCGAAAATCGGAATGTAATTTCGATGATTTCAACATCGCGCTGATCCCGATCTCGATCGACGTCAATTCGATCCCGGACTTTCGTTCGAGCCTGCCCTATTTATCCGAATAGCAATTTCGTGCAATCGCTGCGGTTTTGTCTATTCAAGCAGTTGTCGTTTTTCTCAGCGCATTTTTCCTGAGGGCAACCGGGGTTAGCCGCCCCATGAGTTCAGAGCCGAGCTCGTTGCTGTGGCCGAACAGCTGTTGCCCGTTTTCTTACCCCGCGCCCTAGGTTTTCTTGTCCAAGCCGGGCGGCCAATGGCCGCCCCGTATCGCAATTGCACAACCATGCCTAGCAGGGCTGTAAGGTCGAGAGGGTCGTTTAGAATTCGACTCATCATCAATATACATCCCAATTTGAAAAATTAATTATTTCAAAATATATCCAATGACTATTCTTATTACGTCGCTTGTTTATTTTGCTTTCGTTAATTTTTGTAAGTTTATTGCGGTAACGAATATGACGTCATTTTCGATTCGATTAATAATATTTAAGATAACACACACAATATTAGTATATTGTAATATATGTGAAATTTTTTTCAAGTTTTTCTTGTGAAGTTGAGCTAGATAACGAAAGATAAAAGAGTAATCGAGAGACAGTAAAGTTTCTGTTTACGGCCCTGGTAGCTAGTCGGGGCCACCGACCAACCAGGCTTGGCTTGTGTCACGTTGTGCACGACGGTATGGTGCGATAGAGGTTCCCATATCTTTCCGCTACGCTATATATTATAATTCAATATTCTTCTTAATTCATTTTTTTAAATTAGCAACATATTTCTAAAGAATTTATCAAGTATTGATGAAACATTTACATCCGCGTCGAATAAAAAAGCG